GAGAAGCGCGAAAGCTTTTACGTTTCATTAAATCATTAGAGAAAGAAAACGATTCGTTGTACCGTTCTCGACTCTTAATCCTTGTCTCAATTCAGTTTCCCCCTCCCCACCCCCTACCGCGCGAAGCGCGGAAGCTTCGACGTTTCATTAAATTATTAGAGAAAGAAGACGACGATTCGTTGTGTCGTTATCGACTCTTAATCTTCGTTGTACCATTCTCGACTCTTAATCCTTGTCTAAATTCAGTTTCCTCCTCCGGCGCGAAGCGCGGAAGCTTCGACGTTTCATTAAATCATTAGCGAAAGAAGACGATTCGTTGTACCTTTATGACTTTTAATCCTCGTCTAAATTCAGTTCCCCACCTCACCGTGCGAACCGCGGAAGCTTTTACGTTTCATTAACTTATTAGCGAAAGAAGACGATTCGTTGTATACCGTTATGATTTTAATCCTCGTCTGAATTCAGTTCCCCCTCCCCTCCCCCGCGCGAAGCGCGGAAGCTTTGACGTTTCATTAGTTCATTAGAGAAAGAAAACGATTCGTTGTACCGTTCTCGACTCTTAATCCTTGTCTCAATTCAGTTTCCCCCTCCCCACCCCCTACCGCGCGAAGCGCGGAAGCTTCGACGTTTCATTAAATTATTAGAGAAAGAAGACGACGATTCGTTGTGTCGTTATCGACTCTTAATCTTCGTTGTACCATTCTCGACTCTTAATCCTTGTCTAAATTCAGTTTCCTCCTCCGGCGCGAAGCGCGGAAGCTTCGACGTTTCATTAAATCATTAGCGAAAGAAGACGATTCGTTGTACCTTTATGACTTTTAATCCTCGTCTAAATTCAGTTCCCCACCTCACCGTGCGAACCGCGGAAGCTTTTACGTTTCATTAACTTATTAGCGAAAGAAGACGATTCGTTGTATACCGTTATGATTTTAATCCTCGTCTGAATTCAGTTCCCCCTCCCCTCCCCCGCGCGAAGCGCGGAAGCTTTGACGTTTCATTAGTTCATTAGAGAAAGAAGACGATTCGTTGTACCGTTCTCGACTCTTAATCATTGTCTGAATTTCAAAAATGTTCTTTGTCTATTCCCTTTTCTTCCTACGTCCTCTTCCTTTTCACTCCTCTCTTTTTTGGGCTGGCGTTTATGGGGGGACCTCCCCACCGCCCCCTGGCTACGCGCCTGCGGTCGGATGAACATTGTCCGCTCCGGAAGCTCAGGGGTTTAAGGTTTTAATTTACGGTTATATTAGCATTCAGGGGTCCGCCTTAGGGCCCTAGGCGGGGTCCAGGGGGACAGAGCCCCGGAAGTTCAGGAGTTTTAGGCATTTAATTACGGTCAGATGAGCATTATTTTGATACCTAATTGTTACAGTGGCAGGTCACTAATTGGCTTGGGGTTCAGGGGGCGGAGCCCCGGAATCTCAAGGGTTTTAGGCACTCAGTTACGGTCAGATGAGTATCAAGGGGCCCGCCTATAAAGGGCTCTTGGTTGGGTCCAGGGGGCAGAGCCCCCGGAAGCTCAGGGTTTTAGGCGTTTAATTACGGTCAGATGAGCATTTTTGATACCTTATTATATGTGATAATGTCAGGACACTAATTTGGCGTGGGGTCCAGGGGGCAGAGCCCCCATAAATCAGGGGTTTTAGGCATTTAATTACCGTCAGATGAGCATCTAAGGGCCCGCCTTAGGGCCCTATTTGGAATCCAGGGGGCAGAGCCCTTGGGGTTTTAGGCATTTAATCATGGTCAGATGAGCATATTTTGATACCCCATTATAATGTGACACTGGCAGTTAACTATTTTTTCTTTCTCGCTCTCTTTTTTTCTATTTCTCTTTAATATACTTTTTCAGAGAAAGTGTGTGTGTGGGGGAGGGGGGGGGGGGGGGGCTCGAGGATCCCGATCCCCGCCGTTCTGCGGGCCCTGATATGTAGGCATTTTCTTGCCTGGCTGTAAATTTAGGAATTTGTCATTTTCCAACAAACGCATAAAGTGAGGAAAAATCTCGGACAATATCTCATTTCAGCATTATTTGTAAACCACCGTTATGGAATTAGAAATAAACCACGTTTGAATTATATTTCTCCAAAGCCCCCCCCCCCTCCCCTATCAGTACGCCAGTGCCCACCCCCCCCCCCCCTCCGATCTACACCTTGTTGGCGGGAAAATTGCAACTGATATCCCTTACCTTTCTTCATTCTCTTTTTTGTTTTTTTCCCTTTCTCTCCTCTTTCCCTTTCCCTTCCCTTCCTTTTCTCTCGTTTAGGTTTGCTGGGGGAGGGGCAATGTCATTTTGGTCCCCTCCCCGCTCTACACATTGTTGGCGGCAGGGGCGTACGCAGGATTTTTTCAAGGGGGGGGGGGGGTTTTAGACAAAACAAAGGGGGGTTTTAGGGGGGTATTCTTAAAAATACACACATAAAAAATGCCAAAGGGGGGGGGGGTTTAACCCCCAAAACACCCCCCTGCGTACGCGCCTGGTTGGCGGGATTAACCGCAACTGATCTCCGCTTCTTTTCTCCCTTTTCTTTTTTCTCCCTTTTTTTGTTTGTTCCCTTTTAGCTCTTCTTTCCTTTTCCTTCCTTCTCTCTTTATTTTTAGCGAGGACAGGGGGCGGGGGAGGCTAGGGCCTCCCCCCCCGATCCACAACTTGTTGGCGGGAAAATTGCAACTGAAATCCCCCTTCTTTTCTTTTCTTCTTTCTCTTTTGTCCTTCCCTTTATCTCCTCTTTTTCTTTTTTCTTTCCCTTTCCTTCCTTCTCTTTTTTTTTAATTTTTTTTTTTTTTTTGGGGGGGGGAGGCAACAGCCTGAGAGGCAAGTCCTTTCCCCCCCCCCCGATCTCCTTCTTCCCTTTTTCTCTTTTCTTTAATAACGGTCAGATGAGGAGCCCCAGAAGCTCATGGGTTTTAGGAATTAATTTACGATCAGATGAGCAACCAGGGGCCTGCCTTAGGGCCCTCGGTGGGTTCTCGGGGGCAGAGCCCCGGGAGCCCAGGGGTTTTAGGCATTTAATTTCGGTCAGATGAGCAACCAGGGGCCACATTAGGGCCCTTGGCGGGGTCCAGGGCGCAGAGCCCCTGGAAGCTCAGGGGTTTTAGGCATTTGATTACGGTTATATGAGCAACCAGGATCCCGTCTTAGGGCCGTTGGTGTGTTCAAGGGGGCAGAGCCCCCGCAAAATCATGCCGTTTCAGCAACATTTGAAATCACTGATATCAAAATAGAAATAAACCACGTTTAAATTTTATTGTGGGGGGGGGGGGCAGTCAACTGCCCCCATCCCCCATCAGTACGCCAGTGCGAGGGAGCATAGTGAACGAGAGGGGTAAAGGTGACGGAAGTGACTACCCCCTCACAGGTTTTTGAAGTGTTGTTGTATCAAAAAATAAATTTCGTAGAAAAACGTTAGTATTAAAACAATCAATATACTTTGTTCACACTACACCTTTCTACAATATTTACTTGTACATTTTAAAGGATATTATGCGAGGTAGCGTAGCTGCCGAGCGAGAAGAGTTTTTGCATTTTTATTTGTCTATACGCGCACTCTTGGGCCCTCCAGAGCCTACACGTGTGGTGCAGTGTTTAGTCAGTATTTGCTATCCTTTTTTTGTTTGCACTTTTTCAAATTTTCCGGGGGGGGGGAAGATACCCCCTTAAAATTTGAGGGGGACGTGTCCCCCCGTCCCCCGTATCGCCGCTCCTGGTTGTGTGTGTATTTATCGCCCAAGCTTCTGTCTCAAAATTTCCGAATTACTACAACTAGAACGTCCGGGCCCTAGATCCGCCTCCAGGGCCCATGGCAGGGGTTCTGCCCCTGCCCCTGCCCCTCACCTAGAAGGGCTAGCGCATGTCAAATCGCAGAGCGCTTTTTGAACACGTTGGCTCCCCCTTTCTGGAAAATCCTGGATCTGCCCGTGTTATTTGCAATTCACAACCTCTTGCCCACACAACCCCTTTATTTCAGCAGTTGAGTATTTTAAAAGTGGATCAAATGTGTAGTTTGCAAATTGCAATTTTTATGTACTCCTATTTTAAGAACATTTTACCAGATAGTTTTAATAATTATTTCACTTCAAATTGTACAATTCATAGCCATAGTACCAGAAATTCAAATCACTTAAGATTACCGTTATATAAATATAGTTTCTCTCAAACAACAATTTCTTACACTGGTGTAAAATCCTGGAATTCAATACCAGTAGAGATTAAGAACAGTCCGACACTTTCTAATTTTAAACGTAAATTTAAACTGTATATTTTACATAAAAACAATTCACAAACTTATAGTGGTACAATATAATTTTTTTGTTTGCCTGTTTAATTTGCCAATTTAATTTTGTTTTATCATGTACTTTACGTCGCTATTGTTTGTGGGTTTTGGTTTGTTTTTGTTTTTTATTTGTTTTTATATATAAAATATCCAAAAAATCTAATATTGTTCTGGGGATTAGCCTCGACAGGCCCCTGGCCTTTGTTGGTCCCCCACATGTTTTTTATATCTACATGTATTTAGTTGTTCTTAGATTTTGTTCGCTTTTTGTTTATCTTAATATTATTGTTTGTTAATTGTGTATTTTTATACGTCTGAACATGTATGTAAAATTGTTGTTTTTTATGAACCACATGTGGAAATAAAACTTGAACTTGAACTTGAACTTGAACTTGAACTTGAACTTGAACTTGAACTTGAACTTGAGTTATCTCTCTATCTATTTTTTTTATTTGCTTGCTTGTGGGAAAATTTTCAGCTATAACTGTTTGGCAATCTTTACATTTTTTTTTATCCTGCCACTGGCCCCCACCCAGAAGGGCTTGCACATACACGAACGCCGGGCGCTTCATGAACACGTTGGCTCCCTCTTATCTATCTACTTTTTGTTTTGCTTGCTTGGGGGAAAATGTTCAGATATCTTTCCCGGCAACCATTCCTCTAGTACAAAAAACAGTCCTGCCTATACCTGCCTATACCCTGTAAATGTTGAAGATGTAGATTACCTACCTCCAGGCTGAACCATGGGGACAAATAATTCCTTCTCCGAGGGTCCGTAGTACCACATATCACGAAACAACTGCGGTAGCAGGGACATGACGCCATCACCCAGCCCCGTCAATAGCGACGACACGCTCCAAGGATCATTCTCGTACCCGGGAACGTCCACAGGACCGTACTCGTCAACGGCGCGCTCATAGATGTCCTCCCAGAAATCAACCATGGAGTCGGCTTCGAGAACGTCAGCTGTGTCGATGACTGGGGGTGAGTCGGTGGGTGGTGAGGGCGTGGTGGGTGGGATGGGAGCGAAGAGCCGGTCCCATGGCCATGCAGCTTGCGCCTATTTGTGAAAAGTGAATGGATTTGATATTCATCAACGAGACCCATTATTAGTGGCGTAAATCAAGCCAGCTAATGCGGGGGCACCGGCGTCAAGGCGGGGGGGGGGGGGGGGCACCTGCTTAACTTCGTGAAGAAAATAATGTGAATTAACTCAATTAACTCGGCAAATTTGAATCAGTGTAATATTCTAAACTGGAACTATAGATACAAGCTTACAGATACAAATTTGATTTAGCTGTTCCAACGAGTAAACAATAGAAGGGGGGGGGGGGGGGTCACATTCACGCTTCTAGTGGCGCCCCAGATATTACCGATTTCCGGAGGATAATTAAAATCTGGTTTTGACCCTCACTGATGTGACAAATCTGCCAAAAACTAGTAAAGCAATTGTTTTACATACACAATTTTCTCGACCTGAACTCGAATTCAACTTGATCAGTATTTGCTTTTAATCAGACATACATAATGTCATTTACTTTTTGTTTCTAAAAGAATAAAGAAAGACCTACTTGCAAACTTTAAAAGAACCACCCTCACATAAAAAAAGCACACACAATAATTCACAAACAATGTATGCTGATGAGGTATGACTACATGCCGTACAATAATAGATCAAGTCGAATCCAATCAATTAATGTATTTACCTGAACGGCAAGCAGCACAACGAAGCAGCAGACAACTGGAATCTTCATGACGGTATTGCCAATCTAGAAATGAAAATATCTTCATGCATCCAGCAGTCTTTATAACACCCCAGATCAAAGCGAAATGTTCCCAGATAAATCAGTTTTGTTTGCGTTCGGGATCGGAAGGTCAACAAAAACTTAGATTCATCTCTAGATATATTGATCTGTGAAGTAGACACGTCCTGACCTGAAGATAAGAACGATGGTGGTATTTGCTCAAGCTCCATGTGAGAAGTTGCTTAATTATTGATCAGTGGAGCTATCCTTTGTCGGCTTCTGGTAAGACTCACGAAAGAGTACATTGTGAGTAACGAAGACTAAAGGTGACTACGATAATATCACGTAATCTTGATCATGAGCCATCGAACTCTGTTAAAATGTTCTTGAGTTTGATGTTTATAATATTATATCCCATTCCACTGCTTCATCTTCACCCCCCTGTTCTTCAACCTTCTCTCCCTATCTTTCGTCCTTCAGCAATTTAATAGCCTTTTTAGTGTTATGCGGTTTTATTCGTATGTATATTTTGGCATGGTTACTGTTGATTCACCCTGAGAGTCTAGGGGTGCATCCAGAATTATCAAAAAAGGGCAATTCACATATCTCCCCCCCCCCCGAAATTAAGTGTAATCTGCTATCTACAAAATACTGGCCTATGCAAAGCACGCAAGCAAGCAAGCAACCCAACATAGATAAAAACAAACGAACAACAAATCGTACTTTCGAGCTTGGTTTTTCTTCTTTTGAGGATCCAAAGGATTCGAGGGTAAGGGGAGGGGTGCGAGCTTTTATTATTGAATAATACTGGTTTTACTATCCCATTTTCTTGGGGGGGGGGGGGGGCTTGGTCTCTGGTTCCGCCGAAAGTTTGATGCAGTTTTATCCATGTGTTTAGGCATGGAGGTTGGTCCTCATAAATCTAGGAGCGGATCCAGATTTTTCCGCAAGGGCATGATATGATCACATTCTTTCCTCTCGAAATTAAAGAGAAGGTTGAGTTCTGGGAAGAGGTGGAAAATACTTTAAGAGCGTTTTCATTGTTATTATGCATATGTGGAAGAAGATCAGAGAAAACATGTTCCTGGAAAAGCATGGCTTTTCAAAATTCCTTCATATTCTATTAATATGACCTTTTTTACGCCACACGTTTGTGCAGTCCCGTATACATATACATCTTTCTGTAACGGTGCTTGTTACTTTTACCAAGACTGGGACAAATTTCTTCTTATTTTAATGATTCCCTACCTTGCAGTACACACGAATACCCTATATATGTGACACGATCAACATTTTCTGATCGATTCCACACCGTTTCTTTCACAAAGCAATATCATGACCAGTGTTATCTGCTATCTACAAAATACTGGCCTGTAAAAAGCAAGCAAGCCAGCAACCCCAACCCCCCCCCCCCCCCAAAAAAAAAGAAGAAAAGAAACGCAAAAACAAAGAAACAGAATGAACATACACAAAATATCATATTTTCGAAGACTGCTTTCGTTCCTGTTAAGGTTCCGAGAGGGCGGGGGAGGGGAGGGGAGGCGGGGGGGGGGGGGCGGACGGACGGACCGGTCTAGCTATCTCCTGAGTCTGTCGAGGTGTCATCACGTATACGGGCATGGTTTGTGCATTATTCATGTGGCTAATGCTCGAGGTTGAATTACAATCGTTCCATGAAACCATGGTCACCAAGTTCAAATACATTAATAATATGTCGACACCATAGATCATTCTTGCTTATCAGAAACTTTAAAGACCTGTTTCGGCATAGATGGTGTTGTTCTTGAATGGATAGAGTCGTACTTGGCGAATAGATATCAAAAGGTCAAAATAGATGATGTGACCTCTGATGATGTCTCACGGCCTTTCGAGTTCCACAAGGTTCTCGGGTGGGTCCTTTGTTATTTACTCTGTACACTGCTAATCTCGTTTCAAATGTTCAAACGAATTTTCCCGAGGCATCATGCCACTGCTATGCATATGCTTTATGTATCATCCTGATGAACATGTTCACGAGCGACGTCTGTCTCACTTTTAGAAACATGTGTTGACTATGTACGTGGATGGATGTTGCAAAATAGGCTCACGCTAAATTATAATAAAACTGAATTAATGATCATTGGCACACCTAAACAGACATCCAAAATCAACTGGAGTGTATCAATTAGAGATTCTGTAATAGAGCCATTTCTGTTAATGCAAGAAATATCGGAGTACAGTTCGATGCGCATTTGAATATGAACATGAGAACACATCACAAAATGTTTGCAAATCAGCATACTAATGGTCTACTATATGGGATCCCTGACTCTCAAATAGTGAGATTGCAACGGGATCAAAACACATGTGCAAGGCTGATTTGTGGTTGTTCCAAATTCTCACGGATCACCTCAATTTTAAGAAATCTACATTGGTGGCCAGTACGCCAGAGAATAACATTTAAAATCTTGCTGATTGTATATAAAGCACTTTTTGGTCAAGTTGCTACTTATATCAAAGAACTGTTAAATTTCAAACTTAATCAACACAATCGCAACTCGCGCAGTTCTCGATATACTTTGTTGCTGCAGATCTCATCTATCAAAACAAAAATAACGCTAGGTGATTGTGCATTTGCTCGTGGAGCCCCAAAACACTGGAATAACTTACCATTGGAAGTCAGGAAATCACCATCTGGGAATATCTGTAAATAAAAAACTTAAAGTACTTCTAAAGCATATCCGGAGCTCTTGTAGCGCAGTAAAATATTTACCTAATGTTGGATAGTTTCTGCGCTCTATAAATGTATTATTATTATCATTATTATTATTAATTTACTAGAATTGAATGATTCGTCCGTTGCCAGCACACGTGCTTTCCAATATAGTCATGATAATAACTTTGATGATATCTATGAGTTATTTTAAATCCCGCTCATATATCAAGAAGTATACAGTTACTTTAAATTGTTTGATATGTAATTACGTATTTGAATAAAAGCTACTAACGAGACATGATACTTTTAATTCGCTAGACGTGACAATAATTTTACCTATTATTGTACGGCTACGGGATATCTGAATGATGATCCTAGTTATGGACTGTACGTTTGTCTTTTCTTGAGGTTTACTGGAGTAAATTTTCTTATATAAACAGTGATTCACAATGTTAGTAAATAGATTAAAAAAACAAGACTTTTAGAAGGACTTTCGGCAAACAACGAGATACCAACTTTTTATCAGGATGGACACAAGTCATGATAGATGCCAAACAAACTTGGCCTAGCTTGGTTGTTTTGAGAGTCGTTATCAGAAAACCCAGACAATGTTGATCTTCTCATTCCAGGGATGTATCACAAGTAATCAGTGCAGACAGCTCACAAAGTCATTACTAAAAGAAGATTTACATGACGATAAACTCTAGTCGAGGTGAACAATTGACCCTGAGCTCTCTTATTATTTTATTCTTCTGTGGATATGGCATTTAATTTTGGACCCATTATGATGCTCTATGTTTGTGTAGTCCCATGAAGACTTATCTGTGTCCACTAATGTTCATCGTTCTTTAACTGTTTAGTAATATGTCGGGTGCCGGAGTCGGGTGAAATCACTGTACTTGGAATGTAAGGTGTTTTAACTAGGAGAAGGAAAGGTGTTAGCACAAAACAATTTTTTAAAGAGACTGATATCTTCCCCACAGAAGTCCTTCTCAAATTCCAATGATTTTTTTTTCTTAATGATTATTAATACTGTTTGTGATGACGCCGCTTGCATATATATAGCTAGAAAATTTAAGAAACCACTCATTATCACCTTATACTTCGTTATAAAATATCGAAAGAAAACGCGGTACTACAATTTACTTAGGCCTACACACGAGGACTGTTCCTCCAAACATTTTGTGAAAAGGTGTTTTAGGGCGCGTGTGTGTCGGTGAAGGAGCACTATTTTTTTGTTTGGCTCAACCATGTGAAGAGAGAAACGGTAAAGTATTGAAATCATCCCTTGTAATGTATTAATCCGTAGGGTTATTTATACCAATGGCTAAACATTGTATGTATATTTTCCCTCTGAGTTTTTTTTTTAGGTGCCCCCTTTTTTGTACAGAGCGTTTTTGCTTGCTTGCTTGCTTGTTTGCCTGTCAGATCATTTTGAGTTAACATTTACACATTGAACAAATCAAATGATAATTTGTGTTTTGTTTTGTTGATCCTAGGTCACTCAGTTTGCATGAATATATAAACAAAAAATATTCTTACATTTGAAGTTGCTTCTATATAGAGTTCGATTTTGAAAATTGTATTTTATATAGTCTACATTTACGCACACTATTTACATTTCTTCTTATAGAAATGAAAATATTGATTTGGAAAAATATAGCAGATGGCATATTATTACCAATTCTTGTCAAATATTGTAGCGATCTGTCATTACATTAAAGCTCATTAAAGCCGTGGTGGCAGGTCTGGATCCCCTCTACCACTCCAGTCACACGCACCTTTTCTTCCCCTTTCCACCTCTCACTTCCCCATTCTGGAGCAGTTAGAGCTCATTCCTGTTTGCTTTGGGACGATATTAGAGTGGATGATGCCACGATTATAACAAGCAGTAAATAAAGAAGAAAATAAGAAATAAGAAACGCCTTGATGAAGGCTAGAGGTGTGGTGGTCTAGCATGTAAATATTCATAATTAAATGACACACGCCCTTAAAACTAAAACAACAACAACAACATAGCAGATACGTCACCGGATTGTGGATCACATGATTTGCGGTTCGAGTCCTGCCACGACACTAATGTTCTTTGGCAAGACATTAATGTACATTTGCCACTCTCCACCCAAGTAGGTGAAGTAAATGAGTTCCCGGTAGGAAGAATCTCACTGAAGGCTTTAGCGTCTTATCAATAATATTATATTTTGTCTTAATCAAGCGCAGTAAAGTATATATATTCATATAGTAGCTGCGCTATATAAATGGCCCTGTTATTATACCTTCGACCTGTTGAATCTCGACATGTTTGCGTGCCTTGTTTAGCGAGTCAGAACTCTCCGTATCACTCTGTCTTTACTGAATGTCGCCATCTGTTGCTTTAGTAGGCCTACTGATAATCAGTGAGGTTATACTCGTTGTTTTCAATAAACAAAATGTGATGTGTAGATATACTCGAAAGTTTTGTAATTGAAGAATGAGGGAGTTTTTTGAATTACTGTATTCTACTCTAAATGTAGTTTTTGTTTACAGGGAAACACATTTGATGAAAGCGAAACAAACTACATCTCTTTCTCCTCTTTAATGCCTTTCCAGAGAGAGAGAGAGACAGAGAGAGACAGACAGACTGACAGAGAGAGAGAGACAGAGAGAGACAGAGAGAGGTCGGGAGAGAGAGACAGAGAGAGAGAGAGAGAGAGGGAGAGAGAGAGAGAGAGAGAGAGAGAGAGGAGACACAGAGAGAAAAATAATAGTGTTATGCCTTTCATATCTTTTTCGAGATTGTATGCGGTCACCTTTCCTAATCAGAATCCTTGATTCCCATATTTGTTTTAACATGACACAACTGATAAGCATGTTTTGTCGGGGTACAAATTTGACATTGACTTTAATAGCAAAACGATTTTCAAGTTTACATGGACTTTAATTTCGATTCACAGATAACTTCGGTGTGAGATTGCACATTAACACGACGACAAAATATTTCCGATGAGTTTGCGTTTTCAATGTTTTGCCATGTCATATTGCTGTTGACACAATTGCAAAAATAAACCACTTGATATACGTAGGGATTTGATTAATATACAATGCAAGGACAGTTGTATATGATTTGGTTGAATGTTACACCTGTGTTAGTCATAAGAAGCCTAAATCCTCGGTCACAAATGCCATTACGAACTGCTACGAACGCCGTACGAACGATTTGCAGACAATGGAAATTCGGGAAGACAATGGAAAAACAGGGAGATTCGTATACGAACGCAACGTTCGTACGAACCTTTGTGACCGTAGCTTTATGTATCTTAGCACATAATGGAAGCATCTACAGGAATTTTACACTCCTCCATGAAATCGGCTCAAGCCATTTCTAGTATATTATACTATTGCAAAATCACAATGATACCCAGATGGCATATCTTGAGACACACAATCGAGTACACAATGAGGAGAAAAAAAGCCCCGTTGAAAAAAAGTCCACCCTGATATTAAGTTGGTTTTAATAGAAGCAGAAAAATGTCGAAGTGAGAGTTTGAGCAAAATTCGATTAAACATAAGAATGTTATGGATTGTTGAAGTTGCGATCAATGAAACACAAATTGGCACTAATTAAATCTGTGACGTATTTTGCGAGCTCCCCTCCCATTTGCTCCGTACGAAAAAAAATCTGAAGTTATATTTTCTCTCATAACATTTTTCAATCATGCATGCTTCCTAAATATAATCATCACAAATATGTCTCTATTCAATACCTGTACAGACATAATCTATTCCGTCATCAATGACGAAGAAGATTAAAGTTTATGAAATATTAAATACAGAGCAAATTAGAGAGGACCTCGCTAGGTACATCACAGTATTGACAATTAGTGTTTGATTGGTCGCAACTTCCGAAATTAATTACTTTCTTATTTTTAATCGAAATTAGCTCAAAACTTCACTGACATGTCCCTATCATTTGTCTGCTCCTATTAAAAACAACTTTATATCAAAATGAACTTTCATTTTTAATCGTATCCCGCATACTTTCTAAATAGTCCTAGTCAATTTTCGACGGTAAGCCTTTATAACTTTATGATAACATTTTATTGAAATACTTTAATACATTCGTATAATACATGTACGTACATGTAAATTGTTTTTGTTTTCCCTGCAATTGAGGTACAAAATAACTTTTTGAAACAATGTAATTCCTAGTCGTTGATTTTCTTCGGCAAGGAACGCAATATAATGGGGGATTGACTGTGATGATAATAATGATAATAACAAAATTAGAATAATGTTCAGCTATATATGTTATAAATTCTCTTTGCGCTTTACATACAAATCGATTTCTTACAAATATCATAATGAAAAATAAACCAATAGTCTTCTTAACTTTGTTAAAAGTGTCAACACAAGATTCAGCAAATCTCTCCTTATAGGAAAACACGGAAACATAAAAAGTGCTTTGTACAAAGCAGTTATTTACAGTTATTTATGAAAAAGTTGAATGTAGCGAACAAATAAACATTATTTTGACAAGTACACAGATATTGCAAAGCTCACTTAAGTACACAATGTGCAAATAGAATTATACTTTCCAGTGTAAACACTTATGAAGACTTTGTAAACATAAAATGGGATAAACGCAATAAAGCATGTAAACTGAGGTACTATAAATTATGCAAACCTGCGATGTCTATACCAGGATGACGCGAGAGGGAATTATGGGGGTGTAACCACTAGAGCCATCTATATAAAGAGTATGGACCAACTTGGTTTCACTGGGTCACAACATGGCGTATATTCTTATGTTTTGTGCTTGCCCAACAAAGCAGTAGTCGCCATATTGTGTCCAACTCAACCTGGTTGGCCAAACTCTGTGTATAGATGACTCTGGTAACCACCACTCTTTAAAAAATATTGCAACAGTTAATGGCATAGGCTATGTTTCTTACTGGGTGAAATTTTCTATTTTTCAGGGGAGACATCTGTTGGACAATGTTATAGTCTAACAACCAATGCTTTTCTTTGTCAACAAAACCTCCTTTTTTGTGGTCGTTTTTTGTGTAGGAGAATTTTCTGCAAAAAAACAAAAATTTCTAGATACATTTCACTTTAGAAGTGGGAAGTCTGAAGACCACTTTTACCCTTTTCAGCATCTTTAAAAGTCGTATTACACCCTTTTTTGTATTGTTTTTTTTTCTTCAGGGACATAGGACCCCTGGACATATATAGGTATTATCATGGATGATTGTGGAACCCATCACTCTTTCCTCCCGATCAATGCATTGAAATATATAATATTTAAATATAAGTTCTGATTCTTTCGTTAGCGAGAGGGCAAATATTTCAGAATTCATCTATGCGAACAGGCATTAACAGTGTAAAATATGTCATATTACATTGTAACGATATCATTGTAGAGTAGTGTACAATGGACAGTGAAAGCAAGTCGTATCAAACACAAATATATCAGGGCTATATATATGAAATATATTGAAAGTAAAATTGGATGATAACAAAATAGCGCACTTTGTGCATATTTCTAAACTGTATTTGAATTTGCGGACATAATTTGAAAACCTTCGTAAAGAATTTTGACATGGGAAATATTGATTATAAAACACGTCATGCTCTAAATATGTCCATCGATGTGCAGGTTAGTAAATAAATGTAGTCCAGTTGGTTTATAAAGTTATGATTAAATAAGGTATACTATTTTGTCAGAACTGCAACAATATATTTGCAATGATATTAATATCTATAACTATATTAACATGTTATAGAGGAATGTCAATATATGACCAATGTCTTTCGGGTAAAACAGATTTGAACTGTGGTACAGACAAACGGTTCCTCCAGCAAACTGTATTGCATATTAATGTTGGTAAAACCAGTACCAGTAAATGCACGTTTCACTTAATCTATGATAATATGACGACGTGTTGCCTAATTCGAATGTGATTTCTTTGGAATATAGAATAGGACAATGAAAATGATCTAGAGTTGATTTATCGTAATTCTTTGCCATCGTGTTCAGATCGCATTATGGTGTAGTCACTTGATTCTCTGTTATAGACGCATCATCATCACTGAATCCTTGATCAAGTTCTTCGTCAGGCATCTGCTCTTCAGAAGCTTTGTCCATCGCCTTCTTTTCAGACCACCATTTGCGAAGGGTGATTCCAACGAGACTACCGACGATCAAAAGAGCACCGGTTATTGTGATGCCATTCGGTATGATCTGGAAGAACAGATAGTCGAGGACGAATGTAAAGAGGACGTCGCACGTCCGGATGAGAGACACGATCGTCGCCTTCTCGTATCTCAGCGCCAGAGTGAGAGCAATTTGCGACATGAACTGAAAGGTACCGGTCAGAAGTAGGAGTATACGGTCCCTGCCACATTGAGGGATCACCCACTCACGGAGGGCAGTAGCCAGGACTGCACTAAGTACCATTCCAATCGAGGAGAAATAGATCAAGATAACAACAGGATGGATCCGATACGAGCCAATCTTGCGAAGGGTAATAAAGACAATGCCGACCATGGCCGCCAATATTAGGCAAAATATCGGTCCAAGGATACTTGTGGATGAACTTTCCCCACCGAAGATGAAAGGTGGCTGAATGACCAATATAACTCCCGAGAGTGTTAAGGCGGATAAAATAATGTCCACAGCGGTGCAAGCCTCGTGAAGGAATATGCAACTGAAGAATCCGGTGAAAACTGGCGAACAGTAGATGATCGCTTTAGCGTTACCAATAGGCATGACCTGAAAAGCAAAGAAAGCGAGTGAGGTGCCAATGGATCCCATGATTGCGCGAAAGAGTACGAGGGACAGAGCTTTCCTGGGAAGGAAAACAGTCACCCTCTCTAGGGTGGCCAACGGCAAGCAGAACAACAATTCAACAAACATCTGCGCGAAGACCACTTCATTGGATAAAACTCTACCACTCAGGAGTGCGACTGTTAGTGTGGAAAATGACAAAATCACTGTTGAGAGTAGAGCCAAGGCAACACCTTTATAGCGGTCTATTGAACATGCAGACTCTTTAGAGACTGAATCATTATCTCCGAGATCACTTGTAAACGATTGATTTTCCTTCACGCTTTCACAATCTGGGGGATCTCCGGAATTCAACGATAAATTTTGAGCGGTGATGCTGATATTATCCAGTTCTCCAAACGTCTCATACGCTGCGTTGTTAAAACTTTGAAGGGTACAAGATCCGTCTGCACCTACGCCAGAATCACTACAGGTTCTGTTGCGTGAATGAAAAGTTCTTGAGAGTCTTGACGAAGAACGAAGTCTCAAGATCTCACTTTGACTTCGATTTCTCCCAGCCTGGGTAACTACAGACACATCACCACCGTGTATGTCATCCTGAGTCGAAAGGCCCGACATCTTGATCAAGAATTTGGGGTTTATATCTGTAAAAACAGTAATTGAGTGTGACGATTTATATAATTATATAAAAGATTAATATTTCACTATAATCTGAAAATATGTATCAAAACAAAGCATTGTAGATCTGTAATTATTTTAGAAGTGGGTATGACAATTTACTAAAGCAATACGAACAAATTGGTGATTTTTACATGACTGGCAAAAACGGGAATTTTCAATATAATTGATCAAACTATGGTAAAAGTTCTATTTTTAAGTACCCACATCCACAATGTAATCGGAATACAATCATTGAAACCGCTGAATGTTACATGCAAAGAAAATGTTGATTTACCTCATAGTGATGATCATTATTGATAATCAATATGTGTCAGGATATCAATATTAAATATTAGATGCTTCGATTTCGAAACTCTTTTAACTCAAAATGACCTTAATACAAAACTAAATACTGTCCTTACCTTGAGTATCTGCAGAACTGATCTATAAAGCCTTGTCGTTCCAAATATCTAGATTTGTAATCAAGACTCAGAAATACCCCATCTTACTCTGTTGAGAGAGTCCATCTTTGTTGTTAATAATTGACAATTGAGACGTTTTACAATAAGTGAATGGGTGGGTATGTGCCTTGCGTGTGTGTGTGTGTTTTTTTGTCTGTAATATGGGCTCTATCTTGCTACTCGTTTTTGGTGTGGCCGTTGAAGGTATCAAACTTTGGACTTGCAATGCATACACATCGAGAAAAAAAGAAGAACAACAAATTAAAAGATTGGATGCCAATTATGACGAGGCATTTATGATGTATTGTTTTGTAAGTGTAATTAATGTTATGTTGCAACAGTTAGGCCTACTTATCGCGCTGTTAACATTCGTCCTGTATTATTATCATAACACAATGCTTAATCATAGGTAATACTTCTATTCATGGTATCATACTCTTTCGCTCTCCCTTTGTCACTCTCTACCTCTTTCTTTCTTTTACGGCTCATATTTGAATATGTGATTGTTGCAAATATTTGTGTTTGATGTTTTTTTTAATTTGTTGTAATTAGGGTTAACTTCCAAGTAAAGTCATATACGTAGCGAGTTTCCGTATGATGCATCTTGTACTCATTGCTTTTTATAATGCCCCTCTGTCGTCATTACAGACTTTGACATTAATTATAATTTCTCACATCTTTCATATTTTCTTAACACAGTTTGGTTTACTTAAATTGTTGATATTGTATCGTGTCTATTTTTAAATGATTATTGCGCTCAGTAATATTTTCTGAAGATTATGAGTATATCGTATATGTTTGCTCATAATATTGTGAAATGTAAATATACCGGTCTTATCATGTTGGGGTTTCAATGCTTATCACAAATTTAACGCTTATTATAATCGTTATTTTGCTTTTGTGCAGCTATTTCAGGATATTTCTCCAACCTTCTTCTTTTTTTTTAGGGGAGGGAGGGGGTGCAGGGGGCATTTGAGCGGGGAAGTGCACATAACTCAATTAATTGGAATTAACATTATCGCCGTCGTCACTGTTAGCCGTCGTCATCATCAATACTTCTCATCATAGTATATGGATTCATGATGATACATGTTAATTTACAAGTAATTGAGGTAAATGCTTTTCTCTTTCAAATGCCTCCCCCCCCCCCTCCAACAAAAATGTATACAAAGAAGATGGTTGTGTGAAACTGTTAATCATTTCATCGCAGAAACAACAGTTACGTGAAAAACGTTTTTTAAAGAGACAGGTTGTTCTGTGGGGGAAATATAATGACTTTATTGAAAAATGAAACATTACTCCAATGGAAATTTTCGGGGGGTAATCTTCCTCGGGGGTAATTTTCCGTGGGGTAATTTTCCGGGGGGTTAATTGTCCTTGGGGTGGTTTTTCGGGGGGTAATTTTCCGGGGGTGATTGCCGAGGGGGTAATTGTCCTAGAACCTGTTATCAGCAATACCAGAGATGTCAAGTATTGTTGTCCAAAACGCTACCGTGTCAGCTTTTGGAGATGTTGCTGAGGATGTCTTCATCCTTGCCATGCTGCTCATCTTTATGGTTTCGACTATCCCGCCATTTCTTCAAGGTGATACCAACAAAACTTACGATAATTACAATAATGTAAAGAACGTTTTTTAAGAGACAGGTTGTTCTGTGGGTGAAATATTATGACTTTATTGAAAAATGAAACATTACTCTAATGGAAATTTTCGGGGGGTAATCTTCCTCGGGGGTAGTTGGCGGGGAGAGGGGGGGGGGGGGTTATTGTGCTCGGGGGTAATTGTCCTCGGGGGGGGGGGGGGTGATTGATTGTCCAGTGGGTAATTGTCCTAGAACCGGTTATCAGCAATACCAGAGATTTGAAGTATTATTGTCCAAACGCTACCGTGTCAGCTTTTGGAGATGTTGCTGAGGATGTCTTCATCCTTGCCATGCTGCTCATCTTTATGGTTTCGACTATCCCGCCATTTCTTCAAGGTGATACCAACAAAACTTACGATAATTACAATAATGTAAAGAACGTTTTTTAAGAGACAGGTTGTTCTGTGGGTGAAATATTATGACTTTATTGAAAAATGAAACATTACTCTAATGGAAATTTTCGGGGGGTAATCTTCCTCGGGGGTAGTTGGCGGGGAGAGGGGGGGGGGGGTTATTGTCCTCGGGGGGTAATTGTGCTCGGGGGTAATTGTCCTCGGGGGGGGGGGGGGGTGATTGATTGTCCAGTGGGTAATTGTCCTAGAACCGGTTATCAGCAATACCAGAGATTTGAAGTATTATTGTCCAAACGCTACCGTGTCAGCTTTTGGAGATGTTGCTGAGGCTATCTTCATCCTTTCCATGCTGCTCATTTTTATGGTTTCGACTATCCCGCCATTTATTCAAGGTGATACCAACAAAACTTGCGATAATTACAAAAGCCCCGATCACGGTCAGGTAGTTTGGGATGACGCCAAAGAAGAGATACTCGAGAGTGAATGAGAAGAGGATATCGCTGGAGTGAACGAGTGCAACGGTCGAAGCTCGTTCAGTTTTAAGGGCTAGGTAGATGAGAATCTGGGAGGAGAAGTGAGCTATTCCGTTGCTAAGGAGAATCATGCGATCCCATCCACATCCAGGTAATGACCACTGCTGGAAGATGGAAGTCAGAAATGCCGAGAAGCATGCTCCGTAGATGGAATAGAAAGTGAGCATGGTCAAAGAGGGCATATTATAAGAGCCAAGCTTTCGCATGATGATCAAGATGGATGCGGACATGATAGCACTTATGAGGCTAAGTATGGAACCAAGAACCTTAGCATCAGAAGCTCCTTCGACCGATTCGGCATTTGCGAATAAAAACGATGGCTGTGCGATGAGCAAAACACCACTTAGCGTCAGAAAGGATAAAAGGGTGTCAACAAAAGAGCAAGACTCCCTTAACAGTATCCACCCTAGCAATCCTGCAAAAACGGGGGCGCTGTACTGTATCGATTTTGAGCTAGACACGGGCATGATTTGATAGGTGATGTATATCAAGGATGTGTTGGTTGCGCCGAGGATTGAGCGCAGGAGAAGCAGAAGGTATGCATTGCGGCTGTGTTTGAAAGGAACTCTACGGTAAGCATTCACCGGTAGGCAACATAGAAGCTGAATGGTCATCCGAGAGACCACCATCTGGTTCGGGCCTAATGTTCCTGAGAGGTAAATAACGATCATACCACTGAGGGCCATGATGACCGCAGATGTTAGCGTATACCAGATGCCTATCTGAGGAACCTTGTTTAGACTAGATCTGACATTTCCATTCGTCTGTGTTTCGCTCTCACCCACATCTTTGCTATCCAGACTAGCAGAAGAATCGACGAAACCTTGTGTCTGTGTGGTGATTCCCTTATCTCCACCATCCTCATCACAAGTGACGCAGTCGTCATCATCTTCAAATCCACGATTCTGTATTCCTTGAAGCACCGAATGTTCCGCCCTTGCTATTGTATCTCCGCTCTTGGTTTTCAAAGACATATTTCGTATGGTTTTGAAGTCGGGTAGCTTCGATCATTAACACAAGTTTTCATGTCACAATGTAGTGCAATCGTAGTGAAAGATGAAAATGCAGTGCTAAGGAAAGTCTCATCCACTCCTCATTTGGTGAAAGAAAAGCTTATACAAAATCTCATTCTTTCCACAAATCTTATCAAAGTAATTAAATTATAATTTGGTGAATATCCTTTATCCTAGGCTTCATCTCGATGAATTCCTAACTAGGATTCCTGGCTTATACGTCTGCAATTCGTACGGAAATCACAGAAGTGAACATTATCTCGTTTCATTTGGGATTGTGTGATAACAAATATAGACGTCTGATCTTTTCAGTAGGTTCTTCATCAGGTGACTTGTCAAAATGGTACATGTATCTCGCTATTATCACCTGTAATAGTTTCTTTATCAGAAAAACATAATCCTTTACGCAATGGACTCACGAAAACCAACCTTCGTCTCTAACTTATTAAAGGAGAATGAAACTCAACAAACATATTAGCTGATTATCTTATTCAAACTTATCAGCCAGTTACGAAAACCTTGAAATGACGATTAGAACGGTTACAGGCGGTATTCCGTAAATGCTGAGTTTACGAAAGTAAGTCCCACCAAGAAGTAACTTCTTGGTCCCACGAGGCATGCATTGACCAAACACAAGATTGAGCCGAGGATAGTCGAGTTTGGGATGGGTTCCACCCCTTCTACGTTTTGATAGAGTGCAGGTCTATTATCAAATATTTAACCGATTCCACTACTCAGTTTTACGTACACCCGCATTAATTCCAGAGATAATGTCATTAAACCAGCGCCACCCCCTCCCCCCTGGGAAGAAAAAAAACGTGTAAAAACACGTGAATTTTACCCTTTTTTTGGAGATGGCCCCCCCCCTGGCGCTCAAGTGGGGGGGGGGGGGGGGTGGGGTGCGATTTCTCAAATTTTCGAGGGCCAACAAAAAAAATGTGCTCACTACCCCTCCCCCCCCCCCCCCCGCCTGGTGTTAATAAATGTGTTTAATGTACAAGACATGTACATGCATGTATCGATGAATAGGACACTACACTCGGTACAGTTTTTGTTTGTCGTATGATATGTTTATTTCTAGATAGATAAAATTTAAACATAGAGAATTAAGATTGCCCGTATTCCGTATGGGCTATACCCCCCTTTAAAAAAAATTATACCCTGGTTGTAACTAAAAATGATAGAGTAGAGAAAGAGAGGGCGGGGATTTTAACTGAAGAGAAAGGTAGAGAGCCCACATAAATTAAGGGAGAGAGACTTATGCAAGTTTGAAGTGTGTTAACTATATATAAATGCGTTTAATGTACATTTAGAACTACATGTACATGTATAATTATATCGATGAATAGTACACTACACTCGGTACAGTTTTTGTTTATCGGATGAAATGATCATGTATAGTAGTAGTAGTATGGTATTTATTCATCAACATATCGCAGCCAATGGCTGAATTGCATGCATGATTTACAGAGATTTTATTTAAAAAATATTTTAAAAAAACATCATATTTACAGTTCGTTATTTAACAATAATTCAAAGACAATAACCTCAATTAAACTAATAAAGGGAAGACAGAAATAAAGCAAATATGGAGCGGGGAGATAAGGAAAGAAGAAAAGGAATGTTGAGGGAGAGGGAGTGGAGAGAGAGAAGGGGAGAAGAGAAGGGAGTGTGAGGGAGAGAGAGAGGGAGCGAGAGAGATAGAGAGAGAGTGAGAGAAGAACAAAGAGAGAGAGAGAGAGAGAGAGGAACACAAACACAGAGCTGGTATAATATAAAAAAAAAATTGAAAATGTAATTGAAAATGTAATTGAAAATAGTTATTTCATTCACATAAGTGGGAAGGAATTGATTTGTAAAAAGTTATTTTGAGGCAAGAGTAAATACATTTCCACAAACACAGAGCTGGTATAATATAAAACAAATTAAAAATGTAATTGAAAAGTTATTTTATCCAAGTTAATGGGAATGCACTTCAGAATGATTGATTTAAAGAAAAGAATTTTGAGGCAAGAATAAATAGATAAGTATATTTCTAGATAAATAAAAGATAAATATGATAATGAGATCTAACTCAAACAAGTTGAGATACAAGTTTTTAGACGCTAATTGTATACTTTGGTGCCAATTTGGCCCCTCTTTGCTTTAGAATAAAAAATTAATCACAAATGAAAATGTACAAACCAAGATACTACTACCCCCCCCCCCCGTCGGCAATTTCCAAACAGCGTTTAATTTAGATTTTATAGTTATATAAATAGATATTTAAGAGAACGAAATATGAATTAATATTTATATTACCCTTGATTTAAATACAGAGAAAGACATTTTACGTTCATAGGTAGCTGATTCCAAGATTTAATGTCTTTATAACATAAGCTCCTTTTATTGAAATTCATATGTGGTTTTGGCAGTTTAAGGTTTTATGAGCATTTTTCAAGCTATAATGATATTCTGTAATAACAAAGTACTTTCTAAACTCACCAAATATCATTTTATGCACTATTTATACAAAACACATAAAACATGGTTATGTCTCCCTCTTGATAGATTGTCCTATTCTGTAGCTTTTGCAAACTTTCTAAACTTCCTTTTCCGGCATTCCCCCAAATTGCACTATGCAGTAATCAAACTTACATTGAATTACTGATTTATAAAATATTAGTGCAGTTTGTTGTGTAACATATGGTCTAAGTCTTTTCAACAAAATCTTTAAATACCTTCTTACTTAAATATTCAATATGTTTACCCCAATCCAAATGTTCATCAATAACTATTCCAAGAAACTGACAGTGGGTTACACGTTTGAGAGGAACATTTTGTATGTAAACATCTGGTACTATTATATTTTATAGCTGTTTCTTCGTTCCAATACAAAGTAATTCACATTTTGGCACATTTAAAGCAAGTCTGTTCCTTTTTAACCAAATATCAATAAGTTATAAGTCTGAACTTAATGATTCGGTTTGATGATTTGCACTTGCGTAATATAGACACGTATCATCAGCATATAAAGAAATTGTACATGTTTCAGACATAAAGGCCGTTGAAGGTATCAGACTTTGGACTTGCATACACATCGAGAAAAAAAGAAGAACAACAAATTAAAAGATTGGATGCCAATTATGACGAGGCATTTATGATGTATTGTTTTGTAAGTTCAATTAATGTTATGTTGCAACATTTAGGCCTACTTATCGCGCTGTTAACATTCGTCCTGTATTATTATCATAACACAATGCTTGATCATAGGTAATACTTCTATTCATGGTATCATACTCTTTTGCTCTCCCTTTGTCCCTCTCTACCTCTCTCTTTATTGTACGGCTTATATTTGATTTTGTGATTGTTGCAAATATTTGTGTTTGATGTTTTTTTAATAAATTTGTTGTAATTAGGGTTAACTTCCAAGTAAAGTCATATACGTAGCGAGTTTCCGTATGATGCATCTTGTACTCATTGCTTTTTATAATGCCCCTCTGTCGTCATTACAGACTTTGATATTAATTATAATTTCTCACATCTTTCACGACATTTTCTCTTTTTCTTAACACAGTTACATTGGTTGGTTTACATAAATTGTTGATATTGTATCGTGTCTATTTTAAAAGGATTATTTCGCTCAGTAATATTTTCTGAAGATTATGAGTATATTGTAACTGTTTGCTCATAATATTGTGAAATGTAAATATACCAGACATATCATGTCGGGGTTTCAATGCTTATTACAAATGTAACGCTTATTATAATCATTATTTTGCTTTTTTGCAGCTATTTCAGGAGATGTGTCCAACCTTCTTCTTCTTCTTCTTCTTTTTTGTTGGGGGGGGGGGGGGGGAGGGCAGGAGGCATTTGAGCAGGGAAAGGCACATAACTCAATTAATTGAAATGAAAATTTTAATACATTTATATTTATGTTTAATTTTCATAAAAACCTGTTACCGTCTGTTTTTAATAATATGTTCCAAACAATTTCTTCTATTCACAATTACCCCACTCGTCAACGTCTAAATTTACATCACCCACTCTGTCGTTCAACTTCACTGTATAATTCTATATCATTTGTTGGGGTACGGGAATGGAATTCCTTAAATCATGACCTAAGATCCAGTTCTACAATTACCAGATTTAAATCAATGTATAAAAAAGTATTTTTCAATCCATGGTTGAGTAGGTACCTCTCTTTCCCATCTTTTTCTACTTTTATCTCTTTCTGCCCTATTTTTCGCTTCCTTCTATTCTTTCTCTGTAACCTTCTTTATGGACGTGTGCGTACTTGTATTATTTAAGTCCTCTAATTTTTTTTGTTAACTTATGTGCAATATCTTGTTATTGTTTGTTAGCAGGGCCCCGATTACAAGCAGATTTCTGTTTTTTAGGGTTCCTAACCATTATATTGTATATTGTATATTGTATTTTCATTGTAAATTGTTTTTTTTATACTGGTTGAATAAATGAAATGAAATGAAAAAAAAACGGTATCACCATTATCGTTGTTGTCGTCACTGTAAGCCGTCGTCATCATCAATACCTGTCATCATAGTATATGGATTCATGATGATAAATGTTACTTTCAAGTAATTGAGGTAAATCCTTTTCTATTTCAAATGCCCCTCCCCCCTCTCCAACAAAAAAGTATACAAAGAAGCTGGTTGTGTTAAACTGTTAAACTAATTTCATCACAAAAACAACAGTTACGTAAAGAGCGTTTTTTGAGAGATATTCTGTGGGGGAAATATAATGACTTTATTGAAAAATAAAACATTACTCTAATGGAAATTCAAATGAACAACACAAATTATCAACATTCAAGATATTTAGTCAACATTTTTTTTTTAATTTCTCATTCTTTTTAAAATAATTTATCGCTCATTTTTTCTCCCTCTCTGCATATTTCTGCCACCCATTCAACCTGTTTCCCATTCACTATAAACATGGAAATCTGAGTTTACTCACCTGTAATATAAGATGACGATATCAAAGAGTGTAAGATAGTAAAAGGTTGAATATATACATCATGTTAACAGTATTAATTGGATGGTCATTTACACACAAATAATCCTATACAGTTAGGAATGTCGCTACATTAAGGTTCTTATAATTTGGCGAATATAGGGTTATCAGTTATAAGATTTGAAGTATTAGTGTCCAAACGCTACTGTGTCATCTTTAGGAGATGTCGCTGAGGCTGTCTTCATCCTTGCCACGCTGCTCATCTTTATGGTTTCAATTTTCCCTCCATTTCTTCAAGGTGATACCAACAAAACTTGCGATGATTAAAAAAGCCCCGATCACCGTCAGGTAGTTTGGGATGACACCAAAGAAGAGATACTCGAGAGTGAATGAGAAGAGGATATCAGAGGAGTGAACGAGGGCAACGGTCGAAGCTCGTTCAGTTTGAAGGGCTAAGTAAATGAGAATCTGGGAGGAGAAGTGAGCTATTCCGTCGCTAAGGAGAATCATGCGATCCCATCCACATCCAGGTAATGACCACTGCTGACAGATGGAAGTCAGAAATATCGAGAAGCATGCTCCGTAGATGGAAAAGAAAGTGAGCATGGTCAACGAGGGCATATTGTAAGAGCCAAGCTTTCGCATGATGATGAAGATGGATGCGGAGAGGATAGCACTTATGAGGCTCAATGTTGAACCAAGAACCATATCATCAGAAGCCCCTTCGACCGATTCGGCATTTGCGAATAAAAACGATGGCTGTGCGATGAGTAAAACACCACTTAGCGTCAGAAAAGATAAAAGGGTGTCAACAAAAGAGCAAGACTCCCTTAACAGTAGCCACCCTAGCAGTCCTGCAAAAACGGGGGCGCTGTACTCTATCGATTTTGAGCTGGACACGGGCATGATTTGATAGGTGATGACTATCAAAGATATGTTGGTTGCGCCGAGGATTGAGCGCAGGAGAAGCAGAAGGTATGCATTGCGGCTGTGTTTGAAAGGAACTCTACGGTAAGCATTCACCGGTAGGCAACATAGAAGCTGAATGGTCATTCGAGAGAACACCATCTGGTTCGGTCCTAATGTTCCTGAGATGTGAATAACGATCATACCACTGAGGGCCATGATGACCGCAGATGTTAGCGTATACCAGATGCCTATCTGAGGAACCTTGTATCGACTAGATCTGACATTTCCATTCGTCTGTGTTTCGCTCCCACCTACATCATTGCTATCCAGACTGGCAGAAGAATCGACGAAACCTTGTCTCGGTGTGATGATTTCCTTATCTCCACCATCCTCAACACAAGTGATGCAGTCGTCATCGTCTTCAAATCCACGAGTCCGTATTCCCTGAAGCACTGAATATTCTGCCCGTGCTACTGTATCTCCGCCCTTGGTTTTCGAAGACATATTTCATATGGTTTTGATGTCAGGTAGCTTCGATGATTAACACAAATTGTCATGTCACACTTAGTGCAATCGTAGTGAAAGTTGAAAATGCAGTGCTAAGGAAAGTCTCATGCACTCCTCCTTTGGTGAAAGAAATGCTTTAAACAAATCTCATTCTTTCCACAAATCTTATCTAAGTAATTAAAATATAATTTGGTGAATATCCTTTATCCTAATCTTCATCTCGATGAATTCATAACTAGGAGACCTGGCTATACGTCTGCAATTCGTAGGGAATTTACAGAAGTGATCATTATCTCGTTTTATTTGGGATTGTGTGTTTAAAAAATATCGACGTCTGATCTTTTCAGTAGGAGTTTCATCAGATGACTTGTCAAAATGGTATCTTGCTGATACCACCTGTAATAGAATCTTTATCAGACCAATCCTTTACGCACTGGACTCACGAAAAATACCATTGTCTCTAACTTATTCAAGGAGAATGAAACTCAACAAACATAATTATTAGCTGATTAGGAGGCGCGATAGCTCAGTCGGTAGAGCAGTGGTCTCGTAATGCGCCCCCCCCCCCCCACCACTTCGTGATCGGAGGAATACCATGCGTGTTACCAACATGTCTGGTAAAGGGGTACTTTTCACGCACCAAAGTCTGGCTCGTAGTACACAAAAGCCCGTTTAACACAGGTGTTTTCAAAAGGAGGGAACATGCATAAGGCGTACCCTAAATAACACTGAGTGGGGGGGGGGGGGCGGGGCGATGCGCTAGTGCCCTTTGGTAAGGCATTACTCCTCATTACCAGGTCCCTCGGAGAGGACCTAAAGCCGCCAGCCGTCTTGTTGCTTACTTACGCAGTTATGCTTTCTTAGCAGTCAGGTAAAAATAACCACCACCATCTTATTTAAACTTGTCAGTCAGTTACGAACACCTTGAAAGTATTTGTATTTGATTATCTAGCTAGGAAAACAATATCGCCACACTTTACTGTTTCCATACACGTTTGCTACAATGTAGGACACTTCACTTGTGAATAGCAATCATATAACAATGACCTCCTAATAATAGATAATTTCGGTAATGCATTCATTCGAGTGGATATTCTGTCATCAAATATTGTGACAACATATTTGCTCAGCTGTTTGAAACGGATTATCAGCTAACGTTTGTTTTCGTTTTATTTTTTCTTGTATGAACCAAACGACTAATACTCATGTCTTGATTTTTTTTAGTTCAATGACCTTCTAAACCACAGCTAATCTGAATACTGCAAATAATCTTTATAAGGCTCCAGCAGTTTTCTGGTATGTACAAATTTCGTATTGATTATACAGAAACATAGTTTTGACACGATTTCAGGAATATTTTTGTTGGAAATGTAATTAGAGATTCATGGAAGCTTCGACCCTTTGACAAGTGATTTCATTATAGAAGGAAATTTAGTCATAACCAAGTAAAATCGATACATCATACCAACATATATACTCAACAGGAACAAAAATCATTATAAAGAATTGATTACGTAAAACTACATAAGAGGCAAATAGTGTTTGACAAACTTTATACATGTTCCTCTCGTTCTCATGAGAAACGATTGCAAGGACTACCGAGAAATCAACTCAAAACACACAGTGGGTGTGTAAGTGTGGGTGTCTACATGTTTGTGTTGTTAGGTACTTTAGAGATAAAGACAAGGATAGAGAGAGAGAGAGAGAGAGAGGGAGAGATAGAGAGAAAGAGAGAGAGAGGGAGAGAGACGGAGGGGGTGGGGTAGAGAGAGGAGGGGTGAGACAATGTCTATTACGTCTATGACATGATGTATCTGATGTATATAACATTTCAAAATAAAAATCTTGCCCATGACTTGAGTGAACTTTTCATAAAAACCTTGTGTCAATAATTTATTCAATTTATGATTTATCATGCATTAGCATTTGCTTTGATCACGTGCATGGCACATGGACACATACACATGGAAACATACAAACATAGCGAATAATTTAGAATGAAATAAATGTGTCTAAGTGTTTCTAAGTTATTTACAGTAATATGATGAACAAGTAAAATACATTATGAGTGAGATAACATTGCACTACACTGCACTATACTGTAGTTCTTTAGGATTTATGTTTTTAAACAATAGTATCAAGATAATGTATCCAATCTTTATGAAGACTTTAATACCCCCCCCCCCCCCCGAAAAACGGATGCATCAATTTTACCGTCTTTAGACCAGTGGCATCGGTTATATCAAGAGTTTCACGGCACGTTGTATTTGTTCAAATTTCCACGATATTTTTATTTTGTTATCAAGAATATGTTAGCCATGTTATGTTACAAACGTGAAACTTATGAGGACAAGTATAAAAGAAATTCAAGGATCATCATCTTCTGAAATGGGTTCTTTATTACGTCCCTTTTTCACAGTGAGTCCTACAAGGCTAGCCATGATCACGAAAGCGCCAACTATGGTCAGGGCATTGGGACGGATGTCAAAGATCAAGAATTCCAGGATGAACGAGAAGATGATATCGCTGGAACGGATCAACCCTACCGTTGAGGCTCGTTCTGTTTTTAGGGCTATGTACTCCATAAATTGGACACTCAAGAGGAGGATGCCATTACCGATTAACGTAAAACGGTCTAACCCGCATTGAGGTATTGTCCACTGCCCAAAGATGGTTGTCAACGCTCCTGAGAAGATCATCCCTACGATGGAGTAGACGATTAGAACGGTTACAGGCGGTATTCCGTAAATGCTGAGTTTACGGAGGATGACGAAAGTAAGTCCCACAAGGCATGCATTGACTAAACACAAGATTGAGCCGAGGATAGTCGAGTCTGGGATGGGTTCCACCCCTTCTACGTTTTGAAAGACGAATGGAGGCTGAACTACAAGAATGACCCCGCCGAAGGATACGAATGACAGAAAGGTGTCGACGAACGAGCAAGATTCCTTGAGCAGAAGCCACCCAAGGAAAGCGGCGAAGATGGGAGCTGTGTATTGTATGGCCTTGGCTGTGGATATTGGCATAATCTGGTAAATGAAGAAGAACAGGGTTGAATTAAATGCTCCTATCGCGCAACGTGCGAAGAGTAGAAGATAGGCCTTTGCTGAGTACCGAAAATGGATTTTTTGACGGACAGCCAAAGGAAGGCATGCAAGAAACTGAATGCCCATGCGGATAAAGTTGATTTCGTTGGGACTGATCGACCCTTTGAGAGATGCAACACCAACAGAAGACAGTGACGTGGTAAAGGCACATATAAAGCAATACAACACGGCCTGATGCTTCACAAGAAACGTGGCACAAAGGATATAATATATCTTCCTCTTTCTCTCACCTTTCGACAAGTCTATGCCACTTTCGTTGTCATAGGAACTTTGTATTTCAGATGAACTACCTGTATGATCAAGGCTACTAGTACAGCTATCAATTTTGGGAGCGTCTTCACGTTCGTAAGCCAAGTTGGCAACGCCATTGTCCTTAGAATGGTCAACCTTGTCGAATAAAGTCCTCTTTCTGATGTCGTCTCCTGTATTCATCGTGCAGGTCTATTCTCAACCATTTAACCGATTCCACTATTCAGTGTTACGTTAAACCCGCACTAATTCCAGAGAAAATGTCATTGAACAAGATTCAAATTCTTAATCACGCGTGCGCCATTGCGGTCAAAGGCCTGTTTGAGTTAGATTTCATAATCACATTTATCTTTTTTCTATTTAGAAATAAACATGATCATATCATACGACAAACAAAAACTGTACCGAGTGTAGTGTACTATTCATCGATACATGCATGTACATGTAGTTCTATATGTACATTAAACACATTTATATATAGTTAACACACTTTAAACTTGTATAAGTCTCTCTTGCTTCCCCTTTCCCTTGATTTCTCTGTGGGCTCTTTACTTTTCTCTTCAGTTAAAATCCCCTGCCCTCTCTTTCTCTACTTTATCGTTCTTAGTTACAACCAGGGTGGCAGTAATCATTCTCATAGAAGTCACTTTTACCATTGCACCATAACCTATTTTTTGCGGAAATGCATTTACTTAAATCTTGCAAATTCGAAATTATCAGAGAAAAACAATGATAGATCGTAATGAACATCATGTATAAATATATGTTATTTGTAATGTTAGCGAAATGATACAGGCATTGTCTTTAGTCACATCAAACGACATGAATAAATTATGTCATGCCTCTAGGCACGTTTCATGATCAAAGTCACATAGCGGTCATGAGTTTCTCCACAACTGAAAGGTAATTATTATTATGCAAAGAAGTTCAGCGATCCTACAACAACTACCTCATCGACTATAGCACACTGCCGGACAACCGGACCCTGATAACTATTCTTGAGGACAATTACCCCTAGGAAATTAACCCCAGACAACTACCTCTAGAGCAATTAACCCCTTTCTGACATGTATCCTTTAATTTGACTATCCCATAGTTCTGACGTAACGGGGTTATCTTTCAAAGAGGTTGTAGTTGTCTTGGGAGTAGTCTTCGAAGTTGGTTATCCGGGAATAGTTGTCCAGGGGTCGTCCTGATAGACTAAAGCCTAACTCAGATATGAAGCCGTAAGACCCTGGTGTATTTCTTTCTTCTCATGATGACGTAATAGTGTGCGATATGCTTCATTCTTCGGTATCTTTTGAAACAGAGCTACATGAATACGAGTATCACAGGTGAAAACCCGTGACGGGTATTGTTTGGCGGCGGTTTATACCACGTCACATCTGAACGAGCAGTAAGAATTCGTCACTGCTTATGGTAAGCCTTCACTGGAGGATGGTGATGCGATTCGTCTTTATCAGAAAGTATTGGTGGTTTACGCCATCGGTGCTTTTAATTTCTTTTAATGTATGTCTGGTTTCAATGTCATTTAAAGTAGGTTGCAAAATCATGTCGTAACAGATGAAACGCCATCGAATGCAATAAAACTAATGACAATTCTAGTTTATTCAGTAGAATCAGATATGTACATTATTTTGATTATCATGGTTTAAGACATTAGTATAGATAATAATATTCAGGATTTGATTTTATTTTCATCAGTACTGTTTTTCTGATCCCTTATACTAGCTGTCCTGGTTGTGTTTGTTTCACCTTCCCCTTCGTGGTAATCTTCAGACTCCTTTTCCCTGGTACACAGTTTCTTAACTGTGAGTCCAACTAAGCTAGCCATTATGACCAAAGCCCCAATCACCGTCAAAAAGTTAGGTACAACACCGAAGATGGCAAATTCTAGGGCAAACGAGAATATGACATCACTCGAAAGGACCAGGCCAACTGTCGAAGCTCGCTCAATCTTGAGGGCAAGGTACTCCAAGGCTTGTGTCATCACCAGGAGGATACCGTTTCCTATCAAGGCGAATCGGTCCAGCCCGCATCCCGGAACTGTCCATTGACGGAGTGCGGTTGTCATAGTTGCCGAGATGATCATTCCAACGATGGAGTAGATGGTTAGAATGGTAATTGCGGGCATTCTGTAAGTGCTCAGTTTACGCAACACGATGAACGTAAGTGCTGATAAAAACGCAGATAGCAAACTTAAGATGGAACCAAGTACACCCGCTTCGGAAACTGTTTCCACCGATTCCACGTTTTCGAAAAGAAACGGTGGTTGTGCTACAAGGATGACCCCACCGAGAGTCACAAATGACAGTATGGTTTCAACGAAAGAGCAAGATTCCTTGAGAAGTATACACCCGAGCAGTCCGGCGAATATAGGTGCACTGTACTGTATTGCTTTGGCGTTGGCCACTGGTATAATTTGATAGATGAAGAAAATTAGGGTCGAGTTGAAGGCTCCAATAACACAGCGCATCAGCAGGAGAAAATATGCACTTCCGGAGTATCGAAAATGGATTCTCTGGTTGACAGCGACGGGGAGGCAGGCGAGGAGCTGGATGAACATCCGAATGAAATTGATCTCATTGGGATCAATCGAACCAGAGAGAGAAGCAGCAGCCATTGCAGCAAGAGCCGTGATCAAGGCGCATATAAGGGCATACAACACAGCCCTTTGTTTCGAAATAACCTTGATAAAGGACTCGTGAACCATTGTCTTTTTTATCTTCTTCTGCCCGTCCAATTCATCTTCTTCACTAACGAAACCTAGCTCTTGTGGCGAACCCTTCACATCATCACAGATTTGAGTACATATTTCGTCATCTCGATAAGCACTATTATTTTCACCCATTTCTTGAGAATGAACCTCAAATGTTTCAGCCATATTAGTGGTCGAATCTTATCCGACTTCAGAACAAGGATTCAACTAATCCACAAGATATTCGTTTAGGTAATTTTTTGAATAAAGACATTTGCGTTCAGTTTCTACTGAACACCATAAATTCGATCAGTCGGATGGTCACAAGAAATGTTTTAATTTAAGTCACGTGGAGCCTGTCAACATACATGTACGTCGTTGGAATCAAGACTGTTTGCTAGGTGTCTAGATAGAAGCTGATTGGACAAAGTAAAGACTGTAAGTAGACCATCGCATAAACAATGCCTATTAACAGCTAAGGTCATTGATAAAACGTCCTCACCTAAATTCTTACTATTCAAACATTGTTCCTATAAGATTAACATGCACATGTCGGGGGGGGGGGGGGTACAGACAGAGCTGATAACTGATTATGCAATAATTGTACTGTGAAAGATATTGTCAGGAAGCAATTTAGTAAAATAGTTGCCCATTTCTCACCGCTGAAACGAAGTATTCAGTTTTGTTTCTGTTTTACTTGATTCAGATACTTCACATTTTGAATGCTTAATTGCTACGTGGCTGTCATACAAAAGTCCTCGTTCAGGCCTGACGCGTTTATTGGCCTGACGCTATGCACTTCGTAATAAATGAAGTATACTTAGAGCAGGATTGTGATATTCAAGGTTAGCTTATGTGGCAATCCATGTTCATGATTATTTCATGTTTAGTATTACAATATAAATATTTAACGTTGATGATGTAATAATTGTACAGTTTGTTTATTATCATGATTCATGTTGTAATTATCTTTAAACTTTGGAAAAAAGATCATGAAGAAAAATGAATAAATACGTCAACTAAATAGAATAAAATAGGAAACTTGTTTTAAACTTTTTTTTTATTGTTTAAAAAGTTCTCTTTTTTTTACGGAAACGTGCTTTCACTGCGAAGGTTCTCTCAAAACCGTCTACAATAACACAAATGGCGACTGTGGCGTATCTAGGTATTAATATGACGGTCGGGGCAAACAATGAAATTTCAGGATATTTTATGCATATATCCCCCCCCCCCCCTCCACGTCAAAAAAAAAAGAAGAAAGAAGGAAAGAGAAGAAAAAAAAATATTGCATTTTGCCCATATGAAAATTTACATGGAGCACTGAAATCACTGGCATATGGCCATTTATTTTTGTTGGGGGGGGGGGGGCTGAATATCAACCATCTTGTTTAAAACCTTCATTATGGTAAAAAGTTTCCCACCTCATTGCCCAAATAGTAGAGCGTCTGTAATCGAACAGTAGAGTCTCGAATTGTGTAACATCAATTTGTTTGAAATTCTTTATTCTTTAGAAAGTGACCACTTTCCTTTTTTTGCTGATTGTAGATACGTATACGAGAGCAATTGTATGCCGGTTGGAAATACAAACGATATTGCAATAGTGTTTTATATACAGTTTAATGTATTTTAGTCATAAACAAGAACTAGTATGGTTGTAATTAGAGGTCAACACAACTAAGATGACACAATTCAACATGGGTTATTATCACAAATCAGTATACCAAATACTAACTGCAAAATTGTGTAAATATAAAATGCAATGGCGATGATAGAGACCACAAACAAAACATGAATATCAAACATTATTTGTTTTATTGTATCATTTATTTATCAGTATTTCACCTGGGTAGCCCATATAACAAAAGCGAAAATACATATTCACTATAATTATTCATTCAAAAAAAGTAAATTACAATCAAAGTAGCGTAAGTGTAGTCAATTAGGTGATACATTATTTTTGGTATATCAGTTTATTGATACTTCTGCAATAAAGAAACAGATGCATTATGACAAAGGTATACAAAGAAAAGGAGATCGAGCATATTAATAAGAAAAGCCAGGACATTATCTGATTAATGGTCCCTGCTGGGTAACGTAAAAAGATACTTCATTAAGAAATAGCTTCAATAAATCAACAGGGAAGTTACTCACACGGTAAACAAGTAATGTGATGGACTATTGATAAATATTGAAATACAGTAAATATTGAGTTGTTCATACAATAAGGTAATCACGACAATTCTTAATTATTGTCCTTACACTGTCACCTTAGTATTTAGACTCACCATCACCCATCAACTATACAGCCAGGATATTAAGTTAAAGCCTGTCTGCACTACTTTGCTCAGGAGGGATTAGACCTCCCTGCGTGGTCACTGATAGGTGGTTATCTCATCAATTTAGCTCTCAATTAACATAAGAAAAAGGGGGTCATGGGGGATCAACGGGTACCGCTTAGGCATTGCTTGTCATAATAGAGGGCGCACGTAGCTACAAGTAGTGCAGTCCCGCTTTATTAAAAGGAAGATACCTTTGTAGTATAGATAATGGGCATTAGTCTAGTATACTAGATCCTGGGCCTACCACAATTACACTAGCAATGTGGTACACGAAGAAGGGTTTGGGTTTTCCATCCGGGGTTGTTTTGGCATAAGAAATCATTTATGAAGAGGTCATTGCTAATTTAGAAATGTCATCCCGAAAAAAAACGTTGAACTTTGTTGGTTTACCAAAAAAATGTACAGCTTCAATTCCCATCTGGATGGTCTCTATAACAGGTACAAAAGAATATGAGTGTAACGCCACGTATACCGACCTTCATTAAGTACACTGCAGGGGAATGAATTAAGTGGGCTGATGTCACCCCCACCCATCTGACTAAGTTTACATTCATGTTCAGGGTGTGGGAAGAGCGTTCATGAGAAAACTAACTCGTGAAATTGTACAAGATTTCGAAAAAAAGGTGACCGTACCCCTCCCCCCCCCCCTAACTGAACGAAATATCGGTCGGCCAAATTTTCAAATTTTCGGGACAAAAAAAGTGCTCTTACTTAACTGCGTACGCCCCTGATCCTGACTAAACGCAAGCTAAAGATAATGCTTCTTTAGAGACAATTGGAATTCTTTGAATTACTTTTTTGCTCAGCAATTACAAAATCATAAATCATTCCACACAGTTGCGCCATCATAACATATGGCATTTTTATATTCGGCATGAAATTTACTTATAGGAAGATCGTGATTGGCACATTGCCAGGTGCTAATATTATGTATTTTTGTATAAGTTTGTATAGTCTGCTGATAAATCATTTAAAAGCAAATACACAGGTAAGTATTTAACTCGTTTCTTAAAAGGCATCCATTTCATGCGAGGAAATTATTCCTGCGAAGTTGGATAATTATATATATATATATTATCAAATTAATGTCTTTAATGTCTCCTTCAAGATACTATCTGCTCCTATACTTCTTTACCCGTATCAGTAGTATCAGTAGTGGTATCATCACCACCAACCTTATCATCATCAACAGCATTATTGATGTCATCACAATTAAGATTATTAGTGTCATTATCATTATCTTTATCATCATTATCATCATCACAGACATTACAATCGCCATTATTACTTAACATTTTATTTGACCGTCTTGAAATTAAGAGGAGCTTTTAATGTTCCCTACGAACCTGATGGAACCATCAACAAGATTTAAAGTGGTAAAGAGCACAAATCCAAAGAATACTTTCGAGAATAAGATCACCCGGCTAAGTAAGATCATCTTGAATTTTATGTTTCATCTCTTTCTCCTTGTCTCTTTTGCTTGCAAAGTGTGATGAAACTGTCATACCGATCGCACTCCCTACAACTCCAAAGACACCCACTATGGTCCATGCTCCAGGTGACATGTCGAAGATCAATAACTCGAAGATGAAAGAGACAATGACATCGTTCCCACGAATAATGGAGATCACCGATGCCTTTTGGGTTTTAAGAGCTAGAGTGCCTGATACCTGCTCAAGAAACCCTGTCAAACACATCACGATTATGATCAGGCGCTCTAAACCGCATCCTGGGTTTGTCCACTTCTCAAGGCCGGTAGTTTGAAAGATCGCGCTGCAGATGGCGGCGATGAAACCGTACACGAAAATGATGACCTGGGCGTGGATTCTAAGCATCTGCATGTAGCGCAGGACGATGACGTTGGCGGCCATGGTGACGGCGCCAACGACGGCACACATCAATCCGACAATCGAGGTCTCGCCGTCGCCACTGCTTCCAAATATGAATGGTGGTTGGACAACTAGGACTACGGATATCACTGTTAGTAAAGAGAAGAAGGTCGTCCATAGTGAACAGTGCTCCTTGAGACACAGTCCTGCGAAGATGGCTACGAAAAATGGAGAGCTGTATATCAGAGCTTTAGCTGTGGCCACCGGGATTGCTTGGTAGGAATAGTAACACATAAACGATAGGAAAGTTCCGATTATCCCTCGTGCCAGAATCAGAAGAACCATTTTTGGCGGATATCGCATCGGTAGTCTGTAACGGACGATGTACGGTGCGGTAAAGAGAATCTGGAAGATACCTCGGAAGAAGAGGAGTTGACTGGGAGGGACGATTCCAGCCAATAGCTTCACACAAAGGGAACAGAATGATGCATTCAAGATGCAAAAAATGGCCCAGAGTACGCCACGGTTTCTGTATAATACTTTCAATGATGATTTCCATGGCGGAATAATGGCTTTGTTGAAACCATTCAATAATGTCTCGAAATTCATTCCCCTGTCTTGTCCGACATATCCTTGTCGATCAATTTCCCTCCAGCATTTATCTTCTTGCAATGACACCGTATAATAAATATCACTTTGATGATCCTGGGTTTCATGATAATAATCTGTTTCCACATTTTGTCCATTATCAGGCTGTTTCACCTTTCGAAACGATGTGTAATTCGCCATCATTACAAACACAATTGCATTTAGATGCGAGTTGAACGGGAGAAACCGTGGTCATCAACCTGAAGAAGAGAATAATAATGAGTAATAAATTAACTATTTTATTTGAATTGACGGATAATACATGAACCTCACGCAAATTTCCCACACAAGAGCACCTAACTTACTGTTGATGTGTTAGACCTTTTCCATAATCTATAATTATCTAATTCTCTATAGATGATAACACAATAATATTATGTATAATCATGTACACGGATGTATGGCAAACGCTTCTGCGACAATACATGTACAGGTACTTGCGTTAATTGACAGTTTTAATAACATAGTAAAATTTATCGATATTTCTCTCCCACGGACCTCTATGACGAGTTATTCCATTAACCTGTTATTATTGAATGAACCACAATACATGTTATTAGGGACTTTTAGATTCGCACGAAGGCAATGGGGATTGCTACGATCGACGTCCTTTTAATACACTGCCTTGAATGGACGTCACACGTATCAGTCCACGCAAATCTAAAAGTCCCTACTATGTCGGTCAAGCCTCGGACAAGCTTTCAGGTTGTCAAGAACACCCTTTGTAAACCGGTAAACCGGTAAACCGGTATATTCTCTACACTAACCCGAACCGAACAAAAACCCTTATCCGAACCCTAAACCTTCCTTTTAAAGGCCTACTGCACTACTTGTAGCTACTTGCTCCCTCTCTATATTAAACAATGCCTAATCGGTGACCATTGGTTCCCCATGATCCTCTCATCTTATGTTAACTGAGGGCTGAATTGATGAGATAGCCACCTGTCCAGTGACCTTTTCTTTTTCTTTTTCGGTGGCCCCCCAAAAATCGCAACGACTCAGCCAGCCGCTGAATTAGCGGGGAGAAAAACATACACAAAACATACATACAAACATCTCAAGGGGGGTTAACCCCCCCCCTCCCCCCTGCGTACGCGCCTGCCTGTCAGTGATCATGCAGGGAGGTAGTGCAGACAGGATTTAAACCCAATTTATTGCCCAGAGCAATAAATTCGTTGTTCCAACGAAATAGCAAATATTAGAGGACACCTGAGTATACCAACTGCTCTCGTGTATTAAATTCATCATATAACGACCCGATTTACAGCTCTATATCACGTTCCAAGTACACGAATAATAAGATGAAACTTAGGATTAAACTTCAATTTAATCATGCTAACTGCAAACGACAATATAGTTACACATAACGAGGTATGCATAAGCTTCCCCCCCCAAAAAAAAAACAGATGGCACGCTATTTGTCGGATTGCAGTAGGCCACTTTTTATTAGTAATTCAATGCATACGCATGGCGTAAATCCTTACGTAATACCTATCGTTCAGGGGGGGATGATCTATTCATTCATCCCCCTGAGCAATAGGTATTACGTAAGGATTTACGCCCATGTGCATACGTCTTTAAAGGAAATTAAACCCAACAACCATTAGCAGATAATCATATTCATTATTATCAGCCAGTTTAAAAAAATATCTCAAAATTACTCCTGTTTCATTACTTAGCAAAGAAAAGAGTGTCTCCAAAGTTTCAGTTTCATGTCTAGCCATTCTCCCATGGGAGGTTTGTCAGACCAGGCAACAACTTATTTATTCATGCCTAATTCTGCTCCGCGAAGTGTTCCTAACGGCTGAACAAAATATCGTGTCACAGTATATGCGATAAAAGAATATTCTTTAACCTGGGCTCCGTCTTGTAAAGAAACTGCTCAAGTGTTCCAAACAGCTGAACAAAATATCATGTCACAGTATGCGATAAAAGAATATCCTTTAACCTGGGTTCCGTCTTGTAAAGAGTTGCGACTGATCCAAATCAATCACAAGTCCTCCAATCAATTTTTAACTGGCTGAACATTTTGAACATTTATTAATTATCAGTTTTTGTTGAGTTTCATTCTCTTTTAATTTGTCAAATGCACCATGCCATTAACGTGTTACAAGTAATTGTATTTCAATAGTCAGAAGGCAAAGTGCATACATTACTTGTTTTAGGTCGGGTAAGCTATACCAGGCGCGTACACAGGGGGGGGGGGGGAGGTTTGGGGGGTTAACCCCCCCCCTTTGGTATTTTTTATATGTGTATTTTTGCGGAACCCCCCCCCCCTCCCTTTGGTAATTTGTTTTTTGTCCTCTTACCCTCCCCCCCCCCCCTCTTATTCAGCGGCAGGCTGAGTCGTTGCGAAAATTTCGGCCCGACTTAAAAATGTTAAAACCCCCCCTTGAAAAAAAATCCTGCGTACGCGCCTGAGCTATACTACTTGTCCGATCTTACGACAATTGTAAGCGTATCACATGAAAGAATTTCAGTACCTTTTGTATCTTGTTATAGTTAATAAATTTGATGAAACAGCTGGGCCTTGAAGTTTGTTTAATGTTAACATAAAACAAGCCTGGTGTTTGAGTACAATTTTGATGTTACGATGAAGAAAACAATTCAGGTAGATACAATAATTTATCTTATTAAAGAATTTTGTATTATGCAGTATTCATATTGTATGTAGCTTCATAAATTCTAACCAAATGCCACGAGCACGGCGAAGGTAGGTCGTCTATATCAGTTGTTATCTTAAGCTCACGCACCGGCCCACGCTTCTCATCGATGAATTGTTTGATAATAAATGGCCTAGATGAGCTCATTCATGACATAATCGGACGTTTTTACAGTTTAATGTTGGTATGTGCATGACTCCAAATATATGAAGGGACTGAATTTATAAAAACATCTTCCATCATGAATTTCACCGATTTTTCAATAATTTCACAATTACTTCACAACAATTTGGCAATGGTCATAATCACATAATGTCAAATATAGTAATACAATAATCTTACGGTAATATCTTCACGTGTAGCCCGCAAAAAGAAGAAAACTTTTAATCAAACGAAATTGCAATTTCTTACCTGTTTTTGCTCTTGAAACGATGATCCGTGATCCGATGTTGGACTGAAAGATCTCGCGAAAGTATATGGATTAGTATTGCATTAATCATAATGCTTTACATTATGTTACAAAAACACAATTGTGCAATCCGCACGACAATTCTCTCATTATTTTCTCATCAAATCAAACTCTGCTTCAGATAAAAACCTATGCAAATAGGTTGTAAGTATTATGTAGCTAAAGCGAACTTCTGAAGGGTTTATTAAGAACACCAAGGGACCAAGGAGATAATGTGGTAATTATCCCATTGTATTAAAGTACAGACAATTGGGGCTACTATTGTTACGTAACCTAACCAATCCAACTGACAAGTGTTGTTCAAAAAGAGGGGGTACCCCCCCCCCTTAGAGTGCATGATGTATACAGCATATTGGAATATGGTGAATGAATTAACTGAATTAATTTATTGCAATTAATTATTCTTCGCAACCACAGGTTCAACGTCGCCCACCCTCGTCTGTAGCCTCAGGAAAATGAACATCTTGAAAATAAAAGCTCAATGCTCAGCTTGTACGGTAGATGAATTACATTTTTAGTATAAAATGAGTAGGATGTAAACAAATAAATATTAAATTATAAGCCAAGTCAACCAATAGCTCCCCATATGCATCACTCTCTACGCATTCCCGTCCAGGGGAGATACTTTCACATACATGTTTAACATTTGTCAGTTATAATATATTTCCTTGTCTGAATTCCTAATTCGGGTCTTGTGATTTTTAATATGAATTAGAAATTTAAAGAGGAAAAATGTAAATGTTTGGATTTTATTTTTACTGTCCGTGCATTCAATCATTCCAACAGTACGCAGATAAAATGGGTACCGATGCAGATGATCTGAGCTGGAAATACATCACCTACAATAAGGAGGCGGTGATGGTGGTGGAGGCAATGACGTATTCAACATTGGGTGAAGCTAGTGTAGATTATCCCTGAATGACCAATAAAAACTCTGAGTGAAATTTGCTTTGGAGGTCCAAGAAAGGAACTGCCCAGACTCATTTCCTTAACCCCTGTCTCTGGAGAATGCCGCCCCTCTCCTTTATCAATGTCTGGATACGCCAGTGACCATGGTGTGGTACACCAGCTATGAACGTATAGGGTTAAAGATCAAACCAATGTTTAAATCAATTATTGACAGTTAACGGACCACATGCAATAACGAATTCCTAGGTGTGCACTTTGATCCCATCCAAGAAGGAAACTCTTTTTTGCGCAAACCAATTTTTGCTAGTTTTTCCAAATTAGCCAGTGCTCATTCAAGCATAAAATATTGTCGAAATTTTTAATACCATCCGATTGAATAGACCCTAACCAACAATTTCATAAGAAAAAAAAACATGCAATTCTAACTTGGAGGACATTTCCTAATATAAGTGCGTACCCTCTGTCTGCTACTTGCTGCAGCGCATATCACGTATTTATCGATGTCTCTACGGAGTTCTCAAAAGCTTATTATCCCGTCTCAGACTAGCTAGCTGCTCTAATGAAGGCGCAGGCGCCGCAGCCTCATCAATCCCTATCGCCGGTGCCCATTTACTTCACCTGGGTCGAGTGTGGCAGATGTTGATTAATGCCTCAGACTAATCTAAAGACCCACCAACGGATTACATTGTCAGAATGGCCCAAAATCTGTCCGTTAAGAGTCAATTCGGCGGTGTGACGTAGTAAGGGGCGCCAGAGCGTCTTTCAAAGTGTGTGTGTGTTCCCAAGGAAAGTTCCCAACTAGTAAAGAAATATGTAAGGCTATAGAGAACTCAACAAAAGTTGAACATGAAAAAGCAAAATTAAAGGACAAACAGCCAATACATTATCAAAAATGGGAAAATTTTACCCCTTAAGGCAGGGGAACCGATTGTATATATATTGTAATTCCTGTTTCCTGTTCACTCCCTCACTTTCTCATCGATTCGGACACTTATCTCCTATCGTGTTTGCTTGTTTTTTATATTTTATATTTTTATTTTTTAAATAATGGTATAGTTAAAGACCTCCACTGATACAAGACCCTTATATAGTTATAATGAAAAATGCACCATATCATTATATGTAAATATACCAAATTGTGTTATCATGGATTATGAAGCAGTACCTTCAACTTTTTGTTTATATAAGAAAATCTTTGTTTAATTAAGATTGCTTAATTTATATTGAACTAATTTATTTGCTTATTATGTTGTAAAAATTGTTCCTTTGTATAATGTTGTATGTATCCAAGTATTATCGTCACCTTTTCCTTTTTAAAGGAATTGGAGCACATTCTGTACACTTGTTTTGAATGTGTACTTTATTAGTTTGGATACAAATGGAAAATATTTTTTAAATATGTCTGTGTTTATAATGTATGAGACAATGTACTACATGTATGTTTATACTGTAAGAACAATTGTGTTCCTATTCATCATTTTGTATAATTATGAAGATCTGAATAAAGGCAAAAAAGCTTTTAAAAAAAAAAGTGTGTGTGTGGGGGGGGGGATACCAACATTAAAGAAAAAGTTGCTCCTAATTAGTTGCTTTAAATTAAGAGCACATTTTATGGGGAAGGAAAAGGTGGGCTATCCAAAAGTAAAAGGAAACTTATTAGAAAAGAAAAAGAGCACATGTCAAAGTAAAGAGGGAAATTAATGATAATTAGTGATAATGAGACACCTCCCGCACGCGTTATTTTTTTCTGCGGCACAGATTGGGGCTTTTTTTTTTTAAGGGGTCTTGATTTAACCCTAACCCTAACCTTAACCCTAAACTTTCCCATAGGCTCAACACGCACCTAACCCCAATCTGTGCCGCAGAAAAAAAAATAACGCCTCCCGCACATAATAAGGGGTATTCACCAGAGATGAAAAAAGGCACTAATGACAACAGAAAAGGGCACTTATTAAAAATGGAAAGGGGAAATTATCATAAGAGAAATGGCATTAATTAGAAAGGATAAGGAAAACGTGTCAAATTAAAAGGGGCACTTATCAGAGATTAAAATGGGCTCTTATTACAGAATTAAAGGGGGACACCTCTTACATTTAAATAAGGGCATTCATCGGAGATGAAAAGGGGCATCTATGAGATTTTTTTAGAGGCATCTATCAGGGGTGTCAGAAGTGGCATTTATGAGAAGGGGAATGAAAAAGGGCACTTATTAGAAAAAAAGGGGGCATGTGTCAAATAAAATAAGGGGCACTTATCAGATTTGAATAGGGGCGATTATCATAGGTGAAGGGGGCATTTATCAAGGTTAGTAAGAGGCATGTATACGTATGTAGAACGGGCACCTTTTATAGATAAAAAGGGGCACTTTTCGTATGTAAAAAGTGGCACTTTAGAGGTACCTGAACAATTTCCCCACCCGGCTGCGACTTTGCGTTTTACACCCTGGCCTGGACATTTTCCCGGTAAATAGCAATGAAACTGCTTGAATGAGTCTAGTCTACGCTCCTCGATCGGGCGCGCCGCGCCAGTTCCAAATCGAATCGTACATGCACAGTACAGACGTACGTCGATGCAGCATTTATACACACCGTACGCAGCTGCAATACTGAAGATTAAGGGAGAAGCTAGATATAGGATTTCAAGTTCAGAACAACAAGTTAAGAAGCTTGCTGCACGATGGAATTCATCGAGGATGATGACGGAGTGGCAATGCAGACGCCTTTGCGGGTATGAATACTGTAAATCCAGTTTTGAATTGTAGTTATATGAGTACGATTAACTGTAACTGAGTGTTAGGCATCCATAGTTAGCAAAACTAAGAGTAAGACTATTAAAGTAAGTCGCTGCACAGTGTCACATTGTCACTGTCACTGTCAGTACTGTATGTCAGTCAACATTAACAACAGCAATGTCAATTGGACTAGCTAAGCATAAGTAACAATGTAAACAAACATAACGTTAGATCTAACGTTATGTAGTCTAGGACTGCAGGAGGGCCTAACTTAAGGTGTAACTTACTAACTTAATACAGTTCATGAGTTAACTTAGGAGTTATGAATATGAAGTAAATTCAAGTAGATCTAGCCCTGTGCTAAACAAGTTCTCCAATAAAGTCTACTAAAGCTAACTTTACTACTTCTACTATCTACGTACCGTATAGAATCTAGATCTACTAGGTCTAGATCTAGACTATGGTTAATACTTTTCAGTTAATAATTTTAACTGTCAATGTTTTCCGTAGCCTAGGGCCTAGGCTAGGACTCAGTTCGCGTTAATGTAGGTGTCACTTTACTTCATCAGCTCACATGTCGATGTTTCCCTGAAGGCTGTGACGCAATGAATTAGGCTCGCAAAACATTCCATGTTTATTCAGGTTTGCAGTAACCATGGTAACTGCTGGATCTGGATTCACTTGTAGATCTAGTTCGAGTAGTGATGTTTGCGATACACATGGGCGAATTGTGTGTGCAAACTGCAATTATGCAAGGTCAATTAAAATTGACCTCGTAGGTTAATTACTCAGGATTTACTCGGGATGATATCCGGACATCGCTATTCAGCATCGTCGTCCAGAGTGGTGCTGCTGCTGTGCGACATGACTATGCTTCTTTGCTAAGAGCTATTTGAAACTTTAGGGCAGAATGAGATGTTTGGTTCTTTATTTCGATGGGTAAATTGTTCCAATTGGTAATAGTTTGGGGTAGATAACTGCGCTGGTACGATTGGGTTCTGCATAGAAGTGGGATGAGTCTGTTGTTGTCATCTCCCCTCGAACGGGTAGTCGCACAGCCTACAGGGACCTGCTGCACAGTGAGGATTTCCTACTAAAGATAGATCTAAGTTAAACCCCTGCATGCAAAGGTGCATACATTCAATCTGTTAAGACTTAACACCCAAGGATTGAAGCATGGTCCCAAAATAACCTATTTTATTTTGAGGTAGGTTTAGATATGTACCTGATTCAGTTGATTATTCTTCCCGCGATTCAGTTGATTATTCTTCAGCAAAAAAGATGGCAGCATGCAGCCATTTCTAGCACAGCCTGACATACAGATGGTTCTGTGTGTGGCAATTGCCCGACTTTAGCTGTGCCTGTGTTATACCTAGTAAGCAAGGCCCCTACTACCGGTATCTAACAGTTAGATTGCGATCTTGATCTAGCCCCCCTACGCCCTAGCCTAACTGTTATAGTATAGAGCTTGCCCTCTACAGATCTTGGAATAATATTGTTTTTTGTTTTGTTTGTTTGTTTTGCAGGCAATTCTACCTAGATCTACCCATAATGAAGATCATGAATACCATTACCATGTAAATAACTTTGAGAGCCATGATGAATCTGGATTCACAGCATCACTGGTGATAAATGTCAAAGCAGAAGATGATGCAAAAAAATGGATGAGCGAGTTTGCAGAGTCTTCTAGCACCACATGGAGGGTAATGAGAACCTGCCCGACAGCGAAGAAATATGTGCTCTTCAAGGTATTGGTTTAGCAATCCTCTTTCTGTTGCATATCAAAATCAAAACTGTCCAATGACAAGACATTTTCATGTAAAAGTAAAAAAAAAAAATACTAGTAGTGGTAGGGGGGAGGAGGGTCTAGATCTACAACTGCAAATGTGATTTCCACCATTTTCAATTGGCAAATAAAGACTTGTCTTGCTTCAACATGAATGACGTAAATATTCATATTTTATATTGACGGCGCCGTAAAAACTCAAAACAATATTGCAGGCAATTTTTTTAATGCTGTTTCTGATAAAAAAACAAATTACCCCAATTGAAGAAACCTCTGATATATACTATTACATGTTGTGTTGGTAAATTTGTTTCTATATGGTTTTGCATTAGTTTGGTTGAATGTAATTTTATTCTGATGTTACAGAATTTGGTGATCTTATTTCTATGTCCCATTTTTCATCACTTTTTTTGCAGTTTTTTTTCATATGTGTTATGAAATTATACTCATATTCATATCTTTGGTTACCTACAGCTGCAGCACCCTAACCAATGTACGATTAAGTCCCCTGGAAGCTCTTTTTCAAGCATTCTATAATTGCTTCCTTTGGTGTCCTGACTAAATTTCATTCATATCTTAGTTTCGTATTGTATATGATTGATAATAGAAGATCTATCGATGTCATCATGGGCAGCAAAGACGGGCTAAGGAAGGGACATCTCGTCACAGCAAGGACACTGGGTGCTGCGCTAAACTTACTCTCACTGTAAGGAGAACAGTGACACAATCCGGGAGGAAGAGCAAGTATGTGAATATAGTAGCGATAAATTGTCAATCACCTATTTAGAGGAAACCAAAACCCAAGGAGAGAATCAATCTCATATGAAAGAGTAAAATGAGAGGAGCAATTTAAAGAAAGTTTCATCAAAAACGGTTATAAAATAAGAGAGTTATGGAAGTTCGAAAAGTCTCGTTTTACTTTCTATGGGGATCCTCAAATTGGCAACGCTGCTTCAAAATGGCTGATTTTGTGGACAACTCTCCATTCACTTTGTACACAAATTTTCAGATTTTTCCCATTATTTCTCATATTTGTTATTGTCTCCTTCTGACCTTGACATATGTGGTGTGAAATATATTTTCCCATGACATATGTTGAGCTCAGAAGGAGGTGAGACGCACTTTGAAAGATAATGGAAGAATTCTGAAAATTTGTGTACAAAACGAATGGAGAGTTGTCCACAAAATCAGCCATTTTGAGGCAGCATCAATTTGAGGATCCCCATAGAAAGTACAACAAGACTTTGCAAACTTCCATAACTCTCTTATTTTATAACCGATTTTGATGAAACTTTTTTAAAAATGTTCCTCTCATTTTACTCTTTCCTATAAGATTGATTCTCTCCTTGGGTTTTGGTTTCCTTTAAGAAGGCCATCAGCACATAGTGTGCATTTTCTTTCAAATGGAAGTATTGAATTATTCTGTCATGTTGGACCTGAGGATATAGAATGAAGTAGACCTAAAGAAAATTGGCTTTCCCTTTATTGTATACGTGTACATGTAGATTTGAATACTTCCTCATACGGTACTCCTTATCATACCGGTAGTTTAACGATGTGAATTGTAAATTTTTCAGTCGCTCGCATAATATTTTGTTGCAATGCATTTTTGTACATCATGTTTTCTATTCCATCATTACAGAAACTCAGACCCCCATATCCAGACACATCCAACACTGGTTAAGCTAGAATGGAAACATAACCATGTTATCTCCATTCCTGCTGCACTTAAGTACAGAGATGCGAGTCCTGAGACCTGTGCAAAACTTGAGGAGCTGTTTAAGAATGGGAACTCACCAGCCAGTGCACTCAACATTCTAGAATTGGAGCTACAGATACAGGATCCAGACAAGTACGTCATGAACTGTGCAGACAGGTCGATTTGCCCAGATTTGCACTTTTGTTACCGGTAAGTTTATTATTCATTAAACGTTCCCTGTTATTTTATTTTTTTTTTTTTTTTAGAAATGGTAAATTCCACCAAAAATGTTCATGACATGAAAAAAAACATATCTGCCTCTAACGTAAATTCTTTGTCACTAACCTTATTGCCATGGATGTTCATAAATCATACAGGTCTTTCAACAAAAAAAAATTTTTTTTTTCGCTGCTTTCCATGAGATCTCAAACCATCATTGAAATTGTACATGTTGGACTGGAGACAAAAAATTCACTAAAATGCAAATTACACAGGCTTTGTTTAATATTTTTTCCTATAAATTTCACTAAAGGGAAGAAGAGGAATACATTTCCATAGTCCAAAGGCCATGAGATATTTAATCAATTACAAAGGGGTGACATGACCTCCTAACAAAACTGTCATGTCCGTTACGCTATGTTTTGAAGTCTAAACAGAAAATGGAATACCAAATTATTTAAAAACCTGTAGTTGTGTTTAGAGTGTCATCTTGAATTCAATTTAAAACCCAAACTTAGTTATATTTCCATTGCAAAGTTCACTGAAATTTCAAACTGTGCACAGGAGGTAAAAAAACATTTGCTATTTCGTGTTATGTCCGTTACACTCACTAAATATCAATTTTCTCTTTATCTATTCAGTAAAATACTTTAAAATTTGCTCTGTATGTCACTGATAATGTTATGTGCATGATAAAATGAATGAATTGCGTTTTGGAACTGTTAATTTTGTATTAAAATTGGTATGACTGTCATGTCCGTTACGCTGGAATTGACCAAATGTGGTTGAAGACACGATGAATGAAAAAAAATGAATGTTTGTTAAACGTCTTAAATTTTGGCAGACTCTATCACAAGATCTTCAGAAAGGCCTATGGTCCTGCAGATGGTGCAGATATGGTCGCAGCTGTTGACGAGAAAGTAATTGCTAATTACAACAAAGAAGCAGGGATGACATGTGCCAAGATGATTAGGAGCAGCACTGGGGAGCTGATCATAGGAATTTGCACTCCACTGATGCAGCGTGTACACACTTTAATGACTCACAGCAGCGAACTTGTGTTCCTTGATTCGACAGGTATTTCATATTTATGTCCTTACATACATGTATGTATAATACCCCATTCACAGTGGCTTTCAAATTTTCAACGGTGCTAAAACGGAGCGGCGACACCGTCATAACCCTGTTTTAAATGCATTCACAGTAGACCAGTTACTCCGTTGCAGCAACGGAGTAAATTTTATCTGCGTATAAATCGGTGCCTCCGTTACAAAGCACATTATGTCTGGCTCATGACCCCGTGAGTGACCCCGATGCCCAGAAATACGTAGCATGGGAAGTACAAACAATAAGCAAACACACATGGTTTAATACGGAGCTGAAACGGGTCGCATTCACAGTGAACGACCTCTGTTTCAGCAACGGAGCAGCACCGTTGCAAGAGCTAGGCGAACAGTGGTTTAGTTGAAATGGTGTTGAGACGAGATGGTGTTGGTCCATTGTAGTTTATAACGGGACCGAGCATTCACACTAACAACCACACCGTTTCAGCAACGGAGCTGCTCCGTTGCTGACACGGAGTTAGAGCCCACCGAATGGGGTATAAGAGTGCCAGTTACAAGAGTGAGAGGCCAAGGGGGACATGTGGAGTGTATGCCTTGGACCTGGTGGCGCAAATAATTATGATTTATGAGCGCCCTCCTGGTGTGGGGTGTCTCCAAGACTACACTTCAAGGTAAATTCACCATTAACGTTTGTTGTCTTTGCATGGCTATAGGAATAATTTCAGATTGATTAATTAGGTTGTCATTATGCTGTTTTCTGGCAGGCAATGTTGACCGCCACGGAAGCAGGGTGTTCCTGCTGTTGACACACAGCTCTTCGGGTGGCCTGCCTCTGGGGGTCATCATAACGTCGAACGAGCAGGAGCGGACCATCGTTGAAGGGTTGCAGCTGCTGCAGACCATCTGTCCAGCTGGTGCCTTTGGGGGAAATGGTAATGATGGGCCAGCAGTCTTCATTACTGATGACTGCACCGCAGAGAGGAAGGCCCTCCATGCTGTTTTCCCCCAATCTGTACTTCTCCTCTGCTCGTTTCACCTCTTGCAGGCTGTGTGGCGGTGGCTATGGGATAGTAAACATGGCATCCAAAAACACCATCGACAGGGCCTGTTCTTCCATGTGAAGAACATGGTCTATGCTGAGGATGCCACTGCTGTTGAGGCAGCTTTTGAGAGTGCCATCAGTGATCCTGCTGTTATACGGTGAGCCCAGGCATACAGTCTCAATAGTAGGCTATTTATGAAGTATGACATGCACTCAATGTACATGTACCTTATTTTGTCCATCTGAACCATCTCAGTTGTACGTTACAGCTGTTGAAATGGGGCACCTAATATTATCGAATTTCAAATATATTTATTCCCCCAGTTTAAGAAATAATAGAGCAAAGTTGGATATACATACCTCTGCAGGTATAAAGTGAAAATGACTGTACTTCTTAAAGGTTTGGTAGAAACAAGTACGACTTCAAGGATGGTATCATAAAATGTACAACCTCCCGAGGGAATGTTTTGTGCAGGGGTTAATAATTCAATGTATTTATGACAGTAATAGGGTTACTTGATTTGGAAAGGGGAATATGGCCATGCATTTTGAACTTGTGTATTAACTCTATCCCTACAATAGTATGTACATTTTCTAAAATGAAATTTCCTGAGGAATAAAAAAAATGGCATACGATAGAATCACTTTTTTTTCCTAATTTGTGCTCCGGAGTGGATGCCAGCACTGAATTCCTTTCAGAAAATATATACATGTAGTTAGAGGGAGTTTCTTTGGAGTTAATGTGAACCGCTCCCCCCCCCCCCCCCCCCCCTCCACCCTTTTCATTTATTCTTCTGAATGTGGGGAAGAGCAGACCATGGACCACCTGCTGGTATGCCCCCACCTAACAGAAATGTGTACCCTTGCAGACCTACATGTAGAAGGGTTTAACCCCAAAGCGAAGTCCTGTGTCCAGTACTGGACCAGTGTTGTTTAATATAATGTAGTGACCCGATAAGAAGAAGAATTATTATTCTACGATGTGCAGTGTCGTGATTTCAAGTGCTAATGAGCTCATACAGGTATGATAGAGCTTTTATTCAGCTTTCAAATGACACCAATTCATGACAATACCCGTCTGTTTTACCGAGATATATGATATTTGAAAAAATCGTAACAAATCATAACACATGGCCACATATGAAGAACTCAGTTAATGCAGCATACAATGTATGGAGTAACATTTCTTTTGAATGCAATTTAAAGTCGATGTTTGATGATTCTCGTTGACCAGGTACCCTGGATATAGAGCATATATCAACTCCTTATATGAGAGACGACAAGTGTGGGCCCAGGCATTCAGAATTGGACTGAGGATTCGGGCAAACAACACAAATAACTATGCCGAAGCCGCCATGAAGGTCCTCAAAGACTCCATCCTTCAACGCTCCAAGGCATTCAACGTGCCTCAGTTATTAGACTTCATCCTCTGCAGGTTTGAAGGATTCTACCAGAGGAGACTTCTGTCAGTTGTCAACCAGCGCCCACTAAAGTGGAATATCCAAACCCACAACAGATCCAAGATCAGCAAAGATGACATTTCCAAAGTAAATAAAAACCTTTGTAAATTTATTTCTATTTATTTAATCTGTGAGGAGATGGATGGAAATTTAGTAAATGATGATGTACATGTGAAACAATATCCAAAAAGGAAATTCAATTTGATCTTAAAATTGAATACTTCAGTAGTGCTGTAATGCCTAAATATAAAGCACCAACTAATTTATTTATTTGACTAATACTTATTCAGAAATTAAGGGGAAGAAGTGACCCAAAGATAAAACAACAATAAATTAACAATAACATAGTATTAACTAAACATGATATGTGGATGTTAAGTTTGAAAGAACTACCTGTCCAGCACTGACGTTATAATTCTCCTTTTATTGTCTCGCCCACCGGAGGTGGATGGCGAGACTTAGGGATCCAAATGGCGTCTGTCCGTCCGTCCGTCCGTCCGTCACAAATGTTTTGACACATAACTTGACAACTGTTAGTCCAATGGCGACCAAACTTGGGTGATAGATGCACTAGGGGTAACATCATGTTGCGGTGCTGTCGGAGGTCACATAGAGAGGTCAAAGGTCATATTTCAAAATCAGCTTGCGATAGGCCCTACAATTCTCATGGATGGCAATGGACATCGCGATATTTCTAGTTATTTTCACAAGTGGGCGAGACACTACATCGCTAATGCCTTGTGTTATTTCTTATATTGTTACAATCAGACTGGGGAGAGCACCTACGAAGTCACCAGTCAGAGTGATCGACAATGTCACTACACTATTGACATGGCAGTTGGTGTTTGTACATGCCATGAAGGTATAACTGGGGGTGCCTGCAAACATCAAGAGGCCATTGTGACACACTTCAAAGTGGCATCAAGCAACTTCCTCCCAACTTCTGCCAAGGAAAGGGAATTGTTACTCAAAATTGCAACTGGATGTAAGTAATATTAAACTGAATAAATTTTCTTATACGTATAAAGTGATCTACGCTCTGCTATCATTTAATATTTACTATTATATTTTATGTTGTAAATGAATGAAAGGCCTAACAAAGTTATACATCACTTTGATGACATTTCAACTTGAAATTAGTCAACAATACCTTTGATCACCTACAGCCGCAGCATCAACAATTATATGACAATGTAGGAGTACGCATCCTGGTCATATATTTTCCTCTCTTGTGTTACTTTAACCAGCACTACATGATCAATATTATGTTTGAATTTTTTTTGACCATTTATCAATTGAATTCAAGGTAATGACAATGTCCCGTCTGGATGGATGGACCCTCTTCAGTCCGTGGAGCCAATGGCAGAAGATGTGGCAGAACCACGATTGCAAGAAACAGCACTGGTCAATGGCCATGGTGATATGCAGGATCCCCAACTTGCTCGTATTGACAGTCTACGTGTTCAGAGGGACTTCCATAATGCATTTGACAGGCGTCTTCATGGCAGCAGCTCCTCTCAATGTAAGTATAACACAGCTTATTGCAAATATGTTTTGCTTTAAATTTCAAATTCAAGTTCAATTTATTTAAACCAATCAATCATACAAAGAATAACATATGATGAAAACAATAAATACACATACAATATTCTGAAAGAGAGGGTTAGGACCCCTTGGATGCAGAGCTTGTAATTGGAACCCCTAAGAGTTTGCCAAACCAAAAACTATTTCTGTAAACAACTAGGTATCTTTAAACAACTATAAACATGGTTAAATGAAATATAAAAAGGGTAGGGAGAGTGGTAAAATCAAGGGGTATAGAAACGGAAAGAGGGGTGTGAGGGTGAGATTGAGAGTGAGAGAGAAGAGAAGGAAAAGGGAAGAAAAGCTACTGTTGTGGGAAAGGTGAAAAACAATTATTGTGAGCTTTCAAATTCTTTTCATGTTATTTAGGAAGATTAGTAAAAAGATCCACTACAAAAGATTGTTGTTCAAATGACCTCACATTCATAATAAGAGAAAAGCAGCTCAAATGTTCAGACCGAACATTTGTGTGTAGCCACATACATGCATATCTGTGTGCAGTGCATGTGACTCTCCTAGCAGAATCAAGTTGATTTCTTATCATTTTGGTGATACCAAAAGCATACACCAATTCTTAGATGCATTATAATAAACCTTTCCCAATCACTTTGAGACAGTTCTTCCACATTTCAATCTCAAGACCAGAACTAAACTTTATCTAAAGGAGAACATGCATTTAAGTTTCATAGGATTTTATATTCTGATATTTTAATATAAAAAGGCTGGTCAATCGTGTTTTTATTATTTTAAATAACCATTTATTACCTTAGGTAGTGCATCCAATGCGTAAATCAAATCGAACAGGTACATGTAGCTCTGGATAAATGAATGTTTTCAATATTTGAAATGGGATGAATGAAGGCCGGAGAGCCAAAATTCTCATTAATTTTGGGAGATAACTAGATCACATGTCGACGGTCAGAAAGTTGTTGAGTAACATATACATGTAGGGCCATTATTATTTTGGTACATGCTTATTGGATCATAATGCTCTGGTTAAATCAACAATTAAAATAAGGAAGCTAGAGAGAATCTTCTTGATCCCAAAATTTAAGACAAACGTAAATAAAAAAAATAATACAAGAAAATTTCCAAAATATATTCCAGTTCTCTTATTATATTGTTCCAGATTTTCTCATGTGTTTTATTGCATGCTACAGTCCACTCCCGTTGTAGTGAGGTGCTCGGGACCAAACCAATTACCTCGTTATAATGAAATCTCATTATATCAAAGATACTGACCACATAGGTTTATACATGAATATTTTAAAATTGGGCCCTGGAGAATTGCCTCGTTATAACGAAATCTCGTTGTATCCGTGCTCGTTATATCGGGAGTGGACTGTTTGATCATGGACGTTGAATTCATAATTTGTTGATCATCTTCATTATAATGACCCATTAGGATTTGTCCATCTGTCAGTCATCATGATATCTCAACAACCACTTGAGACATGAACTTCAACCTTGATTATAGTATGTATCACCATTAGGAAGACGATCTGATTAGATTTTGGAGTACGTAAGTCAAAGGTCAAGGGTCACAGAGGTCATTATCTGGTGTTTTGTGTCATCAACATATTAAGATGTTGAGTGTGGCAGGGTGAATAGTTAAACATAGGCAGAGGCATATTGGAATGAAGTCGCACACATCAAGTTTCTAACATGTTAGTGTTACTTACCAGCATGAAGTCTTGTCCATTTACAGATTGTTATGAGCCTGCAGAATGATTGAAGGTGCCTGACAAGTATTCGGAAATGTGCATGATATATTGTCACTGTTTTTCATTCATGTGCATGACCTAACTCTTTTCACATTTTTTGTCTTTCATCCGTATTACAACTAAACCATTATTTACGAGGGATCGCTTGGATAACATCCGAGCACATTTCAGTAAGTTGAATTATAAACCTTTATCTAATTATTATGTAGTCTGATTAAGTTCATATGGGTATTGAGAATTCACTGTGATATAAGTAGGCCTGTCATCTGAAGTGTACTCTACCAGTAAACATGGTTAAATTTATAAATCCCATTTTTAGAGTATGGATAATTTTCAAAGTAATTTTTAAAGTCAATTACAGTCTTGGCAATATAAGTTGTAGCTATGTGAAGCAAGCCTTTTAGTATTTTGATGCAAATTGGTGTATACCCAGTCACCTAAATTTACCCATGTGCATTAACTGTGTATTAAAGTGTCCTAACACATGTGTAATATCAAGAGAAATAGGAAGAAATCGGAAGAGTTCTCTACCATAAAATTGTAAAAAGGTTAATATTTATAATTACTTTCATCTAAGCAGTTGGCAGTTTTTCAAGGTGTGTAGTCATTTCTGATTTACCCTTAAGTATGAGTTTCCCCCAAATCAACTACACATTCTCTACTTTTATTTTTGCATAGTGTTTTTTTAATTATTATTATTTCTGAAAGAATCAACCAGGGTTGCCATTTAATCATCATTTTCTATGTCTGTTTCAGCTCCACAATCTGATGACCTTGTGGAAAGAGTCCACAACATGTTCTTAGAGATGGAGGAGAAGCTTAAGCAGGACCCTGCCACATTTGCAGAGCCCTTTAAGGCTATGCTACAGTCTCATAGGAGGCTTAAGACTGATAGCAGTCTCACATCTGCTATCAGAATGTATGGGAGATACAGTGGCGTCAACCTTGCCAGGCGCAAGGTTAAGCCCAAGGTAGGTATCCTTAAGACTTCTGGACCTAGCATTGGCGTGCAGCCAACAGCCATTGCTCGCAGAAGAGTGAAGATTGGGGGGAGGAGAAACTTGACATCGGGACGTCCGACCAAGCAGGCAACAGTTGAAGAACATGGCTATGCCAAAGGTGGTCAGTCATCACAGTCATCACAGTCATCGCAGCTTCCACGTAAAAAACGTGCAGCTGCACCACATAATCTGAACCATGCGGTCACAATGTGCCAATCTCTAGGCAAAACCCATAGTAAAACATAGTTTTTGTCTTGCCTGCGTACATGTATATAGACGTCACTCTTTCCGACGTCATTGTCGGCATCAACAATTATGTTGTACTCACAATAAATTTCCATAGCCTTTAGGTAGTATCACCAAATTCACACCAGTGGTACTTGCATCTCTTGAAGACTCGGGTCGAGTTCGAATATGGGTCATATTCGACAAAGTTCAAAGGTCAAAAAGTCAATGAACTTTATATGAAAAGCATTGTACACACAAACTTATCCATAGCTTTGAGGGAGTATTGCCAAATTTACACCAGTGGAAACCTTTAATAATGATGAGGTTCCTGGGACCTGAAAATTTGGGATAAAGGAAATATTATTATATGTTATGTTGTTATATATATTAGGTCTATTATTTAGATTTAGGGTTTTAGAGGCAACGATATTTTTGGAGGTCCGTCACGGTCGTCTCAGAGAGCTAAAATATTAAATCTCATTTCTTAACGTCTAAGCCTATGGAGAATTCATAATAACATAAAATATTGGACGCAATGAACATTCTGCCACGCCCACAAGATTATGATTGGTCAATACATGATTGTGTGCATTCAGCTAACGTGAAGTAACAATAAAACCTATGTTGCTCTTTTTTATTTTTCCTCTTAAGCCACGCCATTATTAGTGATTGTGCGCATGCAGCTATTAAACGTGACGTCACCATATGAAATTGCACCATCCAAGTAACTACTTCGTTTTCAATAATTGTAACGTCACAATAACTTCAAGTAACAACTTGGATTGGGATATGTAAATTCTAGATGTTCGACTTTGTACAGGTAAATGATTATATTAGTGTTACGGTAGGCCTACTGTTTTCTTGAAATTCAAACATTTTTAACTTTTCATGTTAGTTGTGCACCAGCACCACATAAATGCTTGGGAAATTTCATATTTGCACTCGTTTCAAGCTTCAATTGCCAAGATGCAGTTTACAAGTACATGTACTAGTATATTATAAAAAATGGTGAATAAATCACAATATCTCTGTGGAGTATCTAAATAATAATTATAATATTGGATGATCAATTTTCGCGAAATACGTGAAATATTGTTACTCGCTGAAGAAAAATATTTTCACGTATCATCCATTATTATGTGTATTCAGTTCGTTATCTCCAAAGTAAAGTGCGGTGCACACCTCTGCGCCCATGAATCCGCCTATGTTCAGATCTCTTTTTATCTACATGTGCATGTATTTTCAAATAAAAATTTCTTATAGTCATTTCTTGCATCTAAATCTTAACACACTGTCAAATTATCTGTTCAAATTTCTACTATTGTTTGCTTTCACTTTTACTACATATTTCTTCTTTATATAACTATTTATGCATACACATACTCCTGTATCTTTTGTATTACTTCTCTGACATTGAAGGATTAGATTACCTTCACGAAAAAAAAAAGTATATGAATGTAAAGCAGTAAATAAAGTGCAAATGAATTCATGTAAAACTGGTGTATAATTTCCTTTATATGTTATGTGTCTGTACATTACACTAGACAAAGTGATGAATGGAAAAAGAGAGAAAGAGAGGTCTTATAAACAAATATCATGAATTTAAAATGAGAAAGAGAGAAAGGGAGAGAGAGACAGGTCTTAGAAACAAATATGAATTCAAGAAGTGAGAAAGAGAGGGGGTCTTAGAAACAAATATCATGAATTGAGAGCTAGAGAGAGAGAGAGGTCTTAGAAACAAATATCAAGAAATGAGAAAGAGAGGGGGGGGGGTCTTAGAAACAAATATGAAGAGAGAGAGAGAGGCCTTAGAAACAAATATGAAGAGGGGGTTAATGAGAGAGAAAGAAAGAGGGGTCTGAGAAATACATACGAGAGAGAGAGTGGGTCGAGAGAGAGAGGTCTTAGAAAACAAATATGAATAGAGATGGGGGGGGGGGGGGCGGGGGAGAAATGGGTCTTAGAAAACAAATATGAAGAGAGATGAGGGGGGGGGGGGGGGAGGTCTTAGAAAACAAATATGAAGGGAGAGGGGTCAAGAGAATTAGAGAAATTAGGTCTTAGAAACAAATGACATGAATTTAAAAAATGAAAGACGTGATCCCACAATAATAGAAAATGGTACGAGTGCAATATTTAAATCACAGTTTATGTATTACATTACCATTACACATATTATGTCGAGTGTAGTCTGTGTATGTGTCGATATGTGTACATGTGTGTTAGGGGGGGGGGGGGGGGTCCGAATCAGCAAATGGTTTGAAAGTAGGCTACACGTCAAAAATTGAAACCCTGCATGAAGAAGGCGGAATTAAACCACAAAAACCATAATATTATTTGGTTTCTCTCTTTCCTTACTTTGATTAATTCCTTCTCTAATTTCTCTCTTTCTTTCAAGTTAGTTTTTGTTTTCTCTCTCTGCTTATGACATTCTTTGTTTCCTCTCTGTTCTTTAATTATTTATTGTTTTTCTCTATTTCCTTCTGTTGTTATATTCGATGTTTTTCTCTCACTCGTACGTCTCGATACAAAAGTACATGTACCGCGTACCGCGACACTGGACATATAGGACGTACGTTGAGCATTGCAGAAGAGCTACGTGCGCGCGCAATATCTTGTCATGGATAGACTTTTCCCAGTCGGTTCCTTGAAATTTATTGGGAAAAGGTCCAGGCCAGGGTGTAAAACGCAAAGTCGCCACCCGGCTCCACTGCTTCGGGACGTAGTGGTGTGGCAGCGACTTCGAACTTATATTAATTAATCCAAACGTCATTGAAATTGGTATCAAAATGTAGATAACTCAAATCTCTTTCATATAGAATCAAACTCATGGTCGTGGTTCATTAAATATTAAGGGTTGACCGCTTCAAATACAAATAAAAACACCTCTGAAATAATGTCTATTATGATAAAGCAAAGAACAAGGAGTGCATGGTTTATACAGTGCCAACTGATGTCTCCTTTCTGACTTTGGCCGTCCGCTTACTATTTCTCGGCCTTTCCTTCACTATTCACCTGTTAGCGGGCGCTGTTGAGCTGCGGCCCTGATAGATTTTATTGAGCTGTAAATATACTATTTGTTTGCATGTCTGTTTGGCTCACTGTTGTATGTTTACTGTATCTATAACTTTATTGTATTACTTTTAAACATGATCAGTTTTGGTCCTTTGAATCATGTATGTTTATATGTCTTTTAAAACCGAAATAAATAAATAAAATAAAAAGCCACTTTTAAGTTCCCCTCTCACTCTTTAACGCTCCATGACCCCCTCTTATTATGTACATGTCTTTAGTCTATCTCCGTCTGCCTGTCTTCCCCCTTCTCTCTCTCTCTCTCTCTCTCTCTATCTCTATTTTGCAATTTCTTCTTCCAAGATGGCTGCAATGCTAATTATAGCTGGCCAAGCCTATTTATCCACAGATATTGGGCTATGTGTCTATACTGACGCAATGTATGACAAAAGATATGATTGGTAACACTTTAGAAGCTTAGAGACATTGTATTAAACGCTATATAAAAGCGGATTATTATTATTATTATTATTATTATTATTATTATTATTATTATTATTATTATTATTATTATTATTATTATTATTATTAAAAAAAGTGTATATCACAGGCTTGGGGGGGGGGGGGGGGCTTTTTCCTTCTCTGAATAGTAAATAGTTTTTTTTTTTAATAAAAAGGAGGCGGGCGGGGATGAGAAACACTTACATTTTTTGTTATTTGGCCTAACCAGTTGAAACATGATCTTGAAGTTGATCTATGTAATCTGGGAAGACTTAATGGCCCAAATCATTTGTCGATAAACCTCCTTTGTGAATTCGGGCCATTTTGTCTGAACAGCTCTGACAGCAAAATCTTTATCACTTAACAGCTCTATAAAGAATGAATTCATGGGAAAACAAATTAATATGTCTATATAATCAATCTGATTTATTCCTTTTAAAATTGCAATCGAGTACTCATACAAAATAGTACTCATGCCTTTGATATCAAATACTGATAAAGTCCATTTCCACGCAGATTTGGTGCCAAGTTTCACACATCAAGGTCCTACAGAAAAATCAACAGGGTGAACATGCTGAAAAAAAGACTGCAAATTGCTATGCAAATATTCTGACGACATAGAGCAAGATACATTTCCTAGGTTTCCGTATAAAACAGACCATTGTCAATTTCGCTTTGAATTGCCTCAATATTATTAATATACAGCGCATATCACATTACGATATAACGCCTCTGTGATTCACATTTTCGCATTCGGACTATTGAAATACAATGACATGCACTCGTAACGGGTGAATGGAATAACGTGTAACGAGGCTTTAAATTTGATTACATTACGAAAATGGCCTACTGTTCAACCGTAACAATTCCTGCAATAAATCAAGTTAGGAAGAAAAAAAAACACTTTAGGAAAATAAAATAAACAGCATATAAGGGCATCAAAATCTTTTTCCACACAAGTCAAAATCTTTGGCTAATTAGTTAAAATCTATATTGCAAGTTGTTACACCAACAACGAATAAATTAGACAATTTGGTAATTTCATTTTAGTTGCCCATATTTCAATTGCCCGTATTTTGCAGTTTGGGCCACTAACTTTTGATTCAAAACCAAAATATTTTGGATGAAGTATACTCGCTTAAAAAGGGCATCACCAGAAATGATCTTTTTTTGGCTTGTACATGTATACCTTATTGCGAGCCTGGGCTCTCAAGGTATCAAGTCTCGCTCATCTTGGAGCCCTGGCCAGATCTCTTTCAAATATGTTTATATTCATTCAATTTTCAATTCAATTCAATTCAATTTCAATTCATCTTTATTCAACGATATAAAAGAAAATAGTACAATGCAATAAAACATATTGACATAATCATATACATGTGTAAAATTAACATATCGTTAGGGGCAGCCAAAAAAGATCAGGATCTTGTGGACTGGTGCCCCTTTGACAAAATTAACAAATTATAAGTAAAACATTAATAATAATCACAAGTAGACACATCCAACACACATACACAAACACACACACTCACCCAAGAGAAGGGAAGGAGAAAGAGAGATTACATGTACAGTGTACATATATGAGGTAAACTTATGAAAAAGATATATGGAAATCAAGAAGTATATTTATAAATTAAGTGACTTTTAAGTAAGGCTTTGAAGGAGGAGGCTGTTGAACATGGACGAATGATTGTATTTAAATTATTAAAAATCTTAGGTCCTACATGTTTAAAAGAATTATACATTTGCTTATTAGAAGTTAATGGAAGGTGAAATTGGGAAGCTGAACGTGTGTAATATTGATGAAAATCATTATTAAAGTTAAACAAATTAATTATATTGGCTGGGGCCATTTTATGCTTGACATAATACATCAGTACTGCGACTTTAAATTCATATATATGATAAATATTAAGTGTTTTTAATTCAAAAAAGAGGGGGCGAGATGGCGCTAAATAAGGTGACTTTGTACAAATGCTTAAGGCTTTTTTCTGCAGTTTATGAAATGGTTCTAATTTGCTTTTCCCAACGTTGGCCCAAGTAATGTTACAATAATGGATAAAAGGAAGTATAAGTGAAGTATATAGCATGAATAAATGTTTTTTGGGTAGAATAGAACGCAATTTACAGATAATTCCGATATTTTTAGATATCTTTCTTAGTATGTACATACGATGGTTTTGAAAAGTAAGTTGATTGTCCAATAAAACTCCAAGAAATTTCACGGAGTCAGAAACATTCAAGTATATATCATTAATTTTCACTTTGATTGTATGAGGAGGAAACTTAATATATCTATTCACAAATGTTGTAATGTATGGATTATGCATTAAGAAATGAATAAATAAATGAAATGAAATATAATACTGAGTTTAGAAATTAAGGAAATTAAGCATTCATGATCTTAAATTGGCATAATTTTGCGAGATTCAAAATCATTGTAATTCATGTCACATAAGCAATTTTTAACTTTTCAACAAAGTCCATGTCAAATTGACCATTATAATATTTTCTGGTACATGACTGTATAACAATAAAAGAAAAATACAAGGTTCCCAAACAGAAGAAATATTGACTAATTCAGCCATTTAAAACTTCCTGACATGACATAGCTTTGTCAACTGTATCCCTAACTTTGAATAAAACAACATACCAACACACACAAATGTTTGGCGCAACATCTATCCCTGAATAAGGCACAATATTATTTTTACATATATTTCATACAAACTCCTCAACATACAACACCTCTACAGCGAAGAAATGTAATCCCACAAAAATAGAACTGATATAACAATTTGATAAATGTGTTTAGATATATAGACAAAAATATATTCATATACAGGTGTACTTTTATATAATGCCAGATACATTCACAGTATATGCTTTTATTGTCTTCCGATGGTGATTCAAACATGTTCTATCATCAAGTTTGAAGTACTTCTTTGACCCAACAAACTTTAAAGGGAAAGTCCACCCCCAAAATAAGTTTGTTTCGATAGAGGCAGAATAATAAGAAAATCAGGTGAGTGAAAGTTTGAGCAAATTCTGAATGAAAATAAGAAAGTTATGAATTATTCAAAGTTGTAATCAATCAAATACAAATTGGCAACTCTGTGACTTATTATACAAGCTCTCCTTCATTTGCTTTGTGCATAATATTCCATAAAATCATGTATTCTTAGTTATTGATGACGGAATATATATTTGTTCCTTGCAGGGGGAGTATAGAAACATATTTGCAATTATTATATTTAGGGTGCATGTATGGTTGAAATTTTTCTTGAGGGAAAATGAAAATTTTAGATTTTTTTAGTACTGAGCAAATGGAAGTTGAGCTCGCATGATACGTCATAGAGTTGCCAATTTGTGTTTGATTGATCACAACTTCAAAAATCCTAACTTCCTTATTTTTAATCGGAATTTGCTCAAACTTTCACTGACTTGTTTCTCTCATTTTTCTACTCCTATTAAAACTAACTTAATTTCAGGGTGGACTTCCCCTTTAAGATTCCAGGGTATACATGATTGGAATTCCTCACCTTATAATTTAAAAAGTAGTTCAACCCTAACAAAGTTTAAATATTCATGTAAACAGTTCTTGTTTAAACAAATGATGTGCACTGAGTAGATTTTTCTGTACAATGTTCTGCCTTTGGTGTGTGTTGGAGTGTTTGTGTGCATGTGAATGAATGAGGGTGAGTGTATGTTTGTTTTGATAAGTTTTACAATATTTGTTATAATAATTTGCTTGTATGTTTATTTTTGTACAGGGCCCCATTCTCACAAGCTTTGCTTTTCTTGGGGTCCTTCCGATTTTGCTGTTAAATTGTTATGTATTTTACTTTGAATTTTAATGGAAAATAAATGAAATGAAATGAAATGAACATGTCTCAAGTGGTTCTTGAGATAAAGCGGGTCCCGTACAGGCCAATCACATTTGTTCGCTGATAAGATTGTTATCTATCACCTATCTATTCAAATACAAAAGTCAAGTCAATTAAATAGAAGGAATACTCGAATCCATTACAATTACATGACTTTTCCCCCATTCAGCTCATGGCTCTAGATCCTGTCTAAACTCTGTATTCTATCTTCAACCAATATAAAATATGAGCATTTGATGATTTGTGATTGATGAATAGGCCACAACTATTATAAGTCACAAGAACAGGGTTTAAATGATCTTGAAATTCATAGTAAACAAGAAAATAATTCAAAACTTGAAACAAAATCAGTGAACCATGATATCAATTTTCATCTTCATTATCTGATTCCTGGTCTACATTCCTAATGTCCTCATCCTCCTTGTCTTTCTTAGATTTGGATGCCTTCCATTTCTTTACTGTAATACCAAGAGAGCTACTCATGACCAGTAGAGCTCCTATGATTGACAGCCAAAATGGGACAGTTCCAAAGATAGCAAATTCAAACAAGAAGGACAGGATGACATTGTTACTCTTCATGACTGCCACATAAGTTGCCTTTTCTAATTTGAATGCATATGTCATGAGGATCTGTGCAACAAAGCCTAGGACACCAACAACGATGAGGACAAAGCGATCCCTGCCGCATCTGGGAACAACCCAGATTCCTAGAACTGCAGTCAACATGGTTGTCAGGATAAAACCTATCAGACCAAAGAACCAGATCTGGGTAAGTGGGTGCACGCTGATTCCTCCAAGTTTTCTGATGAGCACAAAGACCATTGACGCGAAAATGGCACCAACCAATGCTGCAATAATACCCAGCAGAGTGTTTCCATCTCCAGAGGGCTCTGCAAAGTTTCCAAAGAGGAAGGATGGACGAGCGATCAAGACAATGCCAACAAGTGTTAGCAGTGCTAAGGCCATATCCACAAGGGTGAACTTCTCTCCAAGGAGTATCCAGGCAAAGATTCCTGTGAAGATGGGACTGCTGAAGATAATAGCACTGGTATCCCCTATAGGGATGTTCTGGTAGGCATAAAAAAGGAGGCACATTGCAGTGGTTCCGCAGGTGACTCTGAGGAGCAGCCAAGGAAGCTGCTTCTTAGTCACCCTCAGAGAAATTTTGAAGTAAACCATGCTTATATTACAAAAGACAAAGTAGCTTAGGAGACGAATCGAAGCAATCTCTGTTGGAGGGATTTTGCCTGCGAGCATCTTAACTCCTATGGAGCCACATGCTTGAGCAAAACAGGACAGAAGCGCCAGGAGTAGCCCTTTGTGAAGAGCCCAGAATTGCCTTAATTTACCACAAGGTACATGATCCAGATCATCCCTCATGGAGCTCTTAAACGAGATCATACCAACATCTTCTTCATTTTCGCCTAAGTACATTTCATCCCCCTGATTATCAGGCGCCAGAAGCCTAGGTGTGGTGCCATCATGGTGATGTCTTTCCCGACAGTTTGTCCCATTACCAGACTCCTCGTGCTCGGTCATTATGATCGATATCAAATTTCACCAGTAGAATATAGAATGCCCCAAACAGGTATTCGGAAAGAATACACTCTTTGCCTACTGCTGAGACTGATCTTGAGAATTTGCAAGATATAGGAAGACAACCTTTCAATATCCTTGTATTCGTTCACACACAAATATATATGCTATTTTTTAATGATCTAATAAGAAGTAGATACTTCATTCACAACATCTATTAGAAAAATATACACTGCATAAATAAACATTCAGGTCCGCAAAGGCTCTGAAATGTACAGTGTATTGTTCAATTTAAAGCGAAAAATCTCCAAGTAATATTACATTTCAGCATCTTAACCACATACCCTGAATCATTTCTTACATATTCAACCAAATATGATAATACTTATCAATTATTGTCGTTATAGAACATAGTATGTTGCCAGCCATGCTATGCATACCAGTAGTTTTATTTATTAATAGATAATTGATAACTGATAACTGAGAGCTTCAGACACTATCCTCATTTCTTTTCCTCTATTCATCTGTAAAAGAATAAGCTATAAAAATTCAAAGTTTGGGTCTTGGGGGAATGTGTATCACCCAAGAATCCATCAATTATTAAATCCACTCTTTGAATTGGAGGAAACAATACAGTTGTGCCCCTGGCAGGGTATAAGCTCGCCTTACGGCTGGTCACTGTCCTGTAGTTGCTTTGGCAATCTATCCTCGCTGACATCCTCCAGAATAATACACACTGTCCAGACAACAACTTTCCAGCTGCAAGGAAAAGAAAAACATTAAAAATAAAAACTTATTTATACAGTGTATTTGATACTTTTTATTTTTCATGGTGCACATATATACTGTAGGTGATTGAGGCATTACAATGTTACCCCATGGTAGTATCACTTTTAACCCAATGACTACTGAATTCATTCATTCCCAATAATCCATTCCAATAAATTGTGAACTCTCTCATTCTTTTTGTTGTTATATTCTTTTTCTTTTATTATACAATGTGGCACAGGGAGATTAGTTGTGTTACATACATGTATAAAGAGTTATAAGGCATGGTTGTCTTCTGGTAAACATAAATAATAATTTGTGAAGAATTCCTTATTTCTCATTCTTTTTTTTTATCAGTTTGAAAGACAGTCATAATGTTTCTTGTAAATGATTGTTCTTCAACTGCCTTCTCAATCAAAATTATGATAAGCAAAAGCTGAAACGTTTAGAATAAATAATAATAATAACTATTTCTTATATAGTGCTTTGCAGGACCGAAGGCCTTATCAAAGCGCTTTACAGATATTTACATGTATATTAATAAACCGGTTATCGGATTTAAGGCTTACCCGCACATAATCATGCCGTGTTTGTGTGTAGTCCCATATACCCATTTCTCAGTGTGCAGTGCTTTGCATCAAGACTGAGTAAAGTTCTTATCACAATGATTCTGAGATTTTAGTGTTCACCTTAGTACTCTTGTACTACCGGTACATAATCAACTTTGCCAAATTGCTTCCAGACAGTTTCTTTCACAACTTTTTTGCATTACCAGGGCCCCCATTTCACAAAACTTGTCATCATGATAAATGACAGTATAAGCTAGTGAAAGCCTTGCTTCGATTAATTATCAGCAGATCTGTCACTGATTTTTGTCATTTGGCATTGAAAAAAGGCTTTGTGAACTCAACGTTGTCTATTTAAAGGAGAAGTTCATCTATTATACTGGCCACATGATTTTTCTGCTTCCTGTTCTCTTTTATTTGTCTTGGATCATTATAGATCTTGCGGTTTGCAAATAGCCACCAGGCAGTTTAAAGATGCTATGTCCCATTTGCAGCCAACATCAAATTCTGTAGAACTTTGCAGGAATTATGAATATGTCATGTATGTCCTATCTGTGAAATTTGAACGTTAGCAGTGTCCTAGTATTCAAATTATGCAAGGAAACCCATTTACTTTCTAGACTTCCCTGTCAGACACTATTGAGTGACTGACTGACATCTTTTTTTATTTGGTAATAACAGACAAAAAATGAGCTGTACCGGGTACATGAGTATTTGTCTACATCAATAACCCACTACTTGTAATGGCCAAAATTAAACTGATTGAATCTTTGTGCAGTACAAAACGTATAAACATTCTGTACAAGGGTCTGAAAATCAAGACTATTACTTAGGTGATTGAAATCAATTATGTTGATTAGACAATTAATAGTCGTTATTTTCCCACAAAAAGCCTTTTTCAAACCCTTTTGTCTTGAGGGTAGTTCTAAATAAGTATTGTCTTTCAAATGCTGTTAGAATTTAACCTTTTATTTTTTTGGCCTGCAAATGGGACATAGTACCTTTAATGTAAATTAAATTTGACCAGACACAGGTAACACGTCTAATGCTTACTTCCCTTCTTCTGTGTGTGAATACTGCATGCAGTACCTACCTCAATTATGACCTTTCCCAGCCAATGCAGGAAGCAATCTGGATCTCATCAGAGACTGACGGTTGTTTTTCATGCAAGGTTGATCATGCTTACAGTGACCTAAAGAAAAGGGACAAAGATAATAGAATATTGTTTAGTTTTAAAAGAAAGTAACAGGATGTATACAAGTACACTGTACCAGTGGAGATTTACTGTAAAATGAGCAGCACAACATGATCACAAGCACTGCATGAAATGTCAACAGAGGGCTAATTTACCAGGTACCAATCACCAACATTATCCTGCTCTGCTGGAGTTTTAAAGGGTAACTTTGTCTTAGATCCTTTAAACAAATCCTTGATTAAGCTCATGCTGCAATGATAATTATAAACCTTTAGGTCAGTCAGGAACCCCATAAATTTTACAAGCCTGTCTGATTATCAAGATATTTATGATTGAAAATCAAAATCAAATTTTGTGTTTACCAAACGATTTTCATAACACTACAGTCTATTGGGAAAAACAAGTATGGTAAAACTGGTCACTCAAAGGTTTTTACTTTTTTGAGGCACTTCTTGATCATTTTGAAGTGCAATCTTTTGAGGGTTTCAATATAACACCATATCACATACACTGATAACACGTAGGGCCGTGCATCTCAAATTTAACATTGTTAAACAATCCCTTTAAGTAGCTGTACTGTCTTGAAAGCATGAGATGCAAATACTAACTGTATGAGGAGATAAATGCAAGTATAAATCCACTCATGATAGTCAAGAAAGCAACTTGTGTATGTAGACTAGTCGACGCACCCGTATGCACCTGCCAATCAAACCCAAGTCAAACAAAGGTTCCATGCACATAGTGATATCAGGTTTATCTTTAACCTATTCCTCTTCTTCTTCCTTTTGAAACTGGTACAGTTTTTTTAGGTTGATTCATATTTTAACGGTATAAAATTATTTTTAGGTGATTGATACACTTAAAATTGCCTACATATAACAAGTTGTCTACTGAAAGAGCATAAGCTGATAAGCAACACAGCAAAAATATCTTTCATGATCAACACATGTATTCAAAATAATGGGTTGATGTCATCCCCTCACTTTGCTCTATCAGTCTTGTACGTAACAAAAATATATCATTGATCTACTCTGGGAATGTAAAACATGGCTTGAATCTCATGGAATATGTGCAAAATCACCATTACTGTAATATGATTTTATTGCAATATAAAGAAATACATATATAGAGGTGTGTCCAAAACAAAAAAAGAAAAGAAATAACCTTGAAATTTCATAAACTAAATACAGCAGTCAGGGGATGACATCATTAGCATGCTAATTTGTACACAGCCTATGTGATACATATCCCTATTTCATGGAATTTTTGTTTCTTAACTTTTGCTATACGGTACTGTACACCTTTTCTCTATTTATTCAAGTGAACTTGCAAATAGGTTGTATTTGCCCTTTAAGATGAGATATACTGTAAGTGTTTTCATCAATGCAGCCATATGTACAGTACTCACATAAATTCATGTAGCCTGAAGTCAGATCTGCAGAATTTTTCAATCAACTAGTTTTTAATAGATCACTAAGAGACTGCAGCTCAATCTAAAAGTGAAAGAAAGAGAAAAATAGAAAAAGATTTAAATACATATTTTGCTGTTTAATTTTTTGTCAGAATGCTAAAGGCATGTTAACTTGTTAAAGCCACACTGTCCTACTTGTAGCTACTTACTCCCTCTATATAGAAAACGATGCTAATCGGTGACCATTAGTCCCCCATGATCCTCTTTTTCTTATGTTAATTAAGGGCTGAGTTGATGAGATAACCATCTGTCCAGTGACCTTGCCGGGCGGTCTAATCCCTCTTATAAACTAGTACAGATAAACTTTAACCAAGAACAAAATATCTAGAAGATGATAATGGTACCTAACTAACCCAGTTGATGAGAAAAGTGCACAAGATTGGAGAGCTATTGGCCCTGTAAAGCTAAACGAAAAAATACAATTATAATGGGGAAAAAAGCGCAACTTTTTAAATACCACCAATGTCTCAACAGATCTATCATAAATGAACAATTTTTTTCTTATTTTTCTTTCAAACACTTAGCATCAGGGCTTAGTGTTTTCAATTTCCCAGTTTTAATTGTGCATAATTCAATAAAATATGAGGGGAAAAACAAATTGGCAGGTGCAGAAAACTTTAATTTGTTGGGGGAATTCATAAGTCATAACATGTAGTTTAGGCGTAGAACCAACCTTAAAGGTAATACAAAGTTTGGTATGGGGTCATGAATTTGGTTCAAATGAACATATTGGAAGTATATACGATCCTGCAATATTCAGTGATCTTTGTCACGGTCGAAATCGACTCAAAAATTATGGAATTGTAAATAATAAACACTTTATGTTGAATAGCTCCCTCTCAAGGTCAAGATATTAATTAAGCTATAAACAATGTCTATTGACTAAAATCGACCGATTAGCTATTCTCGTTCGGAAATTATATATCACAACTACATACTCTGAGATTTTCATGGTCGCAGCTACCATTGTACGGCCATAGGAGCTATTTGAAATTTATCAAAATTTACCGGGAGCACTGGTAAATCTTTATATTCAATTTTACTCGAAAGCACAAATGTTTTAGGGGCTAAAATTTATGGTGTTTTTAATACATCCACAGGGGCATCCAAATATATCAAAATTGTAAAGAATCACTATCCACCCATTTTTCAAAATTTCCCAAAACTTTGTAATACCTTTAAAGACCCTATATGAAAATACAAATTTATATCAATGGAAAGCTGAATGAACGTAGAACACAAATATAAAGTAATAGAAAATATTTTCCCTTTCAGTATTGCATAAATGCAATTTAAAACCTTATTTTCTGCATCCCTCCAAATTACGCTTCAACAAGGCTCAAATCAGCTGCAGTTCTGGACTGGTGATGCTACACGTGGACCCGTCTATAATTATATCTGAGGCGATGAACTGTGTTTAATTAATGCAAAAGTCATTTTGAAAGTTGTCTATCAGGCTGCCCTCAACGCCTCCATACAGCACACTATATTTTACAAGGCATGTTATCAGTTAGGTAAACAAGGGAGCCTGAGGTGATACTAAATTAAACAGGGAATAGTAGTAGGCCCATTTACATTGCACAAAAACCAATTTATAAAACCATTGGTTTTGTAATTACTACGGCCGTTACATTCATTTACAATACTGGAGAAACCCATAAAAACTTTTTGTTTGAGTTGTACACATACACCACAAGGAGAGGTACATGTACGTGACCAAATACTGGAACAGTTCAACAGTGTTTTGAACGCAAGCATTTACACTGCAGAAATTGGTAGAGTTTCGGACAGTATTTCAAACACTACATTCCAGAGGTTGCTTATTCTATTTGGGTTTTTCATCGTGTTTATGGGTAGTGTTGCTTGCAGTGTAAACGCAGCTAAATGTTTGGGCTGATATAAAGTTATTTACAACTGTGCAAATTTGCAATCTAACCTTATCATCAAGTTTGTTTGGATTATGAAATTACTGATTTGAAGTTAGGAAGGCCAAACAATATTGATGATACACAGTTGGCTGTCACCCTGGTATACCTAAATCGTATGACTGATCTACATGTAGACAGAATCAATAACAATCTGGTGGAAACTATATTAATAGCCTGCTCAAGAGAGACAAGAACAAAAGGGAGATGGTCTTTAAATGGAGATGGACACTGGACCCATTCACACAAAAGAAAAAAAGGTCAGAATCAAAGTCCAAATTTTTGCTTGTGTGAAAGGCAAGAATAGCAGATTTGAATGCTACACTGTCCAGAAATCCTATACAGCGGAGACTCATTATGACCAGGAAATCACCTTGTTGTATTGAGGTTAAAAAACAGAAGAATATGAAGAACTGGGACTAGCAAAATTACCTTGTTATTTCAAGGTTACTAAACAGAAGAATGTAGAGAGCTAGGACCAGCAAAATTTACCTTGTTTCATCATGTATCTCATTATAAGAGCCCTTCACATCGAGTTTCCACTTAATAATAACTTATTGGAAGTGTCGCAATGGGGACATTCAAATAAACCTTTTCGGCAATCAGGCTGAAGGGTTGGGTCACAGACATTGTGCCATTTCAAGAATGTGAGAGCCATTCTCAAATGGAAACAGGTGGACATATATAATAGTCCCATCTTGAAGCTGTAACCCACCTTTTATCTAAGATCTAGTATATAATAGCAGGGAAAAATGATTAGAATTTGCATAAATCGGCTTTGTTCCCAATCATTGTAAATACTATGCCGATTCTATTTTACCAACTGATGTTTTTATTCTTATCTAGATAACTCTTGTTACCAATAATGTACATGAACATGACCTACATACATGTATACAGTAGCTGTAAATATATGTACTAAGGCCAAATTTAAAAAAAAACATGTTTAGCGTCCTGTTTTTTGGAAAAATAGGAAGGAGGAGGCCCTTTTTTTTTTCTTTCTTTCTTTCAAAATGGCCGCTCAAAATGGCCACTCGGTACATTTTCCCATTTTTCAAGACGACCGCCGACATTTTTTTTTTTTTTTTTTACTAAATCAGAAATAGATCCATTTTAGCAATGTTTTTCATGTTTTTTTTCTTTAAAAAAAAAAAAATCCACACAAAAAAAAATAAAAATAGGAGGCCCCCAAAAAGGAAGCGGGCGGGCACGCTAAACATGTTTATTTTTTTCAATGGCCTAATGCAATTAACCATTCAAAGTTTAATGTAATCTTGCAATAATTTGAATTGTGAATCAAGTTCAAGAACAAATCCATGTACATCTAAATTGTAAACATCGGTAATTCAGCCTTTGTTGGCAAGACATTGCTCGTTACAGCGACGGACAGACCTTCTACAGCGCGGGAGCAATCACTCAGGGTTACAGCCGTCGCACACAGACCGCCCTCCTTTACAAAAAGCGGTTTCGCCTTTCAGCGAACGCGTACGGAGGAGCTGAATGCAATGCCAATGCCCTGCCACACCATGTACAGTACAGACGGGACTACATGTACACGACTAGCACAATTTTTCTCGACCAAGCCACAAAATGGCTTTTTATCATATATTTCGACAATTCATCATCAAGTTTTAAAACATTTCATGTGATATCCAAGAGCCGTTCGCGTTGAAATTCATCATCCTTCTTTTCCGTCCCCTAATGTACTAAACGATGAAATTTCCATACCATCTTTCATACAAGCTCGCTGATTGGGTGTTGATTCACTTGGGGTGTCATTGAGAATGCACATAGACTTGGCTTAAACCAGACTCTCTGTCCGCGTTGAGCTTTTGTAAACTCTCCATTAACTCTTAAGCTGCCACCATGCATGCAATGCACCCAGTGCCACAGTGCTAATCCCTATTGTGCCAGCCACTAATGACCCCTGAGCCAAATTCACTTTAGGGTTGGTTCAAGTGCGTGTAGTTTAAAGATAAACTTGAGTTCTGGTAAAAAAAGAAAATGAATTCTCACAGAATCTAACGAAACTTACACTGAATGTTCAAGATTACAAATAAATGTCATGTGCCAAACAATTTTGAAAAAAAAACAATTTTGAAAAAACTCCGGCAGTGAGAGTTTAACACGGCTTGCAAGATTTTCAACATGGATGTCGATTTTGACCCATAATTTCCTCAAAAGGGACCATTAAACGGATTATTTCAATCAAGTTAGTAAGTGGAACCGATGTATTATAGCCTAGGCCTAATTTACATTATCATATACACGAGGTAAAATTACATTTTGGGGGATTTTGGGGGCAAAACGCTAAGACCTGAAATGGCCGTGGCGTTATCAAGGGAATGTGTATAGACGGTTTCCGTCTCTAAAGAGAGAGCCGGCCGACCCTACCCCAATAAGAGGCTAACGAACGAAAGAGACGGAAAATTCGGTCTAGTAATAGATAAGAAAAGTATAGAGGTTCATGCCGCCGTCATTATCGCCATAGAATTACTCAAAAGTTACATTTGGGCCGATGATGATCGATACACTTGTATATCATACTCGTTGAGTCGTTGTACTATAGCCTAGGCCTATCTGGTTATAATATCAAAACATTGTGTTTACGATTAGGCACCCTTGTTTCTTGAGTACCGATAGCAGCTGTAGGGGCGTAGGCACTCTCTCACCCTACACTACCTCCAGGGAACTCCGACGCCTGTGCCGAAGGCATCGATCACCTTCGTCATCGGAGCTCCCTGGAGTTAACCCAACACATATACGGTACATGCACATCGGGATAGCGCAACGCAGCTCTCAAACACATCGCGAAATCACCCTTAGCGGCTTAGCCTAGGCCTAGGCTAGGCCTACGCTCAAATTCATCATATTGCATCTACAACTCTTTTATTTTTAACAAAAGTCTGAAGCACTAATCTGCATTTTTTGTAATCCATGCTTACCATCAACATCTTCGAGATGAAATTCGGATCCAGCTCTCTAACAACAGTTTCGCGACGTACGGTATGATGCAAGCTCATTACTATACATCGTCAGCTGATGTTTTTATTCTCTAAATTTATTGCGCAATGCATTTGCATAGGCCTACACCATGTAATTGTCTCATCACGTGCATGCACAGCACATCATTGCAACAGGCGCGGATCCAGGGGGGGGGGGGGGGGGGGGGGGGGGGGGGGGGGGGGGGGGCCGAACTTTTCTTGAAAAAGTATTTTAAAGAGAAATGTAATAGAATGAGAGCAAGAAAGTAAGAATAGTTAACTGCCAGTGTTTACAAAATAATGAGGCATCAAAATATGCTCATCTGACCGTGATTAAATGCCTAAAACCCCTAAGCTTCCAGGGGCTTTGCCCCCTGGATTCCATTTAGGGCCCTACGGCGGACCCTTAGATGATCATCTGACGGTAATTTAATACCTAAAACCCCTGATTTTTTGGGGCTCCGCCCCCTGGACCCCACGCCAAATAGTGACTTGCCAGTGTCACAAAATAATAAGGTATACACAAAAATATGCTCATCTGACCTTAATTAAACGCCTAAAACCCCTGAGCTTCCGGGGTCGGACAAGGTATCAAGTATAATCAAGATGTGTTTATCTGACCGCAGGCGCGTAGCCAGGGGGGGGGGGGGGCGGTTGGGGGCGGTCCCCCCAATCGGAAGAGGACGTAGGAAGAAAAAGGAGCAGACAAAGAACATATTTGATATTCAGACAAGGATTAAGGGTATAGAGAACGGTACAACGCTTCGTTTTCTTTCTCTAATAATACTACGTCAAAGCCTCGCGCAGGAGGCGAGGTGGGGGGGGGGGTGGGACTGAATTCAGACGAGCATTCAGAGGCGAGAACGGTAATACGAATCTTTAATGATTTAATGAAACGTAAAAGCTTCTGCGCTTCGCGCGGAAAAGGGGGGGGGGGGGACTGAAATCAGACGAGGATAAAGAGTCGAGAACGGTACAACGAATCGTCTTCTTTCTCTAATGATTTAATGAAACGTAAAAGCTACCGCGCTTCGCGCGGAAAGGGGGGGGGGAACTGAAATAAGACGAGGACAAAAAGTCGAGGACGGTAAAACGAATTGTCTTCTTTCTTTAATAGTTTAATAAAACGTCAAAGCTTCCGCGCTTCGCGCAGGAGGGGGAGGTGGGGGGGGGGGGACTGAATTTAGACAAGGATTAAGAGTCGAAAACAGTACAACGAATCGTCTTCTTTATCTAATGATTTAATGAAACGTAAAAGCTTCCGCGCGTCGCGCAGAAGGGGGGGGGGGGAACTGAATTCATACGAGGATTAAGAGTCGAGAACGGTACAACGAATCGTCTTCTTTCTTTAATTGTTTAATAAATCGTCAAAGTTTCCGCGCTTCGCGCAGGAGGGGGAGGGGGGGGGGGGACTGAATTTAGACAAGGATTAAGAGTCGAGAACAGTACAACGAATCGTTTTCTTTCTCTAATGATTTAATGAAACGTAAAAGCTTCTGCGCTTCGCGCGGGAGGAGGGGGGGGGGGGAACTGAAATCAGACGAGGATAAAGGGTCGAGAACGGTACAACGAATCGTCTTCTTTCTTTAATAGTTTAATAAAACGTCAAAGCTTCCGCGCTTCGCGCAGGAGGGGGGAGGGGGGGACTGAATTAAGACAAGGATTAATAGTCGAGAACTCTACAACGAATCGTCTTCTTTCTCTAATAATTTAATAAATCGTAAAATTTTCCGCGCTTCGCGCGGGAGGGGAAAAACTAAATTCACACGAGAATTATTTTCGAGAACGGTACAACGAATCGTCTTCTTTCTCTAATAATATAATGAAACGTCAAAGCCTGGGAGGGGGAAACTCGCCCCCCCCCCGCATTACGTCACTGTTGGTCACCATAACGTACCAATATTTGGCTCGCATAATTTCAAATTTGGCCCCCCCCCCCTAAGAAATCCTGGATCCGCGCCTGGATTGCAATATGATACGCACATGTATATCTTTCCTTTTGAAGGATATATTCTGTGTTACTGTCTTTGTTGTAACATATCTTTGTAGACTTTGTACCATTTATCTGTATATATTCCATGCCCAATGCAGTGCACACTGAGAGAAGGCAATTGCTTCCCTGCATATGTAACAAATTCATATACGTAGGCTCATTTGAAATTTACTTGTTAAAGGGATAGTTGAGTTCTGTTTTCAGACCGCAAATGCCTTCAAAGTGCATGGTTATTGCTCTTATTCTTATCTATGACATTTATAGTGCCCTTTTAGAACCTAAAATTGCTATGAAGGTAATTTTAGACCCCAAAATGTGTGAAATGTAGCCAATACGATCCCGGATACGACCAATTCAGATCCACTTTAAAAAAAAAACACGGTGACCGTTAATTAATCATTTAATTAAAAATAACAATACATGAGGCGGCTGATTGCTGATAATATAAGCAACACGAAAATGCCAACCAAAAAGCCAACATCGGCATTGGCTGAAGTACGATGTAAAAGGCGTTATTTCGTTTTTTTCAACGGTTTTCAACGGCTTTTTCAAATTTTTCAAAATATCTAATATTTGTGGTGGTACACAAGTATTAGAAATCGTTATATTTCAGCCGTCTCTGAACCGATTTTGATCAAACAAAGATGTTCTTTCAAATTTAACATTCAGTTTTTCATTACCTTACAAACAAATTATTTTGTGTGGCGCCCTCTGCAACAGAACTCGACTATTTTTATAAGTACAAAACAACTTCTGCCAAGGAGAGGCTGCATGGCTTACACTTTTTTTCAGTGTAAAGTTATAGCAACCCAAAGTTCTTGACTTAATTTTCCACAAGTGCATTTTATGTTTTAAGGACGCGTTTGGTGTGTTTTAAAACGGTTAAAAGTGTACGTTAACAAGAGTTTTAAAGATAACTTTTATGTAAATCTCAATTAATCTATTAATAAACTTCCAAATCAGTCAATCAATCAACAATCACTAAAGTCAGTCAAGCAGTCAGTCAGAGAAGTTACCACTATAATCAGAAAAAAGTATCAATTAGTTTAACCGACCATTCAATCAATCAATGAAGTATATCAGTAAGTCTAATTAAGAGTCTGTCAATTAATCTATCAATCAATCAACCATGCACTCCGTCAATCAACAACCTATCAATAACCAAATCAACTAGTAATCACTCAATCAATATTATTATCACCAATCAGCCCTTCAATCAATCAATAATTTAGCAGATCATACCCCCTCGCCATCGAACTTGGAGAAAACTCAATATCATTAAAATGTATGAAATTTATTACGATTCATCATTATGTTAAAATGTCCAAATATCACCTTTAAAAACATTTATCATGTATACCATAACCTGTAATACAAGAAAGACACCTTTGTTTTAACAAAAATACAGAACAACACGTAAATGCTGATAAAATGTTTCTAGAACTTAAGAAAATAATAATAACAAATATCACCATGTAAAATATGTCTACACTTTAGAATTAGTTCTACTCCTACTGCAGTCACGTATAAACTCCATTTTGTATTTCATGTAAGATTATGAAGTCTATAATTGTGTTACTCTTTCTTTACAACATTGAAATGCGAAAACCATGACAATAGAGGAAATGTTTACACCGATGCCATCCTGAGCGAAAACCATGACAATAGAGGAAATGTACACACCGATGCCATCCTGAGGATGGCATCGGTGTATACATGCCATCCTGCATGAGGATGGCATCGGTGTATACATTTCCTCTATTGTCATGGTTTTCGCATTTTAATGTTGTAAAGATCAGCGGCTGACCATTAAATGCACAAATACCCGTGAAAGGAATGAAACAGATAATATAAAACATTCAATATGTCCACAAGAAAATGTAAGTTGAAATATTATTTACAAGACCAGAGTTTTACATACAGATACCATAAACGGAAAAGGAACATTATAGGTATATTTATATACAGGTAGAAAACATGCCAGCAATTTCCTCTTATTCCTTGTTTCACCTAGGCCTATATTTTCATTTTGTCCCGGACGTACATGACTTGTATACTTCTGTTTGTACACTCTACGTCATCTGAAGTCATGGGTCCGTATGCGACTAATTCAATTAAATCCGACCCCTGATCTGATATTTAAAAAACAAAGGAAAATTAAGAATTCAAAACTTCCTTTGTTTTCTTTATTCCTTTCCTTATTTGTTAAACCAAATTTTGAACAAAGGCTCAACTCAAAGGTGGGGTTTACATTTTGGAGAGATTGAAGTTTTCTTGAAGAATGTTGTAATTTTCATACATTTCTAATACCTTTTATAATGATTGCAATGCTTAAAACGAGGATGTTATGTTTCGCTTATAGTTTCCAGGTCAAATATACTCGCTATCGGGTCTGATATATCAAGTTAAATATTCAACCCATCTGGTCGAAACTAAATGAAGAGAAAATCGATAGCAAAATATATAGTACAAAACACTTATCGATATATAAAAAGATATGATAAATTTGCCTTATACATTGATATATTTCCAATTGTCCTCTCATAAAAATATCCTCACTACAGTAAAGTCTGACACTACAATTAAAAAATTGATGATAGAATAAAATCGCCCTTATTTATCACTTCATATATAGGATTAATTTTTATTTTATCAGTTTAAAATAAGATATGAATACAAGATTAATAAAACGTACATAATTTAAAACTTTCACCTCCACCGGTTAAAATACCTTGTTTTAAACGTCCTTTTACATATTATGACTTTCCCTTAAAGGTAATACAAAGTTTTGGTATGGAGTCATGAATTCGGTTCAAATGAACATATAGGAAGCATATGCGATCCTACAATATTCAGTGATCGTTGTCGAGGTCGAAATCGACTCTACATTTATGAAATTGTAAATAATAAACACTTTATGTTGTATAGCTCCCTCTCAAGGTCAAGATATTAATTAAGCTATAAAACAATGTATCTTGACTAAACGACCGATTAGATATTCCCGTTTTGAAATTATATATCACAACTACATATTCTGAGATTTCCATAGTCGCAGCTACCATTGTACGGCCGTAGGAGCTATTTGAAATTTATCAAAATTTACCGGGAGCACCGGTAAATGTTTATATTCAATTTTTCTCGAAAGCAGAAGTGTTTTAGGGACTAAAATTTCTAGTGCATTTAATACATCCACAGGGGCATCCAAATATATCAAATTGTAAAGAATCATTATCCACCCATTTTTCAAAATTTACCAAAACTTTGTAATACCTTTAACATTATGAATTATATCAGTAGGCCTAATCCCATGATTTCTCAGCCTCATGATAAACAACTTTCATTGTATTTGCATTTCTTCCGGAATATATAAATTGTACTTACACGAATTAAATAGTATGATATGCCCTTTAAACAAATATCCGCAGTTGTTAATCTATACTGTTCTCCAAAACAGGATTTGAAAATGAAAGTTAGAAAAGTATAACAATAGCAAGATCAAGGCCCAAGAAATAGAATAATATACTGACATCTATGTTTTTAGGTTAAAATATTTTTGGAAGCCCACATATTTACTTTAATTCTTCGATGCTTTATGTAGTATTCTGCAAAGCGCATTTTGCAAACAAAATACACAAGACTGAGTAAAGTTGAAATCCAATCGATGTAATTCATATCCTCGTTGGAAAGGGATCAATCAATTTCCACTGGCTGTTGTGTTTGCTTTTCTGCGGTTATTTTGGTGTTGAGTGCTTTCCTGACTTCGCTCGCTACTCGTTTTCCCGACTTAACAGAGCCCTCCATGTATCCATACCATGAAGATGACATCTCAGCCCCACACCAATGAATTCTGAAAAGAAAAAATATCAGTTTATTAACATTAAAATGTTACAAATATAAAGCAGGGAAGGACGAGGAGTACGAAAAAAAAGTAAAGCTGTTGGTTTCAGTTTCCACGGGCTTACCCCGGAGAACAGAAATTTACACATTGAAAACATCCTTTCTACCGTAGAAAAAATTATTCATAAATTATTCAAATTAAAATGGTTACGAATAGTGTTGGTTTTGGCCTTTTGAACCAAGCAGTTGAGATGTGCTTAATAGCGTATACACAAAAGGAAATTTTTATCTGAGGGCGGCTTCTTTAATTACCCCCCCCCCCCCACCCTCCCTGATCCAGTCATCTATCAAGTAATATTGAATTCAAGTATACAACTGTGGAGGTAGTAAGGAATTTATCTCAGCACCATGGACTGGAGGGGCTTCGTTAGAACATTCTAAATAGGGGTGCTGACAACATTTTGACTAACGGAAGGGGGGAGGTTCGAACCACCACATCCCTCTGCCTTGATGTATTTGGTACCGTGCTCGATGGTTCTTCAGTTAATGTTTTGTCAAATTATAAACAAAATATTACCTTCCATGCGGTTTCTTGATTCCTTTAGCATGGTAGACCATTGCACCGGGCATCATTGAACTGAATGGGTAGCCATTTGTGTACCGATCCAAACCCCAGTCCTTCAAAGAATGAAACAAAAGACGAAGACAAATATCATGATGAAAACATTAACATCGCATGATTACTTTAATGATTGCTCGATTGATTGATTGAATTACTGATAGATTTGCTGATTGATCATTATTGATTGCTGAGTTACATGTAGTTGATTGATTTATTTATTGATTAGTTGCTTGATTGCTTGATTGATTATTTATCTGATTACTTCATTGACAGAATGATCTATTGATTGATTGACGGATTACTTGACTGAGTGATTCACTCATTGATAAGTTTTGCGGTTTGAACTGACATGCAAGTATGCCTTTTGTGACGCAAATATGAAATGCTGCGCAAGGAAAATGTGCGCCACACCTTGTGGATTAAACGATATATTTGTTCAATAATTCTTGAATTCAAGCGTTATGAAATGCCATATTATAGGTCGGGAAGAATCTGTATCTGACATGCGAAATGTGTCTTTGGTATTATTTTCGTTTAATAGATGTTGTCTGCTATCTATTCAATTTATACGTTCGTTAATAATTGTGTCCAAACGTCATTTTAGTATTGATTTTCAGTAGACATGTCGCAAATAAAATGGAAGAGGATATTTTGTTTTATTCTGAAGATCCAGCTTTTGTGTATTTCCGTTGTATTTTTTAGCAATAAAATATGGTCTCTCTCTCACAAAATTCTCAATTATTAAGCACTAGCTACTAAAATGTTGGCAGCTCGCTATTGTTGATTGTATTTTCATATCAATGTCCTCACCATTTCTGCATAATCGATGGTCTTGAGAGCTTCGTCTCCATAGATCTCAGCCAGCTTCTTCAGCAATATTTTCTTTCTTTCCACCTTCTGTTAAACGAAGAAACGAAATCATGAAAATATTGTTAATTGAATATTGTCATGATGATAAGCTCATTAGGCACGAGACAATTTTGTTTCAATTCATTTTTCCCGATAAACCATATAAATCCTTTCATGCTTGTCACTTTTTCGATGTCACAATCAAAGATAAGCCTTCATTTCCCCCTTATAATACCTGCTTATCACTATTCATCAAATATCTTTGTTAGTTTTATTTTAAACTAAGTACTGCTTTTCTTTCGGCTATAGGTTGCTGACAATAGTAAATATTGACGAATTTCGTTGATAATTTCTTCTGCTCAAATGAGTAGGACACCCAAATTCCTATTCAAGACGGTCTAGATTCGCCCTTCTTCCTACCCTATATCTACAGTGTTGTATAGGCGTTGTGGTAGAGTGGATACGTCACCGGACTGTCGATCACAAGGTCCGCGGTCCGAGTCCCGCCGCGGCACTAATGTCCTTTGGCAAGACATTGATCTACATTGGCCACACTCAACCCAGGTGATGTAAATGGGTATTTTAAAATGCTAGAGCGCCGTAATGGCAGCCTGCTTAAACTAGGGGGGTAGTGAGCACATTTTTTTTTTTTTTGGTCCTCAGAAAATAAAAAAAATGCACCCCCCACCCTTTGAGCGCCATGGGGGGGGGGGGGGGGAGGCAACCCCCCAACAAGGTAAAAATCACGTTTTTTTACTGATTGCTCCGGGGTTCATTTCGTCATAGTTATAGGATTAGGGTTTGCAATAGGCCATTTTCGTAATGTAACCACATTTATACTGCCCCGATAAGAATTATTTCATTCACCTTACGAATACTTTTATTTCAAAAGATCGAATGTTAATTGCATATATTACATGTTGTTAGGTAGAACAAGCCATAATGTTTGTCCTGCCGAGCAACAACTTATGTATGCAGTATGAATTCTGACTATCGAGATATACTTCGCAACAGGTAAATGAAATAATTCGTATCAAGGAGCTTTACAAAGGCATATGCAAAATTTGATTACATTACGAAAATGGGCGAATGGGTTTTAGGTTAGATTTAGTGATAGGGTTAGGGATAGTTTTAGTGCTTAGTCTAGAGTTGCAGTGAGCAGTTGTTGCTAGAGCATGTGGTATAACTTACCGTGAGTTGTCTCAACGACTCGGAAAAGATCATCCCCATCAATGCGGGGTTCTCGGGCGCTGTCACGTTCGGATTCCTGTTGCAGGAGCAGGCGTCGAACACGTACTCGTACGTCATGAGGTCGTCATTGTTGTCGAAGGCCTGCTCCTCGTCCGTCAACTTGATCACGTGACCGCTCATCCCATCCTTTCTCCAGAATGCCTAAATAAAACAATTGGTTAATTAATTTACAGAGTCAATTTAATATCAAGTAATGGTCGGTTTACGTAATGTGCCACTGTATGGTTCGAACATGTTATTACGTTTGGGGAGGGCTTTTGAACATGCCACTGCTTTTTGTTCTTGAAAGTCTTTGCAATTGTGCGAAGTATATTCTTGTGAATATTAAAGCAACCCAGGACCTACTACGTTGGCCTCATCCAGGGCATCGATTTGATTTTAAGCCCAGACCTCCAGGGTAAAAATAAACACTGCTGTATGCTGTATCCCCCGGTGTATCCCACTGTGCCAATACGCCTCCCTATAATTACTTTAAAAAAGATTGTTATTAAAGAGATAAACATGTCAATTTGACATAATCTCGGTTGTTTTTTGCCAATCGTGGTCAAACATATCAATTAATTGTATTTACTGCTACAAAAGAACTGAATTACTTTCAATATCTGCATGCACACGATTTGCTACATCTCAAAGAACATGGGCAATGGTTATACGCTCGTGTGACAATTGCTTCGATTTTCTACACTAACCGAATTCCTAACGTCAACACTAGACCCAACACCTAATCTTAATCATAATCCTAAAGCTAACCCTAAACCTAACCTTTGATGTCTGCTACAAAAGAACTGAATTACTTTCAATATCTGCATGCACACGATTTGCTACATCTCAAAGAACATGGGCAATGGTTATACGCTCGTGTGACAATTGCTTCGATTTTCTACACTAAACGAATTCCTAACGTCAACACTAGACCCAACACCTAATCTTAATCATAATCCTAAACCTAACCTTTGATGTTTGATGATTGTTTTACCTGACTGATAATAAAGCATCATTATGCTTGTAAGTAAGCAACCAAGGGTCCGACGGCTTTAAGTCCTCTCCAAAGGACTTGGTAATGAGGGGTCACTGCATTATATACCAAAGGGCACGAGTGCATTGAATTGGTTTCGAACCCGGAACCTCCCGGTTACGAGACCACTGCTCTACCACTGAGCCATCGCGCCTTAAACTAATCTAAAACCCTAGTGCAACCTTAACCCTGTCCCTCTTCCTTCAACGAAATAAAGCCCGGAACAATACTTATCGCATGAGTCAATGTCGGGTCAATTGCGCTAGATTTCTAATGTCCATAAAAATACGTACATTTTCGTATGTGACGACATATTTGATACAATGTCCAGCCGGCATCAATTTCGTCATACGAGATCTCTTCGGTGGAAAGCTAGGTTTATGCTGGATACGAACTGCAAATTATAGAAAAAGTAAAGATTTTTGACAACAAAAAATAATAGACGTGCTCTGCAACCATAATCATTGAATAAAATTGAAGGTTTGAATATAATAATATAAATCCAAAGTGAATTCATAAGTGACTTGTGTATCATAGGCTCAACAGATGTTTGGTGAAGTAAACTATGTTTTATAAATACTATTCCATTTTGCTAAATGTTTCATTTCATTAAATCCGCTACATTAGAAGAATTTTACAAGTGTTAGCGATTCACTCGGGTGTACTGTTGACGTGAACCTTTACATTATACCATATACCACACGATATTGTTTCAATATTTTGATTTAATTGCCAGTTATATCCATTTAAACCTGGTGGAGAGGGGCAAATATGGATTCCAGTCCTGTCAAATGACGGTGGTGCCGTGCTGGGATTCGAACCCTTAACCCTTAGATTTAGAGTCAAGTGAATGACCCACTGTACCACAACACGTCGACTCGTACCTGAGTTGTCCACTGAGGTGGCCATGATGACCCTCTTGGCCCTGTATCGACATCCACTGTCGGTAGTGATGTTGACGAGCTCGTCATCAGTCTGGTCGATGATCGTGACTGGGTCGTTCAGCCGGATGTTGGCGCGGTCGATCTCGGTGGCCAGGTTTTCACAGACCTGCTGAGCTCCTCCCTTTAACAAAGAAGAAAATATAATTATGAGAGGAAAAAATGAATAAGACAAAACAATAGATTTGAACAAAGTACATGTTGTGACATATCAGTAAAACAAATATTGTTACATCAGCTGCATATGTCTCCATTTATCTAGTAATGCAACAAATTTATTGCGTTTGATAGAAAGAACCCGCCCAACTTTATAAAAGCGTTTAAGCATCTTCTTAAAAGAATTCAAAGATAGCCGTTAAATAAGTTAATATAAAAAGGTAAAGTACATAAATTGCAACATGTTCAACATTACTGGATGATTATTGAATGCCTACCAGCAAGGTATTCATATATCATTGTACGGAGAATCGATTTCACCACAACTTAGAATATGTGCTTAATGTCTCTGTATGAAAAGTGCAAAAGTACACGACAAAATGAAAGTGTATTGTGCTTTGATCTTACTTCATTTCGTCACCGTATATTCTTTATTCATTATGTATGCACATCGATAATTACTATCCTTTTAATTTGATTATCATGTTGATGTGTCATTGTCTTGTAGCTTACAGCATCGATACCAGTCAATGACGACATTCGTTTAACAGGTAATTGAATTACCACAATTATGAGAGAGAAAAAGTTGATCTATTACCGTACCTCACGTTCCAATAACTCAAAGTAGATGATAATATTGCCCCTCCGAATTCTTTTGAATGGGAGCACATTATTATTTGTTACACCATGTTTTAATAAATGTTATTCTATTATAAGGGGGAGGGATTAAAAGTCAAATTGGCAAATTTACATTAAACCTTTTGTCGGATAGAAATTTTGAAAAGGGTCTTACATGCCATACCTCTCTCTCTCTCTCTCTCTCTCTCTCTCTCTCTCTCTCTCTCTCTCTCCCTCTCTCGCTATCTCTCTCTCTCTCTCTCTCTCTTCCCTCTCTTTTCTCTCTTCCCTCTCTTCCCTCTCTTCTCTCTCCCTCTCGCTCTCTCTTTCCACCTGTCTCTCTCCTCTCAACCCCACCCCTTTATGGACCCCTCAATAATCGGCCCCTATTGATATTCCAGACTGATAAGCTTGCCTTGATTTTGAGTTGCCTTGATACGGGGAACTCTTGATTCTCTCCGAAGAGCACCTTCCAACCTCCGACACTGTTAAGAACATGGCAGAAGAAGAGAAGGGACATCTCTCTTGGCGTGACTCCGAAGTGGAAGACGACAAGGGCATCGAAGACCTGTCGGGCTTCTGTGGGATGAGAAGGGTATGGTGGGATAGAATATATAAACAACTTCAAATCATTTTGTTCATGGAATTAGACATTTTCAGGGAATTGTTATGTCAAAATACATAAAACCTAACAGTACGTATTCTTCTTATTCAGTTAAACCTGACCCTGGGTCTAACTTCACGTTTCACAAAAAAAACCTAGAACTCTGAATATATAACCTCCTTTGTTATACCCGATATTTTTGTTTAAACAAAAGCCTCAATGGTTAATTTTCAGTAGAATACGGGCCACAAAGTTCGAGCCCGGCCCTGCCACCTCAATACACCCCATTCGGATAGACCACACTAGCGCAACGTAAGGTAAACAGGCACCTGGCAAGGTTGTCCCTTGGAATTCACTTTGTCCTGATAATAACTGTCGGAGCTAAAGCTGAAGTAATAATTTCTTCAAACTCTTTGGAAGTGCATTTGGACATTTTGACGTATTACTTTCACCAATCCTGATGTTCAATACCCCTCCATTTCCTTCATACTTTCCTGAAATAGGTTTCTTCCTTTCTGTTCATTTTCTTGTAACGCATTATGTATACTCATTCGTCTTTAATTCTTGTATTGATTGATTTTCATTTTTATTTTACAGGGTAGCGTTGTTAGTTACACCATTGCTTTCCACATTGACCATGTTGGCATTATAAACAATAATATGATTGAATTCTGAAATTATAGACAAATTAATTACACAATTCTGTATGTATGTACCAAATAATAATTTAAGGCAAACTAAGAATAGTCTATCAATAATGAACACGGATTCAAAGACTTCCATTGAAAATCACCCCCCCTCACATAAAAATATATGAATAAAATATAACAAATATAACAAAACCAAAACTAGACTAGGGGTGTTTCTCAAAGACTTGTATCGACTTTACATTTTTTGATAATTTTTTAATGAAGGAAAAAATGTTATCTAAAGATCATAATTGAGAGACCATTGGTGAGAGTGATTATAGAGGCATGAATGGCCTGCCATATCTTAGTCTTTGTGAAACCCTCCCCTGGGCTATTTAAGATCTTACCATCCGTCCAGATGTGTTCTTTCTTGAACTGTTCCAAAGTGATGGAGTCCCATTCCAAAGACTCGCTTAGATCTGTAGGGTCCTTCTTAGAGAGGTCTTCCCTCATACTCTCTATCTGAAATGACAAACATTTTAAAGGTAATACAAAGTTTTGGTATGGGGTCATGATTTGATTCAAATGAACATAATGGAAGCAAATGCGATTCTACAATATTAAGTGATCGTTGTTGCGGTTGAAAACGAGTCTAAAGTTTTGAAATTGTAAATAATAAACTTTTTATGTTGTATAGCTCCCTCTCAAGGTCAAGATATTAATTAAGTTATGAAACAATGTTTCTTGACTAAAATCGACCGATTAGCTCTTCCCGTTTGGAAATTATATATCACAACTACGTATTCTGAGATTTTCATGGTCGCAGCTAACATTGTACGGCCGTGTAGGCGCTATTTGCAATTTATCAAAATTTACCGGGAGCACCGGTAAATTTTTATATTCAATTTTTCTCGAAAGCAGAAGTGTTTTAGGGGCTTATTTTTCTAGTGCTTATAATACATCCACAGGGGCATCCAAATATATCAAAATGGTAAAGAATCACTCTCCACCCAATTTCAAAAATTTTCAAAACTTTGTATTACCTTAAGTTAGCCTACTCAAATTCAGGAGAAAACTAAAAAAAATCAATTGCCTAACACCATATAAACATGGATAAATGCCACTGGTAGAATTCAAGCACAGCGACAAGTCCAACTCCTTCCGAGGAAGGAGTTGGGGGGGGGGGGAGGGGGGGGGGGGGGTCATGGTAATAAATATACATTATATATTATACGTGCTGTTGATTTTTTTTCTGAGCCTTTAAACGGGGGGGGGGGGGTGTATACAAGATTCACATATTTGCTGGATACGTCCACAAAGAATTAATGTATTAATAATAAACAACAACATTAAAATTCCGAAATCGATCAGTTTAATGTCTACTGAGAAAACAGTGTAATGGAGTATACTACAAATCCTTCCTTTATTGCTTTCCCTCTGGCAACTAATCTAGGGGGTTCTTTGTGTCTGGGCAACAACATTTTAAACGAAAAATATACTTAGTTCATAGCTTAAACCAAAAGAAAAAGGGGAGGAAGAGAACGAGAACCTTTATTGTCTAATGCATTATGTTAACAATACCGATTGGAATCATCAATGAAATTAATAGTGCAACTCAATTCGAGAAAGGAATTTGTTTTCACATCATTTAAATCAAAATTTGACTTGGTGTGAAACTGTACCTTTACAGCCATTGTAAATTGGTTTCGTTGAACTCACAAATGATGTTTAAAGATAACTAATAGCTTTTATGGGGGTAATAAACATGGTAAGAAAAGAAAGAAAAAAAGAAAAATGTGTAATATATTGAAATGATGCCGTATGCACAACGAACATTATGCGAGGTATACCATGTTATAAGGGCTAGACTGAGCGTGAGATTCTCGTAACCAAAGGTGAGCATGTACAACTATTTATGTCGCAGGCCCGCCATCCCTGAATCTACCTGTAATTCCTCGGCTAGACCATTCAGAGTATGGTATTCACCAGGACATCGCTAAATGATAGGGGTGCGTGGGAAGGTCCACCCCCCCCCAACGTCCACTCACCCGGTATTGTAAACCCACATTATGTGTTAAAATGTAGTCAACTATGTTTAGACTTTTGACATATTCATTTGTTTTCCACATGCCTTCATGGTGCCGGTGGGGGAGGAGGTGGAGTTGTCGGCACATTGACCTTGTTGGCAACATCTTAATTCGACACAACCAACCCACCATTGAAAATGTTCCTACTCCGCCCTGTCATTCGGCTATATAACATCCCAACATACATGCTTTTGTAATGAATCTATCTCATTGTTATGGAACAAGTAGAAACATAGTGGTGAAAATACTTCCTTGTGGTTTGCGACAAAAGGATTCACTCAAGTCTGTCGAGACCCCTATAACGAGTCAATATAACGAGACACGAATATATAGGCTCCTATAGCTTTCTGTGATGAATTAGTCACGATAATCAACATTAGCGCAGGACATGGCCTAATTGTGTCATTTATACAATTGTAATATAGTAGACATATTTTCATCTATGAAGATTAATATTATACAAAAGATCGTAGCTAGCATTGTATAAGTTATTACAGACTAAATTGCAACTTGGTTCATGCTCTTAAATTTCTGATTTGTCCCTACACATACAATGTATTGCTTTGTGTGAACATTCATTTCTAGACTTAGATCATTGGCCTATGAAAATTATCAATATATTGACACAATTAATGTCTTTATGTTGCCTTTGACGTACTTTCTGTGGTAATAACGATTGTAACTTAGTGAGATGTTTTTTTTATGAATTGACCCCAGCCCCTCCCTACTCGAACCAAATTGACATATATCTATCTGTCTATTTAGATATCTATCTAGATAATATTCCTTATTCCTTTACATTTCTTTACATGGATATGTCAATGTGTGCTACTATTACCTTCACCTGTTTACGTATTCATCAACATATTGTATTTATATGCTTGTAGCATTGTGCGATCATAATATAATTTCATTTCCTAGGCACCAAGGCCAAGTTAAAGCAAATGTACAGGTAGGTATAAGCAGGTAGGTATAAGCAGGGAGTTGTGAATTGAAACTCCCTGGATCTACTAACGACTGCAATAACCGCATGCTACGAATTCAACCAAAGAGAATAATAATAATAATAATACTTTGTTCTTTTATAGCGCATTTCATGTCTGTTGACATTTCAATGTACTTTACAATATACATATATAAAGTATAACAAGATCATGAACGGAAGATGAAACAGAAACATATATAGAAAACAATGAAGTGCTTATAAAGAGAAAAATTACATTACTTGTCCTTTAATAGTGATACTATGATGTGCTAATTTGAAAAGATGAGTTTTCAGTTTAGATATGAATGTTTCAATATTGGATATACAACGTAATGAGTTTGGGAGGGAATTTCATAAATATGGTGCTATATGAGTGAAAGCCCTATCACCATATGCTTTTGTTCTGCCTCTCTTACAGCTACGAGGAGGTTTTGAGATGCAGAACGCAAGGACGGTATATACAGAAAGGCAAAGACAACCATGCACTGGCGTAGCTACCAAATCAAATGGCCAAAAAAAGGAAGCTAGAGAGGGTTAAGAAATAGAGAGAGATCGAGAGGGAGAGAAAGTGAGGGAGAGGGAGAGCGTAAGCGAAAGAAAGGGTGAAAGAAAGAAAGAGAGCAAGAGAAAGGGCGAAAGGGCGAAAGAAAGAAAGAAAGAAAGAAAGAGAGAGAGAGAGAGAGAGAGAGAGAGAGAGAAAGAGAGAGAGGGAAAACAAGGGAGGGGTATATTATATAGACTTGAATTGTGAATAAAGACGCTATAGCCTTACTCTCATACCGACCGGTGTCAACCCTTTTTGTCCCTGCACCCTAAATTTCTTGACCCACGATAACCACTAACAACAATCATAACTGTTTAAGATATTGAAAAGGAGAGAGATTATTTCAACAGTTTAGACAATATTGTCTTCTGAACAACGTTGTAATTTCTCTTTAACTTCCCCGTTTGTTCTGCACACTCGCATAAAAATGTCAATGTGGTTATTGGTATTTGCTTTCGGTAGGCTTGACTATACAAAATTCAACAAATTGAGCCTTGTACAAATATTGACAAGAATGCTGGCATTAAGCAGTCAGTATCGATAAAACTTATGTATTTGACATTAAACAAGTTTACAGTACTGCACGTTTTCCCATTGGCTTCTAGGTGCTATATATACTGTATACATAATGAGACCGTTTACGTTAGTGCATAATATTTCTCTTTAATTCAAAGGTACTACTGAACAGACTGAATGTTTAAACACTTTTGTTACAAAATCAATCCAAAAACATAATTTGAGAGCAGTCTTTACATAAAATATTAATCTAGTAATATCTATAACTTTTGGGGAATGATTTTACAGCCGGTAAAAATATAATTGTTACTACGATCCTTATTGAAGATGAATATATGCATTGCCCCTAACCAGATAATGTTTATTACTACTACTACTACTACTACTAAATAATACTCAGTTTTTGTATAGCACTTTCAGTGATATTTTCACAGTTTTTCAGGAAGAAACTTATTAATTTCATTACGCTCACGACTATGTTAAAATGCAAGTAGTGCATTTACTATTACCTCATTATTCATTTTACTTGTTTTTGTATTAACTATATAAAAACATCGTTTATGACTTTATTTGCCTGCCAAATAAATCAGCTTATAACTTATAGTATTTCCACAATTTTAGAAAAAGGATTTGAAAACGCATATTCATTTTAAGAATAAAACTTAAATTCCCGTCTGAACTATTTGCCATTTTGACCTGAATGACCCCGCACGTAGGCCAACCTTGAACTTGCTGTCACGTAAAAATTATCTTCTTGTCTCATTGCCTTCGTAATCCTTTTTTCTTCTTCCTCTCTCCCTCTTTGTTATGTCTTTCATTCTATTGAGGGGCAATAAGTCCCCCTTCCCATGCCCCTTCTTATATATAGCTACGCGCCACCGGTTAGGGTCACGATTTGTCAAACATATTACAAGGCACATCAATGCTTTTAGCATGTGTATTTATTTGAAGAAACCAGACAAGTGGAAACAGACACAGCAGGATATTATGAGGTATCACAGCTAATCCGCTGTGATGCCGCAAAATGATCAATAGGTTTGGTAGCAATATTTGGCCTAATATATATGCATACTAGGTAGCGCGAATACAATAGTAGACTATTGACAGTACACACCTGAAATAGACGCGGTTATTATGTGTTTTGGCTATGCCAATTCTGGAATTGTATTAATTGCTGCACATGGACCAGGGGCGGTGATTTCATATCATGACGAGGGGGGGAGGTGGGCGACGGAATGCGATATTTACTTGTACATTTTGAAGGATATTACGCGAGGGAGCGTGGAGACCGAGCGAGATTTATTGGGGTGCATTTGTAATAGTCTAAACGCTGCACTCTTGGGCCCTACAGAGCATATAAGTGTGTTGCAGTCTTCAGTCAGTATTTGCTATACATTTTCCTTTGCACTTTTTCAAATTCCCCCGTTCCCCCTCAACCCTTGGATCGCCGCCCCCAAAATGGAGTATATCTACCAAAGGAAACATACTGTATTATAGTCGAACCTGTATTTTTGTAGCATTATAATACGCGAACACAAATTGATATATCACCGTCTTTGTAATCATCACATTATCATCATCGCTAATCATTGTGATGGTTGTCATCCATAATACAAAAAAATTGTAACCATTATTACCAACATAATAGACACAGATAAAAATCATTTTCTATCAGCTTAAAGAGAGATTATAGAGAACGACAACCAATATTATTATCTCAGACACGAACATTTGATCATGATTAATGTTATAATTATCATCCTTATCCTCAATGTTGACTTACCCTGGATACAAATGAACTGATGTCCAAACGTCTGAAAGGGTTGATGGGGTAAATATTCCCCTCAAATTCTTCCGATTCTCCGTCAGCATGAATCAAGATGTTCTTGCCCTCCTTGTATTCCGGATAGGTCTCCAAATTCAGTTTGTCCAGAAGTTCAAGAATAGTTCTCTGGTCTCTGCCGATATTTGGAAAAAGAGGAAATCAAAATAGTGGATATATTCAAAGAAGAATATTAAAGTCATCGAGTTATGACAGAGAACGATCGAGAATGCCGCTCTAAGTGTAATCAAGCTTTAAAGTCCCTTTCTTGTATGGCGACTTTGCTAAACATGGACGAGTAATTAGAGTATGATATGGAGAAACGAAGTTAGTTCAAGCTCGAGCTTACTTGAGGAGACCTTTGATTGAGAAGATGGCAATGATCACGAAACATTTTAACATATGCTTATAAATTCTCTTTGTATCTATTAAAGAAAATGTCAAAATTGCATCTTTCTGTTTTATGTATTCTTGTTTTTATTGAAAAATAAAATTCAATGACATAAAATATTTACAATAATATCATACCAATACATTAGATGGATGTATACAGAACACGGTACTTGATTGCATAATTTTTAATGGACAAGGCTTAGTCAGGGGAATTAGTATAACATCTTAGACTAATTTTCGACACGCCTTTTAATACACCTCTAATTCTAAGAAACAAGCCTTTTTTTTCTTTACTAGGTTACAAAGTTGTCTTTGATTCTTTCCTTTTCACATGCAGAACCAATTTATTAATTAAACTACTTACGTATTGACCCACTGGTCTCCGAGGTCGAATCGTCGAGTCCCTGTGGCCGTGTTTAGCATGGGTGAATATGTCCTACCACCCACATTTTCTATCAAAAAAAAGATAGGGAAAAGTAAGAAACAAATCGGTACTTCTTTTTAAAGAACATTACAGTCGCTTGGCTGAATTGTTATCATATATATCAAAAGACCTTAGCAAAAATCTAGAAGATCAAGTTATTGCTGTAAATCTGATAAATTTACTGTCTTGAATTCCTTTAATACGATTTCTTTGAGAGCATTGTGTGTTTTGTTTGCGTTGAATATAAACAACTTTAAAAAAAATTAAAAATAAGTTAACAAGAAAAACAGATTTATTTGACAATCACCATCTCTTAAAAAACATCTTTAGGCCTACATCTCTCAAGAAAGGAAGAGAAAACTTGGTCTCTCTGTCCAGATGACAGTTTCCTGAAAAAAAGTTAAGAAACCTGTAGTAGTTGAACTACCTTTAGCTTCGAGAACGACCAAGCTGAGGTCCGGTTGCGCTTGTCTGATCTGGTAGGCGGCCGTCAGACCGGACAACCCAGCGCCCACGATAGCGACGTCCACAGCGGGCTCGGGCTCGTGAGAGACAAGCTCGGGGAGGGACGACGACAGAGACTGGTTTTGGATTGCAACGATGGAAGGGGCGATGGGTCCGAGTTTGGACTGGCCGTTGTTGTCGTTCTCGTCCGTACTGAAAGATCGACCGAAGATGAAACTTCGGGATCGAGGCTTTTGCGGTGAGTCGGTACCATCCTCGTCTTGGTTACTAGAGACTACTTCCTGTATGACAATGATACAAATTAACAAAAGATAAGAACAATACTAACATTAACGATGGCTTTTCATACGATACCCGATGCGTCATTTCGACTGCGTTAGTACCTGCGTTAATCTAGCATTGTAATGCAATTAGTGCATACGCCAGTTATCGAAACAGAACTATTCATTTTGTTATCACTTTTTGAACGAAGCCAAAAAGCAGCGCTCAAGGATGCACGATACATATTTACATGTGCAACAGGTGTTGTGGAGAGTGGTAAATAAAGAGAGACGTACGACTAAGAGCCGGGCTGGGATTCGAACCCTAAGCCTCTCGACTGAAAGCCAAGTGAATGGAGACTATAATATATAGGCCTACTGCGGTACCTCCATACAAGTGAGGAACGTGATTTTTCTTTTCTCAAAAAGAAAATTAGTTCGTGATATCCATTTGACTGCGAAAGAACTATCGACTAACAACTTGACACCCATGCTCAAGAAAAGGCGGTAATAGAATTTTATACAAAGAGTACCATATATATCAACCAGGGAAGATGGCAATAATCATTTTGCAAATTGAAAAAAAAAAGAGGGAGAGAGAAGAAAATATAAATAAAAGAGAGAGAGAGGGAGGGAGAGGGAGGCTGGCAGACATTCAGGAAGACTTGTCAGGTTCTCGATCATACATTCAAATTATACTTTAGGGGTCGGGAAAAAAGGTATAATACAGTACATGTAGTAATGCCTCCTAGCAAAGCTTAATCTCACAATGTGTTTCGCTTCCAGATCTCGCAGAAGAGTGGGTCTAGAATATTAGGCCAAGTGAACTTGATTCTTAGTTTCTCGTCCGGGGAGAGGGTTCCATGATATTTCATAATTTTCTGCACACAAAAATGCTACTGGGCCATTTTCAACACAAACTTTTTTCTTCTCATTAGCTCTTACAAAACAGAGGCTCAAAACAAAGAGAAACTGCAGTTTTTTGATGAGTTCTGTTAACCCCGTGTCTACATGACTTTTTGTAATACGACTGTCATTTATTTATTAACAAATTGAGGAGGGGGAGGGGAAAAAAGAGGAGAGAGGGGACGGGAAACTAAAAAATATTTTTATTTGGCTTAGTTCCATTATCGTGATTATACAGGAATTATTATTGAGATATTGATTACGATATGACACTGGAGAGGTTGACACTGGAGAGGTTGACACTGGAGAGGTTGACTACATACGGTACTCTTTAGAGAGGTCGGGTCTGTGAGGCCTCCAAGAGGTGCCACTCTTTTTTCGAAGGGGAGGTGGGGGGCGACTCATGGCATATACCCATATATCTCGTCTGCCCCCCTTCTCTCTCTCTCTCTCTCTCTCTCTCTCTCTCTCTCCCTCTCTCTCTCTCTCTCTCTTTCAATTTTGCCTTCTCCACTTAAACTTTTGTTTCCTTTCGCTATTACAATATACATTTAGTATTCGTACTTCATATACCTGTCGTTGCCTCTCTTTGTGTACACTAAGACCTATTCTGTTTAAGAGCCCTTACAGAAAATAAACTCGGATCTGATCTTTCCACTCCTTTTTAGTTTCTTTGCCACGATGCACAAAGCCTTCAACAAAAGAGAACAAATTGTATTTTCGAGCGCAGTCTCATTCTTACAAAAGCTCTTTTATTAAAAAAGATATATTTTTGTGAAAACGAACTTGTTAGTTGGGTTAGACATGAATACTCCGGTACTGCATGTATTGGTGATGATGGTAGTATTCAAGTTTTGATCACATCACGCCATACCTAAAGCCAGGGTAATAATATGATTGCGGGGCCCTCAGGGAGATCAGTATTAACATTGATGAGGCAACCCTGGGCAAACAAGACATAGTAGTAGTAGTAGTAGTAGTAATAGTAGTAGTAGTAGTGGTAGTAGTAGTAGTAGTAGTATCTATCATGAAGAGCATTGCGATATTTTGTAAAGTGTATACGCTTGTTTCATAGATTATGATTATTCAAGAATCAAAATATCGAAGAAAAGTTTATGTCATTCACGTCTAGAACTCCATCGATGTCCACTAGTCAGGATAAAACATTCTCTCCCAAACACTTTTAAACGTCTATATATTCAAGGTGCCACTACAATAAACATTCTCGATTATTCTTTTTATATAGAGCTAAAATATGTTGAGTAAAGAGGTACGAAAACAGAATATTGTTGTGGTACCCTAACATTGTATATACAATCTCAGCACAGGCAGAGAAAACTAATATAGGGGAGATTGGAAGAGATGGGGGGGGGGGGGAGGGGGTAGGGGAGATTGTAGGGGGAGAGAGAGAGAGAGAGAGGAGAGGAATCGCAAAGTGTCAATGTAATAACATATGTGGATGTTCATCAGAGCTAATCATGCAATTTGAAGTTTTAGGTAAGAAAACAAGTATACTCAAAACATTTAATCGTTTGTAGAAACCTACTTTATCTCCCCAATCCCCCTCACATATTCTCTCTCTCTCTTTCCCACTCTCTTTCTATCTCTCCCTCTCTCTCTCTCTCTCTCTCTCTCCCCTCTACCCCCTCTCTCTCTCTCTCTCTCTCTCTCTCACACACTCTCTCACCCACCCTTTTGGTTGTATATCATTCTTCTTTATGCTCCTGTTTCGTGCTATACTCTCTTCAATGCCTATCAAGATATTCCCTTTTTAATTCACATTTTTATATCTTTATCTTACAATCTTCTAATTAATAGTTGGAGCGCCTTGAGCACCATGCATGCTGGATATGTGCGGTATATAAATATCCAATATTATTATATTATTATTAATTCTGAGTCTTTATTTTTGTATTGTCTCCTTTCCAATTGTTTCCTTCTATGTTTGAATCTTTACTCTCCTTTATAGCTTTCTGTATATATTTTATATACCAAATAATCTGCAGTACTCCTTTTGTTTATGTATCTATTAATTAATTTATATTTTGTTTTAATTATTATCTTTTAAAAATTATCATTATCATATCCAGAGCGGTTCGTAGCCCCTCCCCAAAAGTACCCTAAAGAATAATCTCACGTGCCTGGAAGCATAACATTTAATGGATTGGTGTGTTCTGATAAAAGTAGATCTAGACAGTGTCTACATGGAAATGCCTTCAAAGACGATCAGAACATACTGTAAATATGTTATACCCATCTGCCCACTGACATACTGATTCGCTTGCCAAGTACTATATCTTTGAGATACTACCAGCTATATGAAACCTGTTAAATAAAGGCCCTGTCACGATACAGTATGTCTGACTACTATAGACAGGTGTCCTTTCTAGACAGGTTTTAGTACAATACCTAATTTATAAGAGACCACTATAGACAGGTGGCACTTAGACATACAGATTGGGGGATTAGATATTTCAAAACGGCCAACTCAGGAGTGGACTGTCATGAAAGTCAAGCAGTTATACATACGATTCCCTTTCAAACAAAAATCATAATGCCAATGGTCTTCGATCGGTAGAAGAAAGGTCATCAAGGTTCACTTCATACTTTTCAGAAAACTGTTCTTCTTTAATGCATCGCTGTCATTTCTATACAACATCCACTCTGCTCGTGCTTTCGCACTTTCCAATACACTATCTACCTGACATGGCATTCCTGCCTGCTATGACCCCGTGGACCTACTTGCTTTAGCTGCTGATCTCCGATAGAGCGGATGAAGAAGAATACACTATGAACATGACAGACAATGAAAGCGGACAAAATATACAGTTCCTCGGGTAGACAAAGGAACATCAATTCACTGCTATTATGTAAAAAATGTGTAGAACAGGTGAATATGCATGTGACACCTGTTCTACACATTTTTACATAATAGCAGTGAAGGGATGTCCCTTTGTCTACCTGAGGAACTGTATATTTTGTCCGCTTTCATTGTCTGTCATGTTCATAGTGATAACACATGAATATGACGGACAAAGAAAGTGGACAAAATACAGTTCCTTATTCTATCCTCAACAATTGCTGTGGTAGACAAAGGAACATCCCTTCATTGCTATTATGTAAAAATGTGTAGAACAGGTGAATATGCATGTTACACCTGTTTTACACATGTTTACATAATAATAGTGAAGGGATGTTCCTTTGTCTACCACAGCAATTGCTGAAGGTAGAATGAGGAACTTTATATTTTGTCCTCTTTCTTTGTCCGTCATATTCATAGTGAGAGGAAGTTGCTACAAATATCAAGAGAACAAGGTAACAAAGGACTATTTGAATCACCTGGTACGCTGAAATGGTAATCTGTAGCTATACTGTGATTTAATACGCAGTCGTTGATGTGCAAAATCCTAAAATCCATGCACCCATATGTCTGAGCCTATCCTCAACGCACGAAGCAATTAATTTAGTCGATAAGGCATAATGTTCACTCTTAATAAACATTTCCTAACAAATTTGTTAATATTTAATTGGGAAATGTTAATTAAACTTCTAGTCTTTTATGAATTACAATTGAATCCACATACTTTAACATAACCAGGATAATTAATAATAATTTGTATGCAATGTAAATTCACCTGTCCCATAACTTTCCGAAGGAAATGTGGCTCCGTCGTACTCCCTCCCGCCCTCGCAAATAAGTACCCAGTTAAAAGTGCTTTTTTTTTCTTATCAACATGAAATATATGGATCATCATTGGTCTAGCTGACAAAGTGCTCCCCCCTTTAAAAAGAATATATATAGTTCAAGTTCAATTTTAATGTTCCACATTTTACAGAAAATATAAACATACATAGAAAATATAAACATACATATAAAATAACAAATTATACATTACAATAATGTAGTATAAATGAGCACATGTCAATGATTCTCAATTCATATAATAGATAAAGTAGAATGTGAGGAACCTATTAAAAAGCAAGGTTGTATACTGGTGATTATACGTCACGGACAGAATGATGCAGATGCATTGGCACCAATACCCAGAGTCAACCGGTTAAAAGCGTAGTCAAAATGCGTAGTCACCCGAGCAATTTAGTAAGCATAGCACAAAGTAATTAGTTTGTACATGTATACATTACAACACCGGAACAGGCATCATTAATTAACATTTAATATTAACATTGAATAAAATAAAAGGACTGTGGGGAGGGCAAACAAATTATATTAGATGTAAGAATGTAATATATATCTAAATGTTAGTGAAAATAAGAGAACAAACTTACAATATAGGCGGGTCTCTTCATCTTTAAGTAAGACACAGTTACGTAACGATCGACATCGGGATCGCCCGTCAGTGTAATATCGGTTCCATTTGTTGTCCCGTTCATGTTGAACGCCCAAAACGATTTTCGCAGAAGATTTCAGATCCCAGAGATTTCGTATGCCACAGTGAATTATGGCAAACCAACTATAAACGGAAAGCACTTCAAATGAAGCAGGCTAATGCACTTGTAAAGAAGTGATCAAATAGTAGGAGTGCCAGTATTGCTTGTAATTGTAGTAGATCGTATACAGGAGAATGACTAGCTACAATCAACTGGCACGGCGAGTAATATATGTGGCCAATTGGTTATGTTCACTGCACCGTGCATCGCTGGGCCGGGAATCTCACTATAAAGCACTCTGTTCTTGCCAGCAAAAGCGTTGAGGTTTCTTTTTGTGTCAAAAGCAGGGATTTCGCTTGCATACCTTTTATCCCTGGTTTACGGACCAGTGCGTTTGAATAATACTAAATCTCGACTTTATTGAGACTTGAGGACAATCTTTAGGGCAAAGGGCAGAGTGTCCCAACTTTTTCAAGTAACTCCAAAGTGCCCTTTTTTACACAGGAAAAGTGCCCAATTTACTTTGAATAGTGCCCCTGCTACTTTTCACCTATGATAAGTGCCCCTTTTATTTTGACACGTGCTCCTTTTCCTTCGACAAGTTCCCATTTTTCCTTTGCAGTAAGTGTCCATTTTCCCTTCTCATGAGAGCCCTTTTTCACTTTTGATAAGTGCCCCCTTCACCTCTGATGAATACCCTATTCAAATTGAGAGGTGCCCCTTTTACTTTGACAAATGCCCTTTTACTTTGAAAGAAATGCCCCTTCCCCTTATAACAACACCCCTTTTATAACTCCCATAAGCGCACCTTTTATTTTCACATGAGCCCCTTTTCCTTTATGTTTAGAGCCACTTCTCCCCTTTTAATAAAAGCCCCCTCAAATCTGATCAGTGCCCCTATTCTTTCAACAAATGCCCTTTTTCCTTTATTATAAGTCCCCTTTTTCATTATCATGAATACCCCTTTTCATACCTGGTCAGTGCCCCTTTTCAGGTGCGATAACTTAGTTCCCTTTTTCACCTCTAATAGTTTCCCTTTTAACAAGATACATGCCCTTTTCCTTTCTAATAAGGGACCTGTATAGCCGCTTTACTGGATCATGAAATAATCGGATCCATAATGCTAGATTATAATACAGTGGTGTTTCCATAAAATGATAAACATGAAGAGGTATATATATATACTAGCTGCGATACCCACGTGCGAGTGTCATTAATTCAAATGGGGGAAGGGGGAGGAGAGGGGGTATTGGGTAATCTCCTGATTAAGAGTATCATTGATGTGGTGTTCTTTAACCCAACACCCTCGTCCCCAAAGGTAAATCGAACCTTTACAGCACGATTGAATCATAGATGGCGTCCTTCATCATAGACACACCTTTATCATTTAGCCCAGTGACATACGAAAAAATAGAATGTGTTTTATAAATTTGATTGGTATTATTCGTCTGTGGATGATGAGTAGATAAAATAAATGACATAACAAATCAACGACTTAAAGGTACTATGTCCCATTTGTAGGCCAAACAAATGAAAAGGTTAAATTCCAACGGCATTTGGAAGATAATACTAATTTAGAACTTCCCTAAAAAAAGAGGGGGGGGGGGCTTGAAAATGACTTTAAGTGGGAAAATAACGGCTATTAGTTGTCGAATCGACTTAAGAGCTGTAGAGCCAGTAAGTAATAGTCTGATTTTCAGACCATTGTACCGAATGGTTGTACGTTTTATACTGCGCAAAGATTCAATCAGTTTAATTTTGGCCATTACAAGAAGTGGGTTATTGATTTAGACAAATGCTCGTGTACCCTTTACAGCTCATTTTATGGATGTTATTACCAAAGAAGAAAAAAGCCAGTCAGTCACTCAATAGTGTCTGACAGTGAAGTCTAGCAAGTAAACAGGTTTTCTTGTATAATTTTAATATTGCTGAATATTAGGACACTGCTAACGTTTAAATTTCACAGATAGGACATACATGACATATTTACAATTCCTGCAAAGTTCTACAGGATTTGATGTTGGCTGCAAAAGGGACATAGTATCTTTAATAGCCGACACGATTAATATCGTAGAGGTGTCGTGATCTAGTGGATACATAACTAGACTATAGATCACATGGTCCGCGGTTCGAGTCCCATCGCGGCGATACTGTCCTTTGGCAAGACATTAATCTACATTTGCCACACTCGACCCAGGTGAGGTAACTGGGTACCCGGCAGGAATTAATTCCTTTAAATGCTAGAGCGCTATAATGACAGACATGCCAAAGCTGGGTCATAATTGTGGAACGCCAGGAGTTTCAGGTCTGACAGACATGAGCGCTGTACAAGAACCCAATATAATTATTGTTATTGTGTATTATAAGATACTATTACAACTGGCTTGTATTTTTAAAGATGCCCATACCCTTTAATATAATTTCTTACCTTGTTGATGCATCGTTAAAAGAACCACATCGCCATATTGCATGCTTTATTAATATAAATCATTGTCTTGTCGTGTTTTTTTCTTCTTCAAAACTTTGCTGGTAGATGGGTACAGTGTAGTTTAAATAACATTACATTCAGTTAATGTCGAAATATCGTGCGGGCGCTGCAATGAAAATGTGACTGTTATATTTATTCACTTTCTCACTACTTTTTTAAAATTAGGTATTTGGCATTTTTTCTTCATCTAACAGGCGCAGGGTATTATATATATATTTCTAGTCGGGCAGTAAAAAAGGAAGAAGAAGGAAACAAATAAAATCATAGGCCTATTCGAATTCGAATTCGAATTATATACATCGTAACTACTTGCTCCAAATTTGTTTAAGGAGGCATGTTTAGCAAGTGCATACAAAGCTCTTTCTTACTCTTTATAGCCATTAAATAACATTTATCGACATGTGAATTTGGAGTTTTGTTTATTTTCATTCAAGAAACCCACACAAAAATTGAAAATATTAGCGAAATAATCTTCTTTTCTGCAAATATTGATGCCAACAATAAAAAACATACCAGCTATTAGTCAATATTTGCGGGCAATAATCTGTCAAAATTACGAGGGTTTTTTTTTTCCCCCGACTACTTGGAATTAAAGCGAAAAAGCGGGTAAAGCGATCTCGATAAAGTGAGGAGTTTAGGATCAGGACGAGCAGAAGCAAAGGGAGAGAAAGAGAGAGAGAGATAGAGAGGGAGAGAGAAGGGAGAGGAGGAGAGAGAGAGGGGGGAGAAAGAGAGAGAAAGAGAGTGAGAGAGAGAGGGAGAGAGGGGAGGAGGAACAGACAAACAGACAGACGGACAGTCAGAGAGAGAGAGAGGGAGAGAGAGAGAGGGGGGGGGGGGGAGGAGGAACAGACAAAGAGAGAGAGAGAGAGAACAAAAAGAGAGAGAGAGAGAGAGAGACTTCAGCATTGATGCCAACAGTATAACAAAAATGTTGGTATCAAATAGGATCGAACGCATGCATATTTACAACAATAAGCATTGCTCTAATCAGGCAGTCCATAATTATTTACGATTGTGTGCATTTATGCGAGTATTCCGCCCCAGAATAGGTGCCCATGGCTCTGATACAAATGCTCAAAATAATTTTGAAAAGGACCATGATCAGTATAATTAGGCCTACCTTTACGTCTCTGGATACAATCTCAAGAAGGTGATGATAAATACATTTTTTTTCTGTTTCCATTTACAATAAAAAATCACATTGTTATATGAACTAGGCCTACACGAACTTCGCATGTTCGTTTATTTTACAATGATAAACGGTAATAAATCTTTACAATGCATTTTCACACAATTCCTCTTTCAGTTTCATTAGTAGCATTTATATGACATTTTTTCACAAACTTGTGTAGTACTGCACAAAAAGGGGACACTCCTGATTTATTAATCAATAGAGCGCTCTTCAAATGCGTTAGAAATGACAACTTTATACAGCAAAATTCTCCATTGTGGATTTTCAGGTTATAGTACATGAAGTATAAATTATACCAATGCTTATAAAGAATAGAAGACTTATAGTTATATTCTAAAGGAAATTAATCGGATTTGTCGAGAATTGTAGCCTATTCTTTATCTGAGAATAAGGATTTATGATATGTGGTTATTTTAATTTACACGACGTTGTTATAATTTTGCATTTTGAACCCAACTTCTGAGATTTCAGCCCATCTCTCTAAAATACAATTTTTGACAGGAAGAGTGGTATCATTTCGAGCACACACTGCCAGCAACTGAGCGCATGCCCCTCACCTTATAAATGGATTTATCATTCAATTTATATAAATTCAAATTTTCTTCCATTTTGTGTTCATTAACGAAATATTCAAATGATGTAATGTATGCATAATGGAAAAAAAAAGGCGTAAATATCATGAATCATAATTTTGGTAAACGTCTGTACAGAACAATATGAAATAAACAAGGAATGCAATAGACGAATTTGCGAATAAAGGGAAAGAAACGGAAAACAAGGAACTAGAGTAAAGAAAATGCGATATGAAGGGGGGGGGGGGGAGATCGCTGTGAAGCCAAACAAACTAACGGACCTGGGCCCTGTCTTACAAAGAGTTGATATTGATCCGAATCAATATCAAGTCCCTAAATCAATCACAAGTTTGCAGTCTCCCATCTCCTATGTACATAGTGATTGATATCAATCATAAATAAGTTGCGATTGATATCAACTCTTTGTAATATAGGGCCCGGGTGTATAAACCATCGTCATTATAAGCATGATAATTGAGGATATCCATTTTTTCAACTGATAATTACTTTAGGAATTTAGCTCTTGCACAGAAACGATAATAATTGTACTTACTATGATGTTGTCGAAAGCTTTACCAGCATCGTCCGTTAGCTTTTTAAAAAATTCTGCCATTTATAACTCCCATGCACGTATTCGGTATCCACACCGATTCAGCGATTATTGGTAGAGAATTATGAAGAAAAAAAACATCTGTTCATGCTCGGTGTATTGTTGACATTTCTATATTGTGCGCCCCAAAATAGATGAGCAGCGAGACAGTTTTACCAATGATAGCTATGAGCTGAGAGTTTGATGAATACGGCTGCTGTTTATCGTATTTCATTCTCATATATATGTTCAGCGATGCTTTAGATATTTCTTTTAATACTAGATCATGCATTTTTTCTCCAGGGAAACAGGTTATTTCTCTCCGAAGAATGAATTATGAAGATTATTATTTATGTATCTCATTTCAGATATGTGACAGGACATGCATGGTATTGTGTCACGGCTTAGGGAGGACATCCTTGTCAGATTTATATACAAATAAATAGATCAAAATGTTATAAAGATTA